TCTAAAAAAAAAAAAAACTCGATGTGTCAATGATCCTCTGCTGTAGTTTTGTCAGCTTTCTTATTTCTAATGGTTTTGATTGTGGTAGCAGAGCAGATCAATTTATCATGTTTGGTTTTTCAGATTTTAGTTCAGAGATCATGCGCTCATGCAGCCTGAGCTGACTGTCTGCTGTTTTTGGATTTCTTTTATTTTCTTTGAAGACGCGTTGCGTCTCCAAGTGAGTCCAGCCTCTCACCCGAAATGCGCAGCTGTGCAGCAGCACGCAAAGAATTCTGGGATACCAAGGCCACGAAAGCGTGCATAAATGCACGCTTCAAAAACGGGCGGGGGTAGTGTGGTTTTGAGACCGAATTTGAAGTGCGCTTAGCATTTTGTGCCAAATGGGACATTGTTCGCGCCGCGTGATGACATCACGCACACTTCAAATGCGACGGTGCGGTCTCTGAAATGAGACACAGCCATAGTCTACTCTATGTTCTCACATAAACTTCCCTAGCCACTGTTCTATTTTTCATTAAAGGCATAAAAGCCCAAAATAATGTCAACAAAAGAGAAATAAGTCAACATTGACTACATGTCTCCACCAGGAATTGAACTCTGAAGTTTTTGGATAAAAGTTTTATTTGTTTGGTCTTATATATCACCATCAATAGAAGCAGACTCTTCTCTTTTTCATACCACATCACTTGACCTCTATACTGTCTTCCACAATTTAAGTTCAGGGATTCCACAGCTTTGTATTTTGACCGTAGACAGCATGATTAATTATGGTGGCTGAAAAGTCTTACACAAATGCAAATTCAAAACGCTTTGCAAAAAGAAAAAAATACAACAACATTTGGGGAAATCAAAAATACAAAAGTTCACAACACAGACACGAACGTGCTTTCTCATTTCTTCTCTGTTGTTTTTAATGGTGGTTGGCAACCAGCTTGAAGGTGCATTACTGCCACCTACTGGACTGGAGTGTGAGCAGTATATTCCCAGTATATTATCTTCTACTATTTTTTACACTGCACAACTAGGAATCTGTGGCTTTTTGAGTTTTATATGTGTCAATTGCATTTAGCTTTGTCAAAAATGATCATGTCCCTTTTAATCTGATACACTACAGATTTTAATGAACATGACGCTAGATACCCCTGACTGTATATTCTTGAGTGCTTCAATTTGAATGTTAAATCTTTCACAGGATTCAGCCCAGGTCTTAAATTCTGACTCAGAAAAGTGCCCAGGAACATCAAGAAGGGCAACAGAAATGTCATTCTATAGGTATTATGCTTCCCTCTTTGGATTATAAATCAAAAATAAAATATCTCATATAAATCTCTGTTTGTTTATGCCTCTGCAAATACACACAATTGTTTGCACTCATTATCGTAGTTGATGAAGATCACTCAGGCAGTAATGACAGTAAAAGTAAGGGTGCAAGTAAGGGTTGCTCAGATTAATTTCAATATGCGTCGAAGTTCATATCTTCAACACTATTCTACACAACACATCCTTTTCAACAATATTAGTGTCTGCATTCCGTTCAAATGTGAATTCAAATATATCCAAACCTTAAGAATGAAATAAAGTTTTCAAAAAGATTTATTTGAATTATGATGTTGAGAAAAAAAATGATGTTGAGGAGGCAGGGTGCCCCAAAATGAAATTTGCCCATGTCCCCATAAAACTTCAGATTAAGTAGGAATAATGCAAATGTGGGGATTAGAGTTGGGAATTCATCAGAGTCATGACTCAGATTTGAGCCAGCAACTGCTACCAAGAGGACTATGGCCTCATTGAAACAACAGGGGGACTGTCCTTTAGGGACAATTAAAGTTTCTAATCCAGCTTGATCAGTGGGTAAGTGGGATCAGTGGGTTGCATGCCTAAAATGTCATGCCAACCCATTAAGACACCAAATTTATTTCTGGTTATTGTGCACACATTTAATTATGTCACAAATGTGTCTTAACAAGAAAGAACAGAACACATGCATTTACTTAGTGACCACTTAAGGGGGATAAATGATATTCTCACAAGTACAAATCTTGTCTCTGCATAAGCTGTTTGCATGTTCCCTCCCAACTGCTGGTAGTGTTGTCACAGATGGTCTGTGCAAGTGCGCAGGAGAATTATGTGACCAACACAGAAAACAGACTAAGAACTAAAATTTTTATTCAATCCAAACTCCAAAAGAAACACTCAGCTTCTACAGAATGTACCCTGGAGAAAAAAATATCCCTTATGATTGAACTGCCATCTGTTTGAGACATTTTCTGGATTTATTTTCCAGTTCCGCATAAAAACAGCATTTACTCCACTGTAAGATGAAACCTGTTAACAGGACAATGTGACAAATGATACAGAAAGATTTTGTCAATAGCAACAGTGTCAGTTTCCCTGTGAGTATATGATAGAGTGGACAGCAGATATGAGTAAGTCCCTGAGTGACTCTGGGTATACACTGAAAATGTAATTGATTGGGACTGCTCCAAATTGATTGGGACACTGAAGCCAGTGTAAAAAAATAAAAAAAAGAATTTTTGCCTTTTTTGCTGGAAGAGAGAGGGGGAGAAATGACGCTCCTGTGAGGTGTTTCTGAATGGTATTAAAGAGACTGAAACTAACTGATGCCTATTTATGATCTAGAAACGCAAATGAGCACCAGTGAGACGACTGATTATTTCGTAGATTTTTTTTTTTTTTTGTGTGGCTGTCAGCCTGACTCCTGGGTGGGTGTTGATGAAGATGAAGATGAAGCAAGTAACTGGTTGCTGGAGAAAAAAGGCTTTTCTTAGATCCTTGCATGCCAAATGTTTTTGAGTTGCACATCAGACATTTAAATAGTTGCACAAGACAATATCAGCAAAGAGACTGATGGTCCTGTTTTGTCCAGAGGGGTTCACCAAAGTGCAAAGTTCCTCACAGAAGGTTTGATTAAACATGCCCCATTTTTAATCCTTTTAAATGTTAAAAAATAAGAAGACTATGATATGAAACTATGTGTTCGAAACAGCATAATGTCGTCTAAAATTGAGGCTAACCTTAGCGCCAACTGTTGACCAAATACTGTTCTATTAAGATGTGAATGTTCTGCTTTATTAAGTCAGATTTGATCCGGTCTTGACAGTTTACCCTCCCGACTGTGCACCTGACCCTGAAGCTGTGAAACAGTGTTGAGTTCAGGCCATAGATGCAGCTTCTGCACAGCTTCCATCCTGGCTAGTGCGATTTTCCCAGCAGACAGACTGGCCACTGTAGGATATGTGCACTCATTATTTGTGTGTTTGCCAAATCTAAGAGCCTGTTTGCTCAGCTGTTGATTTTTTCTTTTTTTCTTCATTAAACTGTCCAATGTGTGAGACAGCGTATTACTGGTCATTCTTGTGCTGCACTGATAACAAATCTGTGCAGTTCCAGTTTGGCAGTCGACTTACCGTCATGGCAAGCACTGAGTCCAAAAATCATCAGGACTGACCTAATTTCTGCTTTGTTGGGTGTCTTTACTTATATTCTTCTGATTTGACCACAGAATTCTGTATGTCGGTGATTCTTAACAGAGTTACATCTATCTCTCTTTAGTACATATTGCATTCAGTAGTGACTGGTTCTTTGCAAGTCAGTTCACAATAGCAAAAACAAAAGATGAATGGTTGGTATCAAAAAGTAATTAGGGTAGAGGAAGGTTGTAAATTGTTTTGATAGATGGCTTAAAGTTTACATAGTAGAAATAGAATTGAAAAATATTTCATGTTTAATAATTAATCATCTGCCTCTTGTGAACCTAAAGGAACTTTATTGAACTTTCCTTTTAGTCATTTGAGAATTAAATGTTACCCAAGGCTTAAGACAACTTATTAAATTATTTAGCTCAAAATAATGTAATACTTAATTTTGAAGCTCCAGTGAGGATTTTTTTAATTTGTGTCAGTTTTGGCGCCCCCTGCAGACAAAGTAGTCCTTGCTTATCTTGTCCTCTAAAGGCATAATAAGTGACCTTTGACCAAAAATTCTCATTCCGTTGACTTTTTACTGTCAAATTTATTGTTTATTGTTAGTATTTTAGAAGAAATAATCTGTTTCCTTAGCTGCTTGGCTGACTCCTACTCCCTCGCACTGATTTCAGGGGTTAAAAATAGCAGAAAAAAAATTGTCAAAGTCGTTTCTGATGGTCTCTGGATATCATAAAAGGGTATCAGTATGAGTTTTAGTCTATTTCATAAATGTAAAAAAAAATTCTTCACAGGAGCTTTAAGTTTAGATAAAACTGTTGCAATAGTAATTTTAAAGCTAAGGATTGACAGATGATAAAGTTCCACTAGTTATTTAACAGGTGAAATATTTAATAAGTTATTTTAAATTCAAATGTACCACATGCAACTTAGTTAAGTAGAGAAAAGTTAAGCATAAAAAGATGATATATGAAGCTGATTGAGATAAAGAGACCTGACTGCCATTAAACTGGGCTGTTGTAGATCAGATCATACAGTTTTCTGGTATTATGATATTCATTTCACTTTACTTCCATAATAGAGAGCTCTCTTGCAGGCTCTTCCACTCAGAGACTGAGCAGCCACCGTTGTTTCATCTAGCCTGTCCTGGAGATTGCTTTCTGGCTTAATAAAAGTTTAAATTATTTATCAAAGTTAGTGTGTTTAAAACAACCACCTCTCCATCAGCTGTCACAGCTACTGGGTTGCATAAGTCTGTGTGCACAGCTAATCAGATTTATTTGTGTTGGAAGCAATACAGTTTGATGGGATATACCTAAACAGAGCTGGTGAATACTGATTAGGCAGAGAATATTAAGGTCCAATTTTGTGCCAGAAACACTGTGGTGACAGATCTGACTGAGGTTACAATTTAAAAAGGAAACAGCATTGTTTCTGTTGCTGGTTTCAGAGGTTTGATGACTCTGTTTCAGACAATTTTAGTCCAGTTAAGCCTGTCTAGCCTGCCAGTTGAACAAAATAATGATAAAATGTTGCAGTCTAGACAAAACCCTCCTATCTGAAAGCTGTGAAGATGATGGAAATCAGTGAGAGGAGCTGAGATATCTGTGTCCCAGAAAATATGTAAATTTTCTGAAAATATGTAAATTTCCTGGGACACGAACAAGTCTTGTTTCTGAAACCTTTCTTTGAAGATTACTAAATTATCCCACGTGGTATTTACTGAATGTGTTACTTAGGTAATCCAGCTGGGGGGAAAGATGATCTAAAATGATGACGACTGTAAACCATTGAAGCAATGAAAGACCTTGTGGTAGATCAGAGGCTTTAGTTTTTTGTTGGCCGACGTTCTTAAGCGCTGGGGTATCATTTTTACTTGTATCAACGACGAAAGAATGAGGGCTTTGTCACTCACTGAAGGTCTCACCTGAATGAAGGCTTGTAGCAAAGCTGGTGTGTGGGAGAGGCACAGAAAAAGGTGCAATTTCTCTTCAGTGAGAGATGAACAATATACACTTTGGAATAAATTGCCGTTTTCAGCTTTAATAGGAATCAAAAGCACACCAAGGACACCACTTTTATAAAACCAGATTCTGAAAAATATCAGAGAAGATCATTCTTTGATCATCCAACAACTCAAGCCTTTAATAAAGTGGCTTATAGGCATAGCATTTAATCCTAAATATTTAGGTCACCCTCTCTGTCTTGTATATTTATAAGAGACATAAAGTCCTGCATTCAGCCAGGAAAGTCTTCCCCCAAGCAGTGCTTTTCACTTATTAAAAGATCAATCAAATATTTACAAGACAAGCACACTTTTCACAAGAGAGACCAAATATGCTTATAAATTCACAGCCATGTAGCAGTTTGACTAAGGGCATAAATGATTCTGTCTGCTTCCCTAACTCCTATCACAGGTCCTCAGGAAAGGAATCCTTCCATAAGGGAGCTCTGTAAAGACAATTACTCATTCAAAGCAGCAGCAGCAGACGCTCCTGAGGTGCATATTTGCTAATGTGCCAAGTGAATTTGTATTCACAGTTGAAGCAGGATTGTAATTCAGGGTTTGAAAAAGTCTTGGTGGGAAAACCCAATTAGGATGCCAAGAAGGGGCATGTAATAAGATTCTGTCACTCTGTAATGGAGTGACAGGGCGGGTAATAAGGCTGGCACATGTTGAGCTCTCAGTCTTTGCAGATTTCAATCAGAGCCATCTTGGGAGGATGCGCTGCTTGAATTTACCACCCCCCTCCTCAGCTGGATAGACAATTATGAAAGAATGCACTGTACCTTTTCAAGAGATATTACTGGTGCATTGTACATCAGCATGGCTCTGATTTGATCATAGTCAGAAAGCAAAAGTTGATCACAGCAGTGCTGGTATTAAGTAAAACAGAAAGATTCTGGGTATGGTTTACTGCTTTTACAACAAATGTAACGGCAACGAGTAGTAAAGTTTGGCAACATAAAAAAACTGTTTTGATAAGGTCTTCATTCATTTGACCCTACCAACAAACAAGTTCAGCATCTTGACTGTGAGTGAACTGATGCTGAACCACTAATAAACATCTTACTGCACTCTTGCCAATTTGTATTCGTGAGGCTCATGGTCACTGGAATGTGTGGGTTCCATTCAAGGATCAGCTTGCTCTGCTTTACTTGTATTTACAATTACACATTGTTCCACTTGATAGCAGCGAACCCTGATGTTATTTACAGCTGAGGCTAACAAGGAGAGGAAGAAGAAGGCTCACAGAGAGAAATATGGCAACTAAGGTGCGACAGTTATCAGGTGGCTCAATGATGAGATGGTTAGGACCACTGCCTCACAGCAAGCCATTTTAGGGTAGGAATTAAGGCCAGCCCTTCACTGGGCCAGGTTGTTCTGGCAACTTGTTCTTGTTGTTCTGAACTTTTTTTTTAAGTACTCTTAGATTAAAAGCCCTTTAGACATTGATGGATGAAGTACCTAAGGGCCATACTTAAGTAAAACTATAGATATCGAAACAAAAAAAAATGACTTTAGCAAAAGTGGCAGGAGGCTACTCTCACACACTGAAGTCAGAAGCTTAAAATATGCAGTTATTTATGTACTGAGGTATTCCAATTTTTTTTTAATGAAATAACAGTACTTAAACGTAATGTTACTCGGTTGACAGTGTGTTCTCCTTGCTAGTTATCCATTAGAAAGCTATACTGGTGCCACCTCTCATATCCTCACTGAGTCATATGTTTGATGACAAATGATTTAAAGTCATTGGACCAAATTTTGCCCCAAATCCTGGAGTAACAAGTGATACATATTCTCATTGCAGTGTATCAGACTTAAAGTACCCATGTAACTTGGAAAAGTAGAAGTTACTGTCAAAATCAAATAAGTCACATTTATGAATTTGAATAACTGGTACTGTCAGAAAACAAAACTGTAATTAAATTTAACCAGACTACTGATTAATTAACCAGAAAGACTGAAACCACTCAAGTAAACAACAATGCAGGATATCTACTGTTGGTTCTTCACTTTTACTGGTTTGGTGTATGTTACACCTCAAACACACATTACAAATAGTCAAGGAACTTAATCCAGTCTCTGGATTAAGTGTGTTTAGTAGGCTATTTGATTTAAAATCCAGTAAAACTCAAAAAGATGTCACAATATCAAAAATAAACAAGTATGCTACATTTAAGTGTAAAGAAACTAAGAAAGCTGCTGGCAGGCTGTTGCAACAAATCCTGCCTCTAAATAGCCGATCATAGTTAAGGTTTGGGGGTCACAATCAAATCCCTGGGAAGCGGGGCACCCTGTGTATTCACCCCAGGCTGCAGCATTTCCCCCTGCCTACCATCCTCTAGAAGTATAACAGATGTCTATCCATCCTTTCGATGTTAAGGTATAATTCAATTTCTTGGTTCTTGCCTGCATATACTTTGTCATCCACCTGCCAAGCAGCTTCGAGAAAGTGGAAGCTAAGACGCCTCTGCAGTGTTCCTGCAGCCCACCTACTGGGAGCACGTAGCGTCCACAGGGCATTTTGAATTGGCTCCTGTGGTTACGTGACGACAGGAGTGATTTGCATTGGCATGCATGCAAAGCACTCCCACTCTCGCTCTTCCAGCATTCTTCTTCCTCATAAACTATTGTGTTTTTGCCTCTGTGTTGCAGAGTGAGGATGTCTAAGGTTAGAGCCAGGCATGCCAATTGCTCTGTTGTTGGTTGCAGAAACCAACACAAATGTCTGTACTCTGTCCCAGCACCAGAGGAGCAAAGAAAGCAGTGGCTGCTTTTTATTTTTAACAACAATGTGCCAGCTACACTTGGTGCCCATCTGTTTGTTTGTGCTAACCACTTCACCTCGGACTGCTTCAACAACTGGGGTCAGTACAAAGCTGGGTTTGCTTCGACATTGACCCTCATAAAAGGATCTTTACCAACACTTCGTGTCCTAGAAACAGCGGAAACCCCCTCGGTGAGTACCAACACTAGTTGATAATATGTAAAGTTTATTGCATGAAACATTTCTATTGGTGCCGGATCGACTTTTGTGAATCGCTCGCCATATTTGTGTAGCAATTTTTCTTCCTCTGCTGCAGTGCACACCGGTCTGCTCCCTCCTCCCTCAGACAACACACAGGCAGCCAATCAGCGCCGCGCTTCGTCATCACGACAGCCCCGCCCACTCAACTCACTGCACGGAAGAGGAGGTTAGAAACTGGTCTGTTTTCCCTCAGAGGTACAAATGCGATGTTTTCCACCAAGTGACACCAAAACCTGTCTTTAACAGTAAGAGTTGCAAACAGCTGACAGAATATAGGTCATTTCACCAGTACACCGCTCTCCTCGTGGACATTTTTGAAGTACATCAAGTATGTCTTCTTGGAAAAAGTGCATCTTCGGTTGTGAAGGGAAGTCACATATGTACAGCCTACCAAAACAAGAAAGCACCAGAAAACGGTGGGAAGACTTTATTTTTGAAGGAAGACAAAACCCCATGTCTATCCTGCATGTGTGCTCAAGGCACTTCACCGATGACGCTTTCGTCAACGGAGCCCAGTACCAGGCTGGATTTGCGGCAAGGCTGATCCTCAAAAGCGGGGCTGTTCCATCTGTGAAGTGTCGTATTGTGGAGCCAGGGAAGGCAGGTGTTAGTTAGTCCAAGTATAACCCTGAAATGTGAACGTTTCTGTACACCCAGAAGATCCTCTGATACCCAGAAATACCAGTGAGGGATGTCCTTTAAGTTTGTGCATTCACAGGAGATTTATCTTAAGAGTAAAATATAGCACGTGGAAGCCATAAATCTGATGTCCCGTGTCACGTGGCATTTTGGGGTATAACAACAACCGATGATGGCACAATACAATATTAAGAAAATGAATAACTTTAAGGAGTACATGTGAGTCAAAGATCAGATATCCTATACTGCAAACTTTCCGCGAAGTGTTAGTTTGTTTGGCGTAAAATGACCCACAGTACGTCGCCTCGGCAGAGGGAGCGACAGTATATATTTACAATTGTTTCTTTCACTCTATTTGAAACTTGTCTAGTTTCAACAGCAATTTTTTAATATAGAAAAAGATTTGAAACACCGGTGTACGTAATCTGGAGTGTATCACGATGCATAATCAGCAGAGGATGTACAGTGGTGTGGAGAACTGTTCCTTGTTTCGCATTTTTTGCATGTTTGTCACACTGAACTGTTTCAGATCATCAAACAAATTTAAATATTAGTCAAAGACAACACAAGTCAACACATAATGCAGTTTTTTAATGAAGGTTTTTTATTATTTAAGGTTCTCTATTATGAAAAATCCACTTTTGGGTGGTTTTCTAGAAATAATATGCATCCTCTCGAAGCCGACCCCCCCCCCCCCCCATGAAAAAATGTCATTCTCTCCCTCTCTTGCTTTCCCCTCCTTTCTGAAACATGAGCACAAACGGGCAAATGGAAAAGCTTATGCGGTTATGATGACATATCTACATAAGCCCCTCCTACATGTTGGTGGCACCGCCCCTGATAAACGTCAGCCCAGCCCTCTAATACTTCTCTGCTGAGGCAGTGTCTGCCATTTTTCCCCTGTTCAGCGCCGGTACAGCAATAACCATGTCAAGGCGACCCAGCCGCTGTGTGGTTCTTGGCTGCGCAGATGAAGACAGGAGTCTATTTCTGCCTCCTTCATCTCAAGATTTGAGGACCCAGTGGATTAATTTTATTTATAATGATAAAGTACCCACAACGACTCCGAAAATGTTCTATGTGTGTGCTAACCACTTCACCGAGGACTGTTTTATCAACAAGGGTCAGTTCAAAGCAGGATTCGCTAAGCACCTCAAGTTAAAACCTGGATCTGTACCAGCTGTCCGTGTCAGGGACCCAACTTCAAACGTGGAAGCTGTAAGTTTTACCATTTTTTATTGCTTTACCGCCACCTGTATAACTAGTGCTTTGGCTGCAACCGCCTGGTTACACACAGCTCATTATCATTTAAAGGTACAGGCGCAGAATCAGCCCGTTCTCAGTGGAGCTCAAAAAGAGGGGGACAGGCTGGCTGATATCCACAAATAAACTGGTGTTTTAGACAACAAACTTCAAATTTACTATTGTACCTACATGGCCCTGTGTGAAAAAGTGATTACCCCCACCCTCAGTTCAAACATAACTTAAGGGATAATCCGGCGTAAAATTAAGTTAGGGTCAAACACACCGTAACACCTAGTTAGACACCCCCTCAAGAGATCAATGTTGCCTACCGCTTGCTTCTCTAGTTTAGTAACGACTGCAAATAGCAATACAGAGAGCCACGCGCTCAACTAAAAAGCCACTCTATAGCCACAAATAATGCTCAGATCAGCACCTAACTTCATCAACAGTACATAAAGGGTCCCAACCATAGCACTAGCCACCAAACATCTTTTTAGCTTTGCCTGATTTCTTTAGCAAAGAGACTAAACACAACTCACCCACTCTCTTCCAGCAGCCGCTTGTTTGTATGGAGACCTCTGGGCGAGTGAGAGCAAGACTATAGCTGAAACTTGTAAACATTGTATCAGGGAGGCGGCTCTGTGCTAACAGTTGATGCCGCAGCACCGCAGGGTCAACAAGTGAAACTCCGAAAATGACATTACGGCCTACAGTGGTCCACCTATTGTTTCCACTGGTCCATAAGATGCTGCCTTGTGCATCATATGTAAGAAAGTAGATAAATACATCACTGTGTCTGGCAAACGCACAAAAGATCATATATCACCGGCACAAATATTATCAGCCGGTGTGTAAAAAGTGAAAAAACTATGAATTCTGCTGTCTACCAAAAAATCCTGAAAGAGAATGTCCGGATTCTCTTGTGACCTCAAGCTGAAACGAACCTGGGTTCTGCAGCAGGACAATGATCCAAAACATACCAGCAAGTCCACCTCTGAATTGCTGAAGAAAAACAAAATAAAGAAAGAGAGGCCTAGTCAGAGTCCTGACCTAAATCCTGTTGAGATGCTGTGATCTGACCTTAAAAAGGAGGTTCATGCTGGAAAACCCTCCAATGTGGCTGAATTACAACAATTCTGCAAAGATGAGTGAGCCAAAATTCCTCCACAGCGCTGTAAAAAACTTATTGTTAGCTATTGCCAAAGCTTGATTGCCGTTATTACTGCTAAGGGTGGCCCAACCAATTATTGGGTTTAGGGGGAAATCACTTTTTCACACAAGGCCATGTAGCTTTGGATTTTTCTCCCTTAATAATAAAAGTTTCATTCAAAAACTGCATTTTGTGTTCACTTGTGTTGTATTTGACAAATAATTAAATTTGTTTTATGATCTGAAACATCAAAATGTGACAAACATGCAGAAAAAAAAATTAAATCAGGGAGGGGGCAAAAACTTTTTCACACCACTATAAGCCTATGTTTTCCTGCCTTTTTTTAACTTGTCATGTTTTATTCATCTTGTGAAAGTGATCACACTTTTGTCTATAGATATGCTTTTTTTTTTTCTCCAAGAAAGGAACATTTTTCTCTCCGGTGGACCCCCTGCCAATCCTTTTCAAAACAGAGGACATGGACATGGTATGTTGGGCCTAACTTCATCATACAGCCTCTGCAGGTGATATACCTGTTGAGATTATTCATAAAGTAACAATTTTCTTGTCCGTTTCTCTTCCTTAGCAGATTTCATCAGAGGAGCCCACAGCCACCCATGTTAAAGGGGAAAACAGCGAGATGGTACATCAGACTCACTTTTCAAAACTCAGTGCTCTTTGTGGATTAGCAGATTTTTTAAAACAAATACCCTTTTACTTCTCAACACTAATTGAATCTTTTTTTCTTATCATTCATCACAACAGCCCCTCAAAACAGAGGACAGTGACATGGTATGTTATACTTAATGTTAGCTTCCACTCTCTGCTGCAAAGCAGTTGCTGTCTTGCCTTAAAATGTCATTTGAAGTGGACTGTAAATTTGTTAAAAGCGGATACACCCAACACAGCATGTAACCCCACCTTTTTTCTGTGTAGGCATCATCGCAGCAATTCTCTGCAACCCACGTAACCACACAGGAGGGCAACGTTACACTTCTTATTCGCCCTAAACGTACAGTCACTGTCGGCACACAGCTGTCCTATGGTGCACTAACAAATGCCAGAAGCAATGGTGAGTAATTAATATAGACAATAAAGGGTAATCAGCAAAACTGCTTCCCACAACCCATGTGACAAAACAGCACAGCATAATTTTTCTATGTTTCAACCTCTAATTTCTCCCAAATGTGCAGCCAGTGTCACAACACAGATGTATCGGGTGATGATGTCCATCGGCACACAGTGTTGCTCCACTACTCCTACAAAGTCTGCTGGCACACAGTTGTCCATGCGTAGAATGACCCGTGTCAGAAGCAAAGGTGAGTACTTGATATGGGTAATAGCAGGGTTGGCTACAGTTAGAGTTGACATTTTAAAATTGATTTAATAAACTAGGTTATAATAGATATTTATTTTGGCATTTATCACGAGATTTTTATTGAAGGTTTATTTTTTTGGTTTCTGTCAGGCACACAGGTCAGTATGTGCTGCACCACGGTAGAACTTGAAGATCTTGATCCTTTTGAGACCTCTCAAGATGATGAAGAGCCTCTACTGCCATCACCATCCCCAAAGGCCTGTGGGCTTTTACAAGATATCAGACCAACAAAGAGACCCCATGAGAAAATCACGCAGGAGGATGATGAGGAAAATACTGCACACATATCAGAGCCATCTGAAACCAAGTAGGTTGTTTTTGCAAGTTACAGGCTTTTGTTCCTCTCAGTGTGTATAGATCTTTCACTGAAGGTCTGTGTTTGTTTGTTTGTTTTTTCTAACCTTTCAGAAAGCTGGAGTCTACTTATCATTACAATGAGCCAAAGTACATTGTATTTGAAAGCTGTCTGAGAGAGCTCTTCCAGACTTGCCCCCTGTGCAGGCAGGAATGTGAGGTGCAACAACAGAGATCAGGGACTTTTGTGTCCTTTAGCCAGCTCTGCCCAAACTGCCAGTTTAGAAGAAAGTGGCAGAACCAGCCAATTCGAGGCAGCACGCCTGTCGGAGACCTCCAGATGTCTGCAGCTATTCATTTCACTGGTGGATCCTTCGCACAGGTGAAAAAGGTAATGGAAAAACGGGACTGTTTACATCAGACAATGACTGAAGATTCATGCAAAAATATTACTAGAATGTGCTCTGCTTTGTTTTCAGGTCTCAAAAGCCATAAATCTCCAGATGTTCCAAAAAGACACCTTCAGGAGACATGTGAGAATGTTTCTCGAACCAGCAATTATTCACAAGTGGATCAAAGATCAGCAGATACTGGTTCAGGAGCTAAAACAGAAAAACAAAATTACATTGGGTGGATGTATAAAGATGGACTCATCAGGTGCAAAGTCTCACATTGATAATTGATTCAGTTCTTTTATTTAAAGTATATGTTAGTGTCTTATAGCCTGAAAAACGTACAAATACTTTTATTTATTATATTTCAGGTCAATCTGCCAAATTCAGCAGCTGCAGCCTCATGGAGCTGGAGAAAAACAAGGTCATTGATGTCCAGCTCGTACAGGTAAATCAAGTTATGAGTGTGCTCATTCATTTGTTTATGTAAAATGAATTTTAATTTTGTGTTTTAATTTTGGTGTGTGCCAGAGCTGTGAAGTTGGTGTAGAGTCAAACATGGAAAAAGAGGCGCTCAGAAGAGGATTAGATGTTCTGGATGTAAACCATCTGAACGTGGATTGCATTGTTACTGCCTGCAACGCACAAGTACAGGAGTATCTAAAAGAGCGACAGGTTACACAATACTGCGATGTTTGTCACTTTGAGAGGGGTAAATATAATCATTCAACCGTAACATGGTGAATTAATAATTTATGCACATTATTTCTATCACTAAAACCCTAAATCTTTTCAGGTTTGTCAAAAAAACTGAGAAATATATCCAAGAGAAGGACATTCAAAGTGGTGCGCAGATGGATGCCTGACATCAAACAGCACATTTATTGGACAGCCAGGTCTTCACGGTGTGGACCAGAGAGGGTTGCAAAATGGAAATCCCTGGTCAACTGTATGCAAAACATCCACAAACACGATGATCCCCTTTTTCCAAAGTGTGCCCATGCCGATGGACTTTCAGCAGACACAAGCAAGTGGCTTCAACCAGGTTCGTACTCAAATACTTCATTGTTTTTGTGTATTTAAGGGTTTATGTGTCTTTATTCAGAGGATGGCAGCTGGAGTAGGGAACTGGGAGGGGAGACTGGGGACTGACGTGAGAAAGACTGCAGGTTAGACCCATTATAAACAAAAGAAAGATCAAAGTGTTGGGTTGACCTCCCAAATAGATAAAGCAGTTTGTTAGCCAAAATGACCCGGAGTCTGTTTGCGATTTTCTTATCAAATTCATTGCAAAATAAAGGGTGACAAACTTTAAACTGTTTTATTAAAGATGTTTTTAACGATCCTTAGGGTCTGCATGTCCAGCTGCCGCTGATAGCGAGTTAGACGACTTAAGTCCCTCTTTCAGTTAAATGATACTGCAAAATGAAGTGGGGCTGTTTCTTGAAACTCAGGGAGACCAAAAAAAGAGCTGCCAACACTTACTGAAAAATGGATAAATAAGCACCATTAAAGTCAATGCTAAATGCTCGTTTGGTCGATGTAGGAGTTTGGTGTGATAATTACCTGAAAAAAAAAAGAACAACAGGAACAAAGAGTCAAAGCTTTGTGTCACAAAATTGCATTTGAATGACAAATCCCCTCATTTATCCTCAGTGGAACTACTTCAAAAGACTCTTCTGATATTTCAGTGATATTTGTCTTTTAGGATCAAATACTCTGCACAAAGTGGAGAAAACTCTGATGAATAAACGGGTTCTGCGTGATGTGGAAAACCTCAGTCCTGAACACCAGCCTTCATCGCTGGAGGACTTCCACAGAGAGGTGCTCCGCTTTGCACCAAAGAAAGGAGATTTGTCTTTTAACGGAAGGCTTTGCAGGTAAAGCTTGTTTGCACATCAAAATGCATATCTCCCTTTTTTTAAAATATGATATTATTTAGTGCTATAATGTCTTATCTTTTTCTAGCTCTTCTTAGTGTGCAGATTTTTCTATTGGATCATTAAAATGCTCTCTAAATCCAAACACAGAAGGAAGGAATTCAACTCACTTTAGAGTTTTTTCTTTTCCACAGACTGTACTTGGCTGCTATGCACTTCAATGAGAGTGCAGAGAGAGATAAAGGAAGTACTGCAGCGAGAGAGGTTGATGACAGGGAAATGTTCCCCAAATCGAAGAGGAGAAAAACTACATCAGACCATCTGAGGGGAGAGCCAACGTGCAGTGAGTCAAATCAGATTTTCTATTCTAAACATTACTGTTTATGTGTGTGTTAAGACTATTTGTTTATACATATAAAAAAAAAAGATATATCACTGCGTACTAAAGTTAAAGAAGCAGTAAAATCTTTAAGCTGACTCACTGTAATTATGTGTCACATAAAAAATGAAAAAACAATGTAAACGTGTTTTTCAGAATATGTGAAGGACCTGATGATACTGCTATTTGAGAAAGTTCTTGAAGACCGCAGGACATACACACAAGAACTCAAACACACTTGTGCGCCTCAGCTGGGAGACCCTCATAAGAGGAGGTCATCACCAAGCATTTCACCTTTGCAGCCTGAGGGGCCAGCCTGAACCCAAGGTGACTGACAGCAGCCAATAAAAACTTCATGTGTGTCAGACAAAGCAGGATTACAAACCTGATGTCTCTGCCCAGAAATCTACCACAGTACAAAACTTCAGTTCAAGAGGTACAAGTATCTTTTGAAAAGAGCAGAGCACATCATGCTCTGCACTATTTTGAGACCCAATGAGGATTCAGCAGATGGGAGGGAGTGACATGCTACAGAATTCAAAATGATGTGTGATATTAAGCTGAAAAGAGCAGGAGTTGTTCCCTTGGAAAACACATAGTCTGGGGAACCACTTTGCAAATTGTTAAGTGATATGATTGCTGATCATTACCTTCAATTACACTGAAACCCTCTGTGGGTCACAGTGTGTGTCAGCTGAAATTAACATGAAAGATGCTCACAAAGGTCCTTTGGGGAAATGATAATATTTGTTGTGTTTTGTACCCCTTGTGTTCACATCAGACAGCAGGGAGGTTTGGAGATAGCTTTGTCTCTCACTTTTTTTTTCCTCTACAAATGGGAATAAAAGTTTTCAGTGGCTGAAGTGGTCCTGACTGTTGTGTATGAGGAGGGAAGAAGCAGCTGTAGACCAACCTGGTAGATTTCTTACCTTTATGAAGTAACAGACTCATGAATGGTACATTTCAAGTTTAAAGTAACTTTAATTATAGCCGAAACAACTTTAGTTTAATTTAATCTTTACATAAAGCTGGTCATTTCTTGACTCTCAGCACCAGCCTCAGATGGAAACTTAGAATTTTGCCACAGTGTCTACAGGCATATGAAAAATGTGCTGTACTACTAAATACAGGTTGATTTAAAATGTGTTACCAGATTGTACCTTGCGTTGCTTTTGCTTTTAAGACTTCATCAGGGTTTTGACCAAATTTATTAAATGCATGAAGTTACTGCATAATGATGTTTTCTTTTTTTTAAGTTTTAATGAGAAATCAATCTTCAGTGGCATATGTGATATGCATTTTTAATAGTGTTCCCAAAACTTATTTTTAATCTAATTGGTTTTAAAAAACAAGAGAGCTTAAAGTGACATTTGAGAAAGCACAGATTGAAAAGCAATTGAGTTTCTGTAGGAGAGCTGAGCACTGTTTACCTAGTCTGCTCTGAGCAAGCCTGTGGGCACAATGTGGATGACAGCCCAAAAAATGATGGCCAATCTGAGCTCTTAAAGTGAGGAATGAATGAAATCCTGCTCTTTGGATTTCCTCAAACTCACTTTCACTCTTAGATTAATGTCATTATAATACACATTTATTCATAGCTGCTAATCCCGACAAATGAGTGTATCCATGTCAAAGGTCGACATTGAGTAGAACTGAATTCTAACTACCCAGATCATCTTTCATTTCATGAGGCTAATAGCGCTGTGCGTTAAAGAGGCAACATTTTTTTGTGCTCATTGACTATGGATGAGCATCTGGTCAATGTGCATGTGTGATGTGATCGCTGAGCTCTTCCTGAGAGTGTTTCACTCTCTGTGTTTCCCCATGCACAAAGATAAACAGAGTCACATTTGCATCCACAGATATGTCTATGATTGCATACAAATGTAACCTAACTTCAAGATTAGGCATACATAGAGGAGCCCATGGCGACTGGAAAAGATACTTTGAATTAGGAAAGCATTTGATCACAATGGTTTTTAATAGTATTGAGCTGCTAGAAATATGTAATTAGGTTTCTTTGTAGGGAATTAATTGCATTAACATGAGAGCAGTTTGGTGTATCAGACTGGTCAGGACAGCAAATGCAGTAGCAGTACACCGTGTTGATTTAAAGGGATGAAGTGACTCTATGCATGTTGTCTCGGTATGACAAAGATCTTGATTTAGTCCAGAAGTACAGAGAAATCTAGTTTAAGATCTATGTTATACCCTCAGTTGTAGTAAAAAAAAGGATTGATAAGCCTGTGATCTGGTGAGAGACTTAGTCAGAGGGTTTACTTCGGGCAACTTTGAAGAACTTATTTTGATTTGGGAGTGAAGAAAGTGATTCATCTTATGTCTTTGCTGATCTCATATGTACAAGTAGGTCTGTGTTGAAAAGAAAGCCTCCCTTTGACTGCTAACTGACAAGTCATTACTATACAGTGCTGGAGAAATGTAAACAACAACAAAGCCACTTTCAGTCTGCATGATTTCAAATACTACAGCAGAATTCAATCCAGTGGCAGCTGACACATTCATTAAAAATAACAATGTGGAAATAATCATCTAGCTAATGCTCTCCTTTTGAAGGCATCAGGATTAAATTTGGTGTGTCCCTGAAGCATTTTATATATCACAAAAGCAAAGTAGAAATATAACACTAATAGATGTTGGTCAAGTCTTCAAAATCAAAGAAGGATTATAGCCATAATAACCAGGTAGAACTGGCTATGTTAGCACTTAAATGTAGGTGAAACAACAAAAAGTTTGAGCTGTTTGAGACGTAACAATGTTTGAAAGTTGAGACAGTTTTACTACAAGTTCTTTTTTCACTTGAGTATTTATTTTTATTTTGCGAATTTTTGAAATAAATGTTGCTTATCTTGGCTCTCTTAGATGTAATGGACTGTATCATCAAATAAAAATCAGCTTTATGCCAGTAAACCACAAAATGACAGTTAATGTGTAAATACGCATTGTTAATAAAGCATCACAGGAATGATTGCTATTAGGATGGGAAATATGTGGATTGTAGTACTTACAATATTCAAACAATGGTTAGGTATTGTTTGTTAAGGGGCCACAGTACTTATTATACTGCTGGATTCCCAGTCCCAGTGTAATTTAATGCATGTCATTCCCCCCTTTCTCCAAGTAAATAAAAACACCCAGGTGCAATTTAGGAAACATTTGACCTGATTTAAAAAGGAGAAGGACAAACGTTGTGATTGCATGTTTTTGTGGTCGCTTAATGACCTTTCTTTCACTGCCAAGAAGTGAAATCACACTAATTTATTTTCAAAGCAGGATTTAATGACAGAGGGGTGAGCAAAACAGATTTTGCTTTACAGTAGGATCCATCATTGTACAGTTTCATGTCTGTGTGAAGAATGGTCTGTGATTTACTCTTCCACACCACCATTTATCAGAGTTAATTTTATCTAACACTGGACAGAGGTCATTTTGTACTGTCACAGAGTTACATAATCAAATTTCTGTTTTGCGCTATTCTTTGCAGTATAACTAATTAGCTGTAGACATCCTCAGATATATTATGTCTGGAAAATCGTCCTCCAGAGGACTTCTGTCTTGTTAGTCACAATAAAGACGAAATGAACCAAGGGCCACTGACCAGACTGGATTGAAGCTGGTCTGATTCACAGTGACGACAACAATTATTAAAAGCTACTGTGAAAAAATCAAAGAGGATTGAAATCAAGTGGCCAAATGGACGAGTAGTCAAAAGGAAATCCTCCTGTCATCTGAGGTTACAACTGCGCTCCCACAGGAAAGGTGATGCTCCGTTTCTGTACAAGAGGAAATTTCAGACAAAGACACATGTGTGATTCCAAATTATTTATTCAGCAGTTGCAATATAAAGATATAACTTATTGTAATCTAAGCAATAATACATGTCTCCTGATATCAACATCCCTGCCTTCCCAAATATTTGTTTTACATTTAAATAATATATCTCTCCATTAAAGAAAGTCCAAAGTTTAGCCATATTTTACTTCCTAAGCATAAACTAGGCAAATGCAACCACAGTGCAGAAAGGTAAAAATTGTTAAAATTTTAATATAGTAAAATTACAAAACAAATAAGCATTCGAAAAAAATCAAATATTGAGTAAAAGTGATAAATTAAGTATTTCAGAGTTATTCTGATATATATATTTTTTACCCTTTTGTAGAATTGACCACTTGTTAAGCCCTGCTTCCCTTCTTTACTGTTGCCAGATTTATTAATCTCTAAATTTCTCACTTTTTGTGTGATATCCACAAAGACATTGGGCAGATTGACTTCAGAAATATTTAAAAAATTTACAAAGAAGTGTTTTTTGATGTCATACAGAGGTAGACTTGTTTCTAGCCAAAAACTGCCAATATAGCCTGGTTTATGTTTGCAAACTTATTAAGCTACTTAAGCTATTAATTAAGCTAATATTAGCTTAATTGTTTTTTTTTCAACACCTAGTTTCCATTAAGTTTTTAAATGTCTCTGGCTTGACCATTAACATTGAAGTTAAAGGGGTCAGAAGTAAAATTCTGATGAACATTAACAGTACATTATTTGTGCTAGAAGACTGCAGCTAACGCTAACAGGTCACAGAGGTAAGAAGTTAGCGTAAAAGCTGAGCTACAGCAGAATGGAATGCAAATTATTTTACTACCTGAAGTTTGAAAAAGGTAAATGTGAGAACTAACAGCTTTTTTTTGTTTTGTTTTAATACATTTTCATTAAGCTTTATTTGGCTGCTTGACTTCATCATTTAAGAAAAATACAGTATTTTTGAAAAATCCCTTTATTTTTTGAACCAACTATCGTATTTGGCTAGCAAAGCATTTAAAATGTAAAAGAGCAGCTCAGGGGTTTTAATGTGAGTGTACACTCTGATAGCAATAGTTCTAGGATTAGCTCCCACACAGTGATATTTCACTACAGAGTAAATGTGCTCATCATAGACCTCTTTTTTCAGCCATGTTGACATGTGCAGTTAACTTTAAAGCATGAAAACACACAGTGTAAGCCATACCATAACATTTTGCAGCCTGGTTCAAAGAAATAAACTCTTAATCTACATGCTTTTAATAAAAAAAATATCACAAATTGGGAGGAGAGCCACTGCAAGCAAAGAAATTGTAACACTGCCTCCTACATGCCCATGTTAGAGCCTAACTTGGTATCAAAAGTCAATGCTTCATGCACTTTTTTAATCACTGCACCCTTTTCGCATATTTTACCAATCACGCTACTACGACAGCATGTGCCACGATTTGTGTCACCAGACTCACTTCCTTGTTATTTAATAATCATCAATCATCTTATTAGTGTGACCGTACATCCTGGTTTGACTAGAGCAGTGCCCCAAGCTCCCTGCCCTGACTCCAGACAAATAGCTACTAAACATTTATTTTATCCCCGGTTATGAACAATCCTTGCACTGGTTTGAACCAATTGAAACACCTACACAATGCACCGTGCTTGCAACACTGACTCTCTTGTGTATATATGTCAGTCAGTGTTGCCTCCGAGGCTAATGCTGTCTGAACCAATTAAAAAAACATCCTACAAGTCTAAACCCAGTGCTTATTTGTCTATACATGAGTCAAACAATCTCATATGCTACAGCAATTTCATTGAAAAAGACAAAAATTCAAAACTGAAGTTGTAGGTTGAACAAAAAGAAGCTCAGGCATACGAAGAACCAACAAGCAAACAATGCTTCATGAAAAGAAGCAAAGTCCTGGAGCGAGTGAAGAATAGACTTCATCAGTACCAGAGACTCCAGCGTTGCTATTTAGTATTATTCATAAAGGTTCCTTAGAAAGTGAATTCTGCTAAAATTGCACATTGAGACGCTTTTTGCTGATCTTGAGACTGTTGTAAAATCTATTGAGTAAAAGACCTGCTGTGTGTAGTTATAGTACTTTCCAGATAATCACTGGACTATCGCTGTTTGTGGAAAGGGTTTAGCAAATGGTCAATAAAGGTCAGTCTCATTTATGACCGCCACTTTGGTACTTTATAAGTTAAAAACGGTGGTGGTTTGGGTTTTTATAAAGTCTTTGATGCAACTCAGTAAATAGCAGTGAAAGAAACAAGCACAAGGGCAGAAGTGTGAGAAGTCAGTGGGGGGCACAGATGGTGATCTATCAAAAACGACTCACAGTATGAGCGGATGGATGGCTTATTGGTGTTGTCCTTCTATTTGTGGCTATAGACAACTTAGTAGAGAGCCCGTAAGTAAAGGTAAAATACTGGTCAAAATCTGCAGGAAAAAATAAACTTCCAGTATATCACAGTAGTTTTCATTTTATATGCAATGCCCATTAAGCCTGATTCAGTTTTTTGAATATTTAAAGTCTTAAAAGTTGCAGCAGAAGTCAGCGGTCAGCATTCATTCTACGCAGTTTGGGTGGTAGGTTGTCCTCTGGCCGACTCCCAACCAAAGGGATCTGGACTTGTGTAGGGGCAGGAGCAGCAATGGAGCTAATTGCCGCTGGCAGTCTGTGTTTCTCCAACTCCCCCTCCTCTGCTTCTCCATCCAAGGACAGCAGCTGGACCTGCTCCTCTGGCTGTCCTTGCCTCACGACTGGGATCGAGCTGGACCTCAGCCTCTGAATACTGAGTGGAAGGTCTCCTGTGCTGGAGGCCTTGCCCCCTGGCAAGGGTGGCCCAGTCTTCAGCCCCTTCCAGAGGAGCTCCTCCCTGGTGGAGCTCATGCGTTGGAGCTTGCTGGGCAGCCTGGTGGCCTGATCCTCTGCATGATCTACACAATCAGCAGACAGGAGCCTTTCCCTGCGGCCTCCACGGCCACCGTTACCCAATGGAGGGGAGTTGGGGGTTGGTGCAACAGGGAGAGGGTTGGGTGACGTCAGTGAGGACTTCTCCTCTTGCTCTTTGACGCTGTATGGAGGCGTAGGGACCTCGAATGTGTTGTGGAACTGGGAGTAGTCGACTCTGAAGAAACCCTCCTCCAGTGACATGACGGGGAGGAAACGATGGCCCCACAAGACTTCATCTTCAGTGTAAGACGTCCTCGCCTGGCATGTCATTCCTAGGATGGGGAGATGAGACGCAAGTGTAGAGAAACATTTAAAAAGGCAGGCAAAAAGAAGCCAAAGGAGAATACTAAAAGCACAGTGATCTCTTGGAGGAAAAAGTTGAAAGTGAGCTGTTAAATAAAAATGGCCTGTTAGCCAGACAGGGAACAGAAATTAAAAGTGGAAAACTGCTGGAGGGAAGAGAGCTGGATATATTAAAAGTAACACACACACACACACACACACACACACACATAACAGAAGCAGAATCTTGTGCCATTGAATAATTAAAGACCATGAAATTAATCATTCAGTTAAATAATTTATTTTATATCACAGAGAAATGCTCTCTACCTCAGGCTAAACGATGATCAAAAATTATTTAGGGAAATGAAAGTGCAGACAGAGTTATTATTTAATATAAAAACTTCATCTAACCGGTAGTCTCAACGATTCCCTCCAGGATGACGACAATCTCAAACTGCTCGTTCATCAGCGAGCGCTGCGACAGATCGAAGAACGGACTCTTGGTGTTGATCTCATGGCAGATGGTCAGAGGTGACACCAAGAAGAGCTGGTCTGCCCCCGTCCCAAAACCCACATCTAGCTCACACTGGTCCAGGGGAAGGAACTCACCTTCTGGGGTCTGCCGAGACTGGAAAAACAAATGATGAGGAGATATGACGTTTGACATATGACAATTATGCACTCTATGCAGTGGCCGGATATGTGAGTTTGAATGTGTTTCTTATAACTCTGATGGGAGCGTAGCTGAGCATGTGTAAGGTTAGGTGTCATAAAGTCACTTTGAGAAAGCAGTTTTTATTTGAGATTTGATGTTCCACATTACATGGGATGTTGGTTTGGGAGTCAATGTGGATTTGAAGAAGTGAAACCTTGCCAACTAGATATCCTGAATTTCTCACAGAAGTGCACATTTTTGTCTTCGGGATTTCTTGCTATTATCTCCACAAAATCTAGGGAAGGTATAGATGCGCAGCTTTTTTAGTTTGATCAAAAGACCTTCAGGTTCCTTGAAATGGAAATGGGAGGTTGGATCTCCCCAAAAATCTATCATGACATTTTTAGGACAGAATATTTATTTGCCTGTGAGAGCAGCCAGAAAGGTTCTTGCTGCTTTTGGCAGAGACATGGGATGACTTTAAAATGGGGGTACAAAGAGAAGACACATTTTGACATATTTTTGGCACATGGTTATAGATAGTGGTACACCACATGCAGGAGAGGTGACAAAACTATAAACTCTGTTCTGAGGATCTTCATGAAGAGCCGAGGAGAGAGAATGCAGATTGAAAAAATGTTCACTTCTTCCACATCTATGTGCAACACAGACATGCTCTGCAGAAATCTTTCACTGTCATTACCAGCGCATTACAGTATCGCACTTAAACCCCTCAATATTAGCCTGGCCTTCAAGACAAGCATCATTAGACTATGAGAAGACACTAGTGGTTGCTCTGAGGAAACCAAGCCCAGTCGAATAAAGTACTCTATTAGCTGTTAAATTAAAACACGGGATTAGAGAGGAGGCTCTCGATGAGCTTCTAAAACCACTTTCCTGTCAATTGCAAGCCTGTTACACCATTTAAAAAAGAAAAAGGTGATTGTTCTACACAGGAGGCAAAAGATTAAAGCCAAACAACCAATAAGAGTTTCACTATTATAAAGAGAAAATAAAAGAAAAACACAAACAAAAAAAGGAAAATAATTAAAATAAGTTCTATCCTGCCAAATTTAAATCCAGACTTTTTCCTAATATATTCAGAGTAGCCTCTCTGGCCCTTGGAGTGAAGAGCCACCAGTCCACAGATGGCAAACAGACTGTCATTTGTATTCACAGTGATGTTGAGGACAGAAGGGTGTGACATTTCACAGGAAGACGTCTGTGCCCACAGATCCCCAGCTTGCCACAGTGAGGGAAAGTGTCACCCATCAAACTGTATGAGCGAAGGACACTCCCACATTATTCACATAGGGGACCTATGTTGCATGTCCAGCAGAGTTGAATCATTTTAACCGGTCAAATGTTTCACAGAATAATTTAGGATGACTGCAAAATAGGAAATAAAGAGAAGACATTTGTAAACCTATCCAGTCTGCACAGTGTAAAGAACATTTTTCATTATTGCTCACTCAAATCCTGTGCACACAATCACACACTCTTTGCCAATGCTGTCATTTCCTTCATAGCATGTGATTGGCATTATAACAGCCAAAGTACAAGGAGTTATACATCCATGCCTGGTGAAAAAAGAAAGAATTAAAAGAATTTAATGTGTAAAGGCAGCGAAAGAGCATAAATAGCTAGCCTTGCTCATCCAGAGGTAACACAATGTAAATCTTAACACCTTTAAAGCTGAATTATTTCCACATTGTATGTCATTTGATATGCACAGAATTGATCGACACTTGAGGCAGACTCAGGCTAGATTTACTTCATGCCAAACTAAACCAGCCTTCTGTTTCTTTCATCATCTCTGATCTGAATAAGCAATAAATTATACATCTTTTTATACAAATGCAGAATCTGGAAGGCAAATGGCTTAAGAGTAATAGTTGTGCAACTGCATCAGTGTTGTTGTGGTTAATCTTGTTTTTAAAAGCTTCTTCCAGGAGTGCATAAAATCATTTTTAAAAAGACTCCCGTGTGCTTATAAATGTATTTATTTATCTCACCCACCACTTTAAAAATGTTAATTGACATTGAGGTAGTGCAGTCAGATGTCCCATTTGTTAGCAATGTTCATACAAGTCAGTGGAAAGGTGAACCAATTTCCTGGGAAGTCACTTTGAAGTCATTTTAGTCATGAAGGCAAGAGCAGCCATTTTTTTAGACACCTTTGACTAACACTGTGATGTTGCAGAAAAAATTATACCCCTGCTAAGGAAGGTGCAATCTGCCTCAAAGTGAATGGTGTGAAACAAGGTGAAAGCCTTATGTGTTCTCTTCCTTCCCACAGTGCCACAAGGGGTAAATTAATGGCCTTTGGAAAAGAGCCTTATACAGAGGGTGAGCTTCAATTACCAATTCACCTGAGAGTCAGGTTGAATAAAAGCAGGCTCAATCCCTGATGACATGCTTCTTCCTCTTAGACAGAGTTTGTGTGTGGGTCTCTGTGTGCCTGTGAGTATACATGTCAGAAGGGTGCAAAGAAGCACACGCAGGGAAATTTGAGGCGGTTCTCAGAGTGGGAAGAACCTCTTACAACAAAAACCGCTGTGCTCCAGCTTCAAGTTGTTCAGACTTACTAATTAGTTCATCTGGAAGTCTAAACATCCCATGTATGGAGGCTGTAGGCTCTTACATACTGCCATATTTACGCCCCTGTTACACCTCCTCTGCAGTGTGTAAGGCGTTATGGTGGGTCGAAGTCATTCCAGTGTAGAACAGCACGGTGTGTATGTGCATACTTGGCTGTGTGTATGTGGAGTCCCTTGCTGCACCACTCACAGTCCCAATGCCGTCATGCAATTTTTAAGTATGAAGCTGTAATGATGACAGGACAACGTTTTCAGCAGTAACCTATGTAAGAAGCTTATGGTTACTGGTTCAATTCCTCGCCACAACCTCTTTGCTACACATCAACCTACATTCCCTGTCTCCCTTCAGCTGGCCTATCTAATTAAGGCAAAAAGCCCAAAACATAACTTTAGAAAAGGACTGAATGCAAAAATGGCTGTGAATGTAATACAAAATTAAGAAAGTTTGAATTTCTAGTTTACAGAGACGCTAGAGGTAAAAACCTGCCCTAGTAAAGGAGCTGGGGAAATCCATTTTAAAAAAGGTGATGGGGGTTTAGCCACACTGGATGTCAGGGAAGTTCAGGTTTTTTTTTTTTTGGTGCCCTTGTGTCATGGATCTGAGCCAGAAGCCTCTATATTTCAATTTACTCCAATCAATCATTATTTCAAAGCATTTTACTCTGCTGCATAATACCTTTAAATGAAAACTGTCCTTGAAATCCTATTAATATTTATGTATGTGTCATCAATAAAACAAAAGAATGCATTCATGCACTCAGTGACCCCTGAAGCACTTTCAAAGTGTTATTTTCAAATAACAGAGCATGTTTGCATCTAGTTTACCAGCAATATGTGAAGACAAGAGAGGAAAAAGCTGTAAACTGGCAAACAGGACCAAAACAAAAAGACAGAGGGAAAGAGTGGCAGCTGGGTGGTGCTTGTCAACATCAACAGAGGCTGGTCTCAGTAGATTGATCCACAGCAGAAGATAAAAGATGGAGAGGAGCAGCAGTAGATCGACAGGCATGACAAAATGACTACACACTAACTCTGAAGGATGAGCAGAAAAAGAGAGTTAAAGTGAGGAGAGACTGAAAGAAAGACAGTTGAAGACGCTTTCGTGATGCTTCAGGACGCCGACTTGTGTGAGCTTTAGTATATTTATATGGCAGCTATTTCCCTCTTTCTGCATACTCAGGATATGACTCTTCAACACAGTTACAACATTGACGAGTCATCTTATATCTTTTTAAACAAAGCTCACAGGAACAAAGAGACAACTTTTTACTGTAACATAAATTGTTGTCTTAACTTGTGTGGTGGTAACTGTGTTGCTTGAGCCAAATATCAGTATTGTGATCAAAGCTAATACAGCACTCTTAACTGATTTTAATTTGGACATAGCGTCACTACTTCATGATTTATGGTATTTGGGTGTATAACATAAATCATGTACTTTCCATTTAGTATTCATCGGTTTGTCATACATTTTGATATATGATTATACAGTTTGACTGTCATACAGTCTTAAAATCATTGTACAATTGCTGTATCTCCATATTATTGATATTGTCCTGGGCCTTTTAATGAGTATGTTATCGTATCGTATCGTATCGTATCGTAAAACGTAACGTAACGTATACCATATCCAAGTGGGTTGTATTGTTCTGTATTGTATTGTATCATATTGTATCATATTGTATCACATTGCACCTTATTGTTAGCCTGGTGTTACCATAACAATTCACCTTGGTCTCTGTAGTTTTAAGCCTGTCCACGATGCCAAACAGACTGACAGAGCTGGATACCCAGAATATAACTTAAGTTTTATAAACAAAAACACTCATTGTTGTTACATCAACCAGAAAAGGTCTGTAGTTGACCCTGGAGTAACCTTACATGAAGATACTCACAGAAATTCTAGAGTAGCTTATCAAGATAATAACCAGCTTTGTGTTACTGCACGGCACAGGTTTTTTTTTTTTAACTTGCTCTACATTGTACAAAAAAATCTTCACATATTTTCTAAAGCTTGATGTTAAGACAGGTTTGTTTACAATCAATACAAAACCTAAGATAATAATCCTCAAGCATCACTCCCTGGATCATTGAGTAAAAGTAAACATAAGGAGATAAAAATGAGTTCAAATGCTGCAACAACACAGCATGCTTACAAACCTTTTATAAACTTGCAGTGTCCAGGTCCCATAAGAATTTACAACTCATGACTCTCCGTGACACTGGGTTGCAGATGTCATGTCAGAGTGCGTTTACACAGCTCCATCATAAGGATTTACTGCAGCACGTCTCTTTTCTCCCCTCAGCTCTACTGGCAGGCCTTCTCCCTGTGACCTTGAGCTATGTGTTACCTGAACACAAGCCATGCCTTTGTCTCCATAGTGCAAGAATAGTACCACAGGGTGATGTACAGTCAATTTACTCCACAAAGGCCCGCTATAAAGTCTGGCAGCGCAGTGGTGTAGTTTTATGGGCTCTAAAACATCATAGTGTCAGTTAACATACTTTAACAGAGACATTATAACATTGCAGCTGTTCTGCAGGAGTTTCACAGTAGAATCCTGCACCAGGCATTTAGTTAAAAACTGAGTTCAATCTGAAGCTGTGAGAAAAGAAAAGGGATCTGTGTCAAACCAGTTGATCTTTTGAAGTGTATCAGTCCTAGAAAATCCAAAGAACTTGTGAAACTGCACTGGGAAAAGTGAACTGCAGAAAGCATGCTTTGATTGGTGATTGGTCTTACTAAAGGTAGGATTGATGGTGGTCAAACAGACAAATAAGAAATTCCTGCATCTCTGACCTTCCACAGCACATTAATGATGGACGTGGCTTTACGGACAATTTAATCATCATTTTACAGATCATCATCTGCTGGCAGAGATCCCAGATCAGGATCAGAATAAAATCAAATCAATCGCTCTTTGAAGGAAAGCAAAGACCGTTTAAATAAATAAAATACTATGAAAAGCAGATGTGTGAGAACACTTCAAACATTCCCACTGAGGTTTATTTACCTTTTGTCATAATACACTCAGGCAGGTTGTTGTTCTTTTAAAAGTCCTTGGAGGTAATGCAGGTACAGTGCAGCTGAAGTATTACAAAATGTATCCACTCTGCAACAGGACTGCAGCAGTCAGTGCAGGGTTTTTTTCTGCTTTTATTGTTGTGAACCAGATCTGCTCAAACTTTACATTTTCAACACTTCTATTGCCCTTAAGGGATCAAATCAAGCACATTATCTAAATCCTCTACATAATTAATCTGGAATAATAAGTCTGCAGTGGCTCCTTGTAAAGTAAAAAGTTACAGCCTTTTATTTATCAGTACTATCAGCACTCTCCCTGCGCAGACGAATTAAACCAAGGTCAAACATGACAGTATATCCCTCAGGTGAATATAGGCATCTTTGTCAGAATATTAAATAATCCCCATGTCCTGTAGGTCTCTGTAGAGGGAGGAAAAATGATGATACAGCATGTGTGGGGCTCTAATGCTGGGTTGAGTCAGTGTGATTACCACACCATATTTTCTTTGCTTTTCCAGGCTGTTAATTAAACAGTGATAGTAGAAATGGGATAAAACTCTGTCTATAGACAGCTGAAACATTAGCAAAGATAAGTTATTTAATCGAGGGTTTTAAAGTGTTAAACTAGGTGACTTTTATTCCTCTGATGAGAACTGTTTCTTTTCACTGTAATAAAAAGAAAGATTAAACAGACCGAGGAGATTATAACACCTAGGGCTTTCACTGCAACATAAAGCACTAACTACAGTAATGCAATATAACTGGGAGCTTCTTGCTGATTTAACCCTAGAGGTTCACTATGTAAACAGTCACTAGAGATCACCACAGTACTCCACAGAGATGACAAAACCACAACACTCTCCCTGCTGTTATAAAATCATACATATATCATCTATAATCTAGGGCTATCTCTGTAAGGAGATGCAGACACACAGCTGTCCTGAAATAGGACTTTAATTGAAGCGTTTTCAATTTATGGTCATTTCTGTTATGGTTCAAAATTGAGAGATTATACTCAAACCAAAGCTGCTGTCCATCATAACTTCTTGCAGTGTCCTTCAAACACTGACGAGTCCATCAGTTTTTGACTAATTCCATTTACACACCACTGGGAGCAGCCAGCAGGAGTGAGTGGGGTCAAGTGTCTTGCCCAAGGACACTTTGCAATATGGGATTGAACCCCCAACCCTTTGATATGGAGACGGCTGGCTCTGCCAGTTGAGCAACAGCTGCCGCTGAACAGGTTTTTATATTACTTTGTATATTTTTTTAATTCCAAAACCCAGATCTGCAACACATACAGAAAATCATCTTTGCTCAAATCTTAAAAGCATTTTAAAAAGAGTGTGTTTGACCAAAGTAACTGCAAACAAACTAAGAACATTTAAGTACAGAGAAAACTATTACCATTACCTGTTAAAACTGTTAAAGCACAGCCAAAATAGTTCAATTTAACACAGTTCCTGACTCTGACAAGGCAGAAAGATGATTATAGCTTAGGATTTTAGGCTGGTCAGTTGGATCTAAAAGGGGGACTGTGCCACCCCTAGATACGTCTCCGGACATGCCTATGCAACACTGGAGATTTCCCCTTAGTTATTTTCCTTTTTCTTGTTATTTTGGGATAACAAAGCTGATTTTACAGGAACAACAAAATAATTTATCTCATTATCTCCGGCCAACGAGGCTTGTTTTCTGATCATGTGATAATTTGATAGTTTTCTGGCAATCAAGAAAACAAAACAACAGGCTGCTGACAGTTACAAGCCAGACCAAATCATGTCCTGCTGCCATTGCCCACACAGATGAGGTAAATTAGGCCTCTCTCCATGTTTGTTGTGTAGTTTTGCAACTTCTGGAGATAGGAGTGATGATCTGACACCTGGCGTGATGTTTAGATTTTAAAAAAAAGTAACTGAATGAAACTCCTGATTACAGAAGAACAGTGTAAATAAAGTACAAGGATGCGTGTTCACTCAAGGCTTCTGTATATAATGTATTTTCACATTATACATAAAAAAGGATTGTTAATTAATAAAACAATTGTGTGTATTGTTTCTGCTTTCTTAGTGGTGTTTTATCTCAAGCTGAATGAGACCTCAAAAATAGTCTTTACTCAAGTGTCTCTCTTAAAGTGTAGGAATGGGTTCCATTGATCCTTTAGTCAATAAGCCTACTTTCCCCACCAACTGTCCCCTAGGGGCCCATTCGTCTCTTCTGTAGACAGCTGAAGCACAGGCTGAACTTAGATATACAGCCCACTGACATCCATTCTGCTGACTGGGGGGACAGTTTGGGGGGACAGTTTGTGAGGACCCTGACTGTACACACACACACACACACACACACACACACACACACACACACACACTGCAGACCAGGGAAGAGGAGGGAGGATAGACAAAATGAAAAAGGTGTTGAGGACCAGTCCTGTTATAAAGAAGTTGCTGCAGGGGGGAATTAAAAATGGTCACTCATTATAATACATCTTCAGCTTAAACTATGGACTCTGCAAATCCCAGAGACCCCCAGGGAGTGCAATCAATTCTGGAGATGAATAGAAATTCAATGCATGACTTGGAAAGCACTCATAAAACATAATGAGCTATTTCAGAACAAATTAAGTGACTGACAATTAGCCTCAGCCTTGATCGTAGCGTTTCCAGACTCCAGATGAAAAAAAGAGGTAAGAGTGCCTACTTGAGGGGTGCATTTTTGTGATTTTTGTTGCCTACCTTGATGAGTTTGCACCTGATCTGAGCGGACACCATATGGCTGTTCCGCAGGTTCCCCACGCGGAACATGAGGCACAACTTCCCGTCCCGCTGCGAGATCACCGCGTCCTGGCTGAACATCAGCGTCTCCGCGCGCTTCTTCGGCTGCGACATCTTGATGAACATGCAGCCGATGAGGAAGGCGTCTACGATGGAGCCCAACAGGGACTGAAAGAGGAAGAGGATGATACCCTCGGGGCATTTCTCAGTTATGTAGCGGTAGCCGTAGCCGATTGTCGCCTCCGTCTCGATGAAGAACAGGAACGCTGAGGGAAAGTTGTAAACGTTGGCGACGCACGGAGTGTAGGATGAGTCGTGGCCGCCGTGGCTCAGGTCCCCTCGAATGTAGGCGATCACCCACCACATGGAAGCCATCACCAGCCACGCGACTGTGTAAGTGAGAATGAAGATAAGAAGGTTCCAGCGCCACTTGAGATCCACCAATGTGGTGAAGAGATCGGAGATGTATCGGCTGGTCTCCCCGCCAAGGTTACCGTGCTGGACGTTGCAGCGGCCGTTCTTCTCCACAAACCGCTGCCTCTTCCTCTTCACCGGAGCAGAAAAAGTAATACTCCGGTTGGTATTCACCACCTGGTAGTCCTCTCCAAATTTCCTCCGTATGGCTGACATAATGTAAATCACATAGAAGCCTTTTTGTGCACAATCCGCCTCTTTACGCAAGTTTGGCACCCGTTTCTTAAAACCATTCAATGACAATCAGTGCGCGACGCGCATCCTATGAGATGAAGATGATCCTCGCTCCGGTAAATTAATTGTAAGTGAGCAGAGATTCTGCGCAATGCATGATTCGGTCTGGCTCCTTTACGCACAGGAGTCAACTTTTTATTCATCCATGGAGAGAGAGAGAGACGAGGGTGAGAGAGGTTTTCAGTGGCCTCATTAACAAAAGCTGTTTCAGATAGATTCAAAGGCTGCGTCCTTGGCAGATCCACCGAGGTGTTGCCTTTCAGTAAAGCTGGGGTTGTGAACAGCAGCTATGGTGCGCACCTCAGCCTGAGAGGAACACGTTCTGGTGGGAGTGTCTTCAGTTTTAAGAGTGAGCACGAGCTGCATCAAGGGGGGCAAATTTCTCTGTCAAGGATGATGGGAGGGCTGATACAAAGTCAGAGGATCTTAGCTCCAATACAGGTTATAGCATCATAGCAAGGAAAAAATTTGACAGGAACATCAGGAGTAGGTAGCCTTTTGTCTATTTTTCGTCGCCTTGCTTTGAAACGGATGTCCAGACGCCTGCATGTCTCTTTCTCAAATAAAGGACTGAACTGGGCTATCCAAATCCAGATTGTAGTGACTGACGGCTCTTCGGTGCCCCCCAGTGTTTGTGCACCGTCAGTGAGCCCAAAGTTTCCCATGGGAATCACTATCACAACTACAGGGGCTACCGCATTTTAAGAGACTATTAGACCACATAGGTAGATTATCATTGTTGTTTTCAAGTTTTTGAAATAATTAAGATGATTATTTTGTCAAATCCATGGTGATATGTGGGACTGGAGCTCAGGCCACACAGAGACTAAAAATCCACAGAGCTTCAGTTTTTTTTTTAACCTTTACAAAGTAACAGCCACAGATTGAAGTGGCTTTCATACCTATCAGAAATATACTATGGTTCACCAAACAGACACATTAACAGGCATGTCAGCCTACTGGTGTCTCTACAGTATACTAACAACAGGGAGGCAGAAGATGAGTCAGCCCAAATCTAACACACCACAAGTCAAGTTGAGCTGTTATTTAATACCCTTTCCTTTACCTCCCGTGTCAAATTTTCTCTTTATCACTTTCAGTTCAAATCTGACTCACACACGTTGATCTCATAATATTGGGTCATTAAGTTGGTGATAAAAAAAACACATTTCCTGTGATGACTGTTTTGCTCTTGTAGTGTTTTGCCCTTGACTCTTAATGTAAAAACTTTATGTGCTGAATAAACTGCATGGTTTGAAACTGCAAGGTTGAAGAACAATGACATAATGTTTTCTTACATTTGCCACTTTCATTGTCAAATTATGGTGCCTCAGTAGAGAAAGAAAAGTTCTGGGGGATTATTATGTGAAAATGGAAAACTAAAACAAAAACTATGTCCACACAGGCTCAAATGTGGTGCAAAAACAATGTCAAAGCAGGTCATAAAAAAGTCAAATCTGGGTCATCTGGGTGCCATAGGCCCATGGACTGTATATACTATGGACAACTTAGTTCGGCCCTCTGCCAGTATATCGATTTTTTTTTTTAATGCCCTGGATTTTTATTTTAGTTTGTGACAATTCAAGAGGGTTCTTAGTATTTTCCTGTGTGTGTGTGTGTGTGTGTGTGTGTGTGTGTGTGTGTGTGTGTGTGTGTGTGTGTGTGTGTGTGTGTGTGTGTGTGTGTGTGTGTGTGAGGGTCTACAAAAACAAACAAAAACTCATGAATCAACTGGGCCACTGGAATGGGCATCTGGACTGTGGTACAGACAAAGAAAAACTACAAGTAGCCTTGTTTAGTACCAAACTCTTCACAGAAGTGAGCAATTTTTTTCAGGTTCATTTTTTTTTCCCCAAATGAAGGCACTCAGAACGCTTCATGGCCTGAAAGCCTTCTGGAGTTTTTTTTTTTTTTTTTAGAGAAAACCATCTTTTTTTTCTTTTTCTGTTTTTCTTTCAATACATACATGTTGTTTTTTTCCACATTATGTCATAGCTGGAATGATAATAAATGTCAGTTACTGCATTTTTTTTTCTTCCCTTAAGTCTTTTTTTTTTTTTAAACTTTAGATCAACAAGTAACAAAAGAATTACGTCTTGAATGAACTCATACAAAAGCAGCATCAATCAGTTCACAACAGAAACATAATTCTCAGATGGGTCAGAAGCAGCAGAGTCTTCCTCCCCGTAGTTTTGTTGCTTGTCTCAGGAATTAGAAATGCATGGAAGAGCTGATTCACCCACTGACAAACTGATGCCCACTGACAACAGACACATCACTGCCGCTCCTGCGCCTGAATCTACACCGCAGGCAGGCGAATATGGATTTTAAGCCAAAAAGCTCTCGGTAATTCCGTGTTTTCTCTTCACTTCCTGAAACCAACATTGCACAGTAGCGTTGTACGCACTCCACCACTTGCGCAGTAGCGTTGTGCGCATTCAGCGGGAGAGTCGCCGAGAGCCACTGTGATGACATATCCCCAAAAAGCGTATCCCCCAGATGAGCTATGCAATCCTTGTACGCCAATAGGCTGTATCAAGTGTCAATCACAGAAAACTTTTAATGTGAAAAAGATTTCTTTTCCTCCTCCTCTTTACTTTGTTTAGTGTATTGTATACTGGAGGGCTTGGGCAGCCTTTTCATCATGAAAATTTGTAGACTGGTAGATGTAACTACCCTTCATCTATCTCTCCTCACGATCACTCTCTGACCTGAGATGTACAGGAATGGTCATCCCTCATTTGCACGATTAAAGCACACGTCACATGACTAGGCGCTGTAAGTGCAGGCCAGGGTCATAGCCGGGAGAAATGATGAGAAAAAACAGGAGTTTATTATTGATCATCAGGGGGGCATCGCAAATTAAAGTTTTTTTATCTCTCTCTCTTTTTTTTTTTAGGGCTGACTAGGCAGTCCTCCAACATGTGGGGCTCTCTGCGACCGCCTAAAATCACCTATGCCAAGAGCCAGCCCTCTATCTTATTTACATCCTCTGTGTCAATGAAACTGCACCTCAGCAGCACTATAGAAACCCCAAACAGAGGGCGTGTTTATTCAGGGAGGCCTAAAGATGGAGGGCAGCCTGACATTTCCCGACCACATGCCAAGAAAAAGGCACATTCCTCTGCCAGGCATCCCAGATTTCCTGTCTGCATTCACACTGCAACTGAAGGACACATTTCACATCCTCACTCTGCAGTTAGTTAAGTCCCACACCACAGATTTACCTAGCTGCTATGGAGAATTTACTCTGAAATAATGATTGTGCTGAGATTACTGTATTTCCACTTTATTCACACTTGTGTTCTTACATATTTTGTTTGTTTTGTTTGAGAGTAATGCTATTCAATGAAATCCACTTACATGAAAGAAATCATACTTACATGGGCAACAACGGTGTGTGGTGGTGCCTTAACTTGATGGGTAACACTGGTGTCCAACAATACACAGGTTTTGAATTCAAACCCAAGCACTGACCCATTCATTTAAAGCTAGTGTGACTTGGCTTATTCTATTCCATTAAAGCTCCCGTCAGGAGTTTTTATGTTCATGAAACAAGCTTGAACTCGTGTTGAACCTGTCTTTTCATGATATACAAAGCAAATAAAGACCAGATTAACAGTTTGTACTTTGCAATTTTTGGTGCCCAAGACTGGCATGAGGGGGTAGGTGTCCACTGAGCAGCTGAAGAGAAATATTCTCAGAAATAATAATAATGATAAATTAACTAAACCATAAAAATCTATATAAACATTCAGGCCTATTTTTAAGTTAGATTTCAATAACACTTTTTTACAGTGTATTTTTGCTCATCACTGCAGTGAAACACCTGGACTCACTGTGACTCATTGTGATGATGAGTCAAACTTTTATTTATATATGTATTTATTTTGGGGGGTTTGGGGGACAATTTTTTGTGACATAATTACCACTCCAAAGACCAGTAAGAGCTGAAAAAGAAAAGTTAGCCACTTATTATTGTATTCATAACATATTTATCTTTTGTTGTGAAATTCAAATGTTTTCAGTCTAAAAAAATAAAAAATAAATAAGTAATTGGCCTCGCTGTTCCAATATTTTTGGAGGAGAGTGTATGTATTGCATCAAAACTAATAGGTTTGTTGATGGAGGGTACTCTTATAGTAAGTACACAGCAGTGACCCCTGTTTGAGCCTTTCTCCCATGCCAATTCTCCAGAAACAGCAGAGATAATTTGCTGCCCCTGTGAATAATACACTTACAATTGTCATGTAATTCATACAACCTTGTTTAAAAAAACAAACCTCTGAATAGTTCAAAATTCAATTCTAGATTTGGATACAAGCTTCCTTTTTTCACATGGTATGACCCAACTTGACTGATAGTGACTGGTCAAAGAAATCCTTGGGTAAAATCTGTGATGTGTCAGATTGATTGAAATCAACTCACACTGAAATAGCACATTTTGTGGCCTAAGTGGGATATGTCCAATTTTCCCCTCTTGTAGTGCAGGACTGGATTTTTATGGACAGGATGCACCTATAATATGATAAAGTGGATTGGCATGGCACTGGCAACAACCACATAAAGTATATCAGGCAGCTGGTGACTGTGACCAGCTCATATTTTACTGTCTCTTTGTCTGCACCATCTCAAAAATGTATGTTTCCATTCTGTCCTGGGAGGTAACAGACAGACTTTTCATGCCATCATCAATGACCTCATTGCACCTAGCTTGATTGAAATTATTCTAATGGGTAGTGTTGTAGTACTCGAGATCGGTCTTGGTCTCGAGACCATTTTTTGAGAGTCTCGGTGTCGTCTTGGAATCGAAGGCATTTTCGATCGGTCTTGTCTCGGTCTCTACTGGACTTGGGTTTATGAACGAGACTGGTCGAGCTAATAACTTCACATCAATGCTAATGGGTTTAACATTCTTCATATAACAACTGCAGCACATGAAGGAATGTCATATACTTACTGAGCTTTTCTTTTGATCAGTCACTGTCTTTATTATTTGATATTAGTTAAGTTGCTGTGTGCACATCTCCCTAACTATCTTTTCTTGTCTGTGCTTCTATTTTACTTAGACCCAGTTGGTTGAGGCAGATGGCTGTCCATCAATGGATCAAGCTCTACAGGGGGAAAAAAGTTTTTTCCTAGCCACCACAGCCAAGTGCAAGTGTGTTGGTGGTTAGATTTGGGACTCTGTAAATAAAATTTAGATGAGTATTGAGCATCGCTTAAATGTGGGCTAAAGTGCCATGAGCTACCTTTTGCTAGATTTGACACTATGAAAACAAAAATAGATGAAGAGGAGGAGTTCTGTGAGACATCCTTAATACTATTATATTTATTGTGTATAGATTAGGGGAATCATATTGAAGAGATTCAAGATTTTTTTCAAGATTTGTTTATTTGTCATGTGCATGTTAAACAAGTTCAACAATGCAATGCAATGAAATGCCCTGGATGAGAGGACTGCTCAACTCAAGGGAGTACAGATAAAATACACAATAAGTACTGAGAGGAATACAATTAAATAAGGATGCACAAAAAAATTTAAAGATGAGAAGTATAAGAGAAATATTTACAAGCGATGCAGTAGGTGCTGAATGTGAATGTATGAAATGGGGGATAAGTCAGTGGGATAAACGAGGTACGCAGATTGCCATATTGCACATGATGAATAATAGTGTACGAATTGCTGTATTGCACATGGTATTGCACATCACAGATAATATTGCACAGCTAAGTGGGTTATTGCATGGAGTATTGTTCGGTGGTACAGGAGTTTAGTTAAGGCATGTATTGTATATAAGATTGCATTTTATGAAACCTATTCGACTCCTACAAAAAGAGTGTGTTTTTCCTAGGGTGTTAGCACAAAATACAATACCTACTATTTCAAATGAAAAAAAAAAGAATACGGAAAAATATACATTTTTTAAAAAGCACAAAAACAAAAAGGTTAACGAGATTTAAAATTACTTAATTTGACTGAGGTAATCACAAAGGCAATGATTTGCAGGAAGACATGTCTCTCGACGCTGCGCTAAGTGTTCATGTAAATGTGTCCCTCTTGTTTACATTCCTATAGAGCGCAGAGGTTTCTTGCGCTGACCAGTCAGGTTCTCTCAAACCTCAGCAGCCCTTCGCCTGTCTCCTCTCACGACCCGTCCGCTACACCCATAATTCCCCGCGCCAAGACAAGATGGAAGAAAGCAGCCACCGCCGGAGAACAATGTTTTGGCAATAAAACCCCAAAAGCGGCGAATACGGAGAGAAAATAGGCACATTTGAAACCATCTGCGGTCATGTGTAGGTAAGCGTGAAACTAGATTGGATTTTGTTTGTTGTAAATGATTGGGTTTTGTCGAGATTTGAGCGACGGGATTGTCTGGCTCGGCGCAATCGGAGACGCATTCGGACCCAGGATCATTGTTTCTGTTGCATGGGCCGTAATGCGGGTTTTCTGTCGGGGGAGCTAGCGGCTAACCAGCTAGCTCATGGCAGCTTGATTGTTATAAACACAACTGCCTTTACGCGTAGAGTTTGATTCAGCACAGTCATCGGATCTGTAGTTTGCATGTACCGCTTTGGCTGAATGATGTTTTGGTAGCTAAATCGGTAAGAGCTCCCCGGTTGTAATTACAGACAAACAATAAATGGAGCGCGAGCCTTCTCTGAGCCAGACAGATTTGATCGCACGAGCGTCATCAAAGCTAGGAAACGGGAGGATGAGCGTTTGTGCCTTTTTAATTTTTGGTATCTTCTGGAATCATTTATTTCTTTTTGTATGTGTCGCATTTTGGCTAACAGATGACTCCTGTCGCAGTTAAACCCCTTTCATGAACATTAGAAACGTTAACACCATCAAATCATGGACTCGATTAGCATTAGCTAGCTCGATAGCAACTCTAACGTTAAGTAACATGCTAAACGGTGCGGTACGTCGCTAATGATCGGATTATATCTAAAATATATGCACCGTATGTGGTCTTATTACGCATCACAAAACTGTGATTTAATTTTTACTTTTTTAAAGTTCGGCGATAGTTTGTTAGACGTCGGAGCTGACTGTTTTGATTGAGGACGCAAAGGTGCGTTGATTGTGTCCCATTGTGGCTAACCGGTTAGCCGACTATGCTAACAAGCTGGCTAACTACTCTGCATCACAAAAGCTCACTGTTGGATTCAGTGTCGCGGAGCCAAATGGTCGACTAAACAATAAATTCTCACTTCAGTCGTGCTATCGTCCTCGTTTCTTTACACATTGGACTCGACTAAGCTTGACTGCAATGGCTGAAATGCCCGGCGAGAGTTAATCTAAATGTCTGTTTTAGATAAGTGAAACGAACCGACTAATTCGCTAATTTTGCGACCATTAATACCCCAGCTTTTGCGTTCATGTTGGTCGTGAACAACCCATGGCATTTGATGTTCTCCAACATAGGAAAAACAACAGGAATATCATTCTTTGAGAAATCAAGCCAACTTCTACACGGATTTTATTTTGGCCACAATCCAAGTCACATGTGTTGCTAAATGTCGTAAGTGGAACAATGCGAGATGTAGATCATATATTGTGCTGGCTCCTATTTCTGTCTGATTTCGTTCAAAACCCGAGCGCGTGTCCAACATTATTGTTAAGATTTTTTTCTGGACTTCGATCCAAGTAGTCATTATATTTTCATTTTAGTTGTAATTGGGGAAGAAATATAACAGTGGATGATTAGATTTTACGATCAGTATGTTCATTCAGTCAAGAGTTTCTGTGTTGTATTGTCTTCACACCTATAGTTATGATAATCAAAAAGTATGATTTACTAAATGCATCTATTTCACATCACTGCTAAATATGCCAACAGGGCTTTTGTACTTCTTAAAGAAGCACCAGGCTATTTGTTTTCTTTTTTTAGAGGTTTGTCCCGTCTGCTTTTTACCAGGTTAAATATAATTTTTCTGAGTACAGATTGAGCTTTCCAGATGCTGTGACCAGTGTTATGTTAGGTAAAGCCTTATAAATCCAATTAGGTAGTTAATGGTCAACTGACAGGAAATTCAGGGAACATTGTAGTGCACACAGTACACAGTTAAGACAACGTGGCTGTGACTGAATTTCCTTAAGACTTGAAAAGGAAAAAGACGTAGAAATGAAGACAAAATGTCACAGGTGTTGTGGATACTAATGTTTTTGTCTGGAATCATCAATACTTAACAATACTTTTTATCAACCTTCTCTTTCAGGATACTTTTCTCCTGCATCCCTCTTTAGATTAATTGCCCTCCTTCTTCCCTGCAAAAGCAAAAGAACTACCATGAGTATTATCCAAGACAAATTAGGCAATGAGTTTTTGCGCAGTGGTGGTATGGACCCCAATTTTGCACCAGGTATGCTTATGTTTAGCCACCTGCCCCCCGTTACCAGCTTTACACGGCTGGCCTCCCAGTCAGTTATGGGTGAGCTTCCCCAGGAAATGATCCTGAAGAAGGAACGTGACACGCCCCCAGAAAACCAGGGCGCCACAACTGCAAACACAGGAGGCTTTCTCCATAGCATGGGCATTAAGCAGGAGAGGCTGAGTGAGCTGGATTACCGCATGCCCCTCTACAGCGGCGGTGGTGGAGGAGTAGGGGTAAACTGTGTTGGAGGGGGCGCGGGGAAGAGTGGCACTGACATGCAGGACATGTCTTTCGGCAACCACCACCAAAATCATCAGAACATGCTGCTCCATGACTTAAGCCTCAGCAATGTTCGCTCCCTTGGAGAGCAGGTAAGATAGAGTTGTCATATTAAGTCTTCTTTCAAGTGGTTGTTTAATGTTTCGTCAAGTTGTGTTCATTTTTCAGCTTCCCTCTTGACTATATTAGCATGAATTGTAAAATTAAGGCTTTTGTTGATAAATCATAGTGATTGTGGCCACCATTTGCTGTTTAAAGACTCTGGTATGTTGTGCTTGTATTCTGTTCTTAGATGCCTGGAAGAACTTGTAAAGAGCCAAAAGAGTCCTCAGGTAGAAGAGGGCGAAGGAGCAATGGGGACGGGCAGGGCGGGAAAGTGAGGAGGAAACGCAATGACACTGCAAAGGTAAGTAGCTTATTATTTTCTTTTTCCCCATCACAAATGAGTAAAATGTGTTTCCCTAAAATAAAATTACACCAGATAATTAAACTAAACTAATTAAAGCTGTGTGTATGTGCAACAAAAGTCAACTTTATTTACCTGCAGATATATACCCTGTGTTAATGCATGTTTTTTTTGTTTTTTTTCTATAGGCCATGATGTTGGATGCAGAAGGAGCCTGCCTGTCTCCCAACTCAAAACCACATATCTGTGAGCACTGTAACGCTGCCTTCCGCAGCTCCTACCACTTGCGCAGACATGTGCTCATACACACAGGTGAGAGACTTTCACTGCTTATCAGTGCTTTTATTAAATAAATGGAAAGTTAACACAGATAAGCTACATCCATCACCAGTTTATGTATTGTCTGTGTTAAATGACTATACATTATCAAATACACAACTGAAGATCCTTCGTTTGCCATCATGAATAAAAATACATTAATACCAGATAGAAACTGAATTGCACTCCATAGCTCTGTGCTTTTAATTGTCCCTTTCGCTGTGAAAGCTTGAGGCCTTCCTTCAATCCAGACAGCTGCTGATGACTCAGTGATTACTCATATACTTCTGGACATTTTAGTCACTCTCTTTGCTGGGAATTCCTTGCTTGGCTCTTTAAACTTGGGCTTATGAATAATATGAAGGGGAAAATCTTTCCTTTTTTTCTCTTTGACCTGTTTTTAATCATCACCTTTTCTCTTATCCTTTTTTTAAAATAGCCTCCATCTTGTAATGCAGTTCCTTAAAACACATATGGTTATATATTACAATTAAACACTATTTAAAATAATTACAGGTTATTCTGTAGACAGAGGAGTGCTGTATATGACGGTCATGTTGAAGTTGGGGGGTGGGGGGGGGGTTCAGAATGCTCTAAAAGATGTCTTAATAAAATTCAAATATTTATAAATAAAAGAAATCACAATTGCAGACCGTGATTAGCCCGGAGGTAAAATAAAGTACAGACGGATATCAACAACAAGAAATGTGAATCATCTTGTAAAATTACACTTAACAGTTGAGGACAGACAGTTGCACAAGCGTGTACAGGTACCTGGCCTCAACATAACCGATGGATTTTGAAAATCTAACCAGAATCCCGATACTTATGACAGTTTGGTAGTGATGTATTTTAAGAGTGAGTATTTAGTTATTGAGGAAACCTATACTATAACTTCACACAAGGCTCCATATTTCTGATTTGAATGTACGTGATCGGCTCCTCCTTTTGATTTTATCCTTCAAAATACCATACAGGCTAACTGTAGACTGAAATAATGACTTTCTTTCTCATAAACTTATAAATTTAATCTCATAATGTCATGACTGTGTTCAATTCATAATTGCACATTAATTCTCAAAATCTCAAATACCTCCCTATGATGTGGCCGCAATACCTCTTGAATAGATATTCCAGCGAAGGTTTAAGTCATGGTCAAACACACCGTAACACCTAGTAAGACCCTTCCTCGAGAGAGGAATTTTGCCCACCGCTAGCTTTTCTAGTTCCACCAACTTCAGCAAAGACCACACGATAGCAACACACAGCAGTGTTATGTCTCCACCACAACTGCAAACAAAAAAAAACACAAATAATGCTCAGAGCAGCACCTAACTTCATTAACAGTACATATAAGGTCCCAGCCATAGTACTAGCCATCAAACATCTTTTAAGCTTTGCCTGGTTTCTCTAGCAAAGAGCCTAAACACAACTCACCCACTCTCCTCCAGCAGCTGCTTGTTTGTGGGGGAGCCCTGACAAGTCAATCACAGAGTGCAGCAGAGTTTCGCAGCTCAAGGAAGAAAATTTATGACTAATACTTGATGGAAATGCAATCAGAGTTTTTGTGTATCTTGTATGTGCTCTGCAGATGCAGTAGTTCCTCTGCCTTAGCATCTCGGTCTGATAGCATTTCCATGAAAAAATAATTTTATTCTTACCGAAAGGATTGGCTATGCTGTGCCACAAGTTTGTGTGTGTCTTGACTACATGGTAACAGAGCTGTGTGAAAGCGGGCATTAATTAATGTGATGTGTGGACGGTTGTACTCTTGATCGCACAGGTGAGAGGCCTTTTCGGTGCAGTCAGTGTAACATGAGCTTCATTCAGAAGTACCTGCTCCAGCGGCACGAAAAGATCCACAGTGGTGAGTTTCTGCATTTGGATAAGAACTGTGATAAACTGTCATATATTGGAGTGAATGTCACTCAGAGAATGAGTGTCTTGACAAGCCCTCACACGGTCTCATCCTTCATTCACAGGAGAGAAACCTTTTAGCTGTGACCAGTGTAACATGCGTTTTATACAGAAGTACCATATGGAGCGGCACAAAAGGACACACAGTGGCGAGAAGCCCTATCGCTGTGATACCTGCCAACAAGTAGGCTTTCTGTTTACTCTGTTCTAAATAGCTTACCTCTGTCTTTTGATCTTGTGTTGTCTGTGTAAATGTTGAAGGCACTTTCAATAACCTTTTTTTGAATAGTGTCTCCTAGTAGTCATGTCATCATTACATTAGGTCCATTTTGAATTTCAGCTTTCTCTAGTTCTCACTCTCAAATCCCTGAAGCCTTGTGTCAATAGGATTAGTTGTGTCAGAAAAGGTGAAGGTGTTGAATGTTCCTCTTGTGATTCAGTGATTTAACAAACTGCTGTAGCTGTGCTGTGGATTCAAAAGAAGAATTCAGTGTAAACTAAGCCTCTGTTTCTTCTATCCCCTTCTGTTACCCCTCTGTCATCTCCTAGTTTTTCTCAAGAACAGACCGGTTACTGAAGCACAAACGTACTTGTGGAGAAGCCATAAAGAAGGGCCTGGATCCAAGCATGCTGGAGCTCAGCGAGGCAGAGCTAGGCCATGGCAGCTATTCACTCACTCAGGGAAACTCTACCACCTCCGGACGCAAAAGGGCCAAGTCCAAAAATGGCGAGGGTGGCGAGCGCAAGAGGAAGAAGAATTCCTCAGCATCAATGGCAGCAGCTTCAGCCTCTGGGGGGATGGCCCGTGACCTGGGCTTGCAGGACTTCAGCATGGAGCACCCCTCAGGCTCAGGCCCTGCCATGCAGGGACGCACCCCCAAATTGGTCTTTAAAAAAGCTGGACGCAAAGGCTTGGACAAGGGCCTTCTCTCTCTCGAAGATGGTGCAGATGGACAGAAACAGTTGGGCCAGAAGTCTGGCGCCATGGATCATGTGGAAGGCCCTGGCCTTGATAACATGGGTCTGCTTCAGGGGGCCGGGGGTAACAAGCAGGGGCCCACTACCACCAGCAACTATGATGATGCAATGCAGTTTGTGAAAAAGCGGCGCTACCTCCATGCTGTTAACAATGACTATGGAGCTGGCCCGCTACACATGGCGTCCCAGGGCAGTAGTGTAATCCAGGGCTCCCTAGGGCCCGAACCAACACTAGCCATGCTGGACTCCTCTCCTCTGGAACTCAAGCATGACAAGTCAGGCATTCCAGATGAGGTTCTGCAGAGCCTGCTAGACCATTATAGCCATAAACCAGAGGGGTCACATCACCATGATGTGACTTTCGACCTGTCAGATCACCCACATCATGTAGACCTGCAGCCGGCAGCTCCCGTGACCCCTGAGCTGGAAGATGACTCACCCAATGGTGGGGACAAGACTGCGGTGATGAGCGAGTACTCAAAGTTTCTCCTGCAAGCCCTGGAGCGCACCAGCCATAGTGGGCCCTTCCCAAGCCTTGGTCCGACGGGACCTTTCCCTCTCCTGTCAAGTAGCTCCAGCCCAACAGGGCCCCTGTTTTCTGACAAACACATATACACCACATCCCCGCTGGATTGTGGCTACCCACCTGCTGTCTCCTCCCCACTCCCCATCGTCACCCCTTCGTCCACCTCCTCTTCATCCTCATCCAAGTCCCATTACGGCATGCTTGTCGGCTCCCCCTCCCAGGCAGGCTACCACCTCAGCCTGGAATCTACAAGCCACCAGCAGCTGACCCCATCTCAGGAGCTGACCGAGCAGCTGGAGAAGCAGCACTCTCCCGGCGCCTTCACTCTACCTCCCCAAGACCTGACTGCCCAGGCAGAGGGCTCCAAGGGGCAGCAGCCCAAAGCCGGAGGGAGCGCTGCACCCACCAACGGCTCCAGCTACCCAGACCTGTCCCCTCTGAACCCACCTAAAGAAACCACGTATCAGATCGAGAACTTCGCCCAGGCCTTTGGCTCTCAGTTCAAGTCTGGGCGGCAGACCCCTCTGAGCTACGGCAGTGATCCTGGGACAGAGGTTGACCATAGAATAAGGACTCCAGTGTCAGAATTCTCAGGGTATACCAGTTTGTTAGCTGACGTCAGTGAGCCAGTGAGTACAGGATCAAAAACCCCGACAAGCCAAAGTTTCAGATAAGGGTCAAACGAGGTGAATCCAGTGGGGGCTGTTCTGTTACTGTCCATGCGGTCCCTACACCCATCCTGATTTTGTTCTTGTAGCAAAGTTTTTTTAAACACTGCCATTAATGTTGATACAAAAATGACCAGGGAGGGTCTTCCATGGCCTCAAATGCAATTTTTTAAATATTCTCATTTTTATTATGTATTTAGTCGCTCAAATTTTGTTTACGAGTAGTGTGTTTGATATGAACGTACCGTAGATTTAAATGTAATTTAAAACATTTAGAGGGTAGCTATCAACTTGCTTGATTTTTTTTTTCCTTTCTCTGAACTATTGTGTTTTACCAATCATCATACCATTGTAAAGTAATAATGAATAATGTTGATGATTTCAATAATAATAACATTGTGGCAGGGAAAGGCCCAGAATTCAAATGGCAAAAAAGTATATATTGTCTGTTACAAGAAACGTATTAACTCAGGAAAAATAGGCAAAATTGTGTAATAAGTCTTTGTATTATGAGATGCAATTAGCACAGTTTTACAGGTGTACTTTGAAACTACAAAGCTTTGATTTTGTTATTGTGTTTTATTTCTTTTAAACTCGTCAGTACTACAAATTTCAATACATGATCATGTTTGGTTTCCACTTCGTGTAGTTTGGTTGAGATTATGGTACTGTTGTGTCAATGTGAGGACATCCACATTTCCTACACGAAAGAATAAAATTGTGGTGGAGTTTAGGCCATAACATGCAACATTACATTGTGAAGGTGTGGTAACGCGACTGACTGTTCATTTGCAGGTCTTAGTCGGTGTCAGTTGAAGATGCCCGTCTAACCACCAGTGGCCAGTAAAACGACACAGCTGAAATTAATTTAAATCTCATTGCTGTTACAGCTTTCTGTAAAGGAAACTTTTGGACTTTTTTTTTTTTTTTTTTTTTTTTTTTTTACATCATTCTATTGCCGAAGTGATTCATTTCGTTTTAAAGAAGCACCACTTTTCTACTCCACGCCTTGCTGTTCCTTTTTTATGTCGGTAGAATCAAACAAGCACTTTTTAAATCAAATCAACATTGTTAACAGCAACAACAACCCATTCAATTTGCATATGTGATCCGTGAATATTATGCTTATGGTTATTATGGATATTATTTTAAGAGGAGAAAACTGTGAAAAGGGTTTGGTTGGTTGGGAGGAAGGGAGGGGAGGGGAGGGAGGGGTGAATAGATGGGTAGTGAGCGGGAGGGTGGGAGGACGGGCAGGGCTGGATTGTTGTTGAATAGGCTTTGGAAGGGGTTGACTAGGCATGACCATGGGCATCTAAATGTAATTTGTCGCTTATTCTTAATGGTAAAGGAGAGAGGGAGGGGTGGGGTCAGGGTTTTTTTATGATTTTTTTTTTTTGGTCTGTTGATGTAAAAAGATGATTTGCCATAATTTTGTTATACAATATTTTGAGAGTACCTCTTTGTATTTAAGTGTTTTGAGAGATGGGCTGACATGCTGGAACCCTTATCTGTAGACCCCATTGGGTATGTTGGGTGCATACCTAAACCCTTTTATTTATTCCCCACTAGACACAACAGAACTCTGTAGCTACATTTTTTGGCAAGTAATCACCGGACCTACACCCCTATCCCCTCCCTCTACTTAATGATTTTTTTTAACCCTGCTGTTAGTAAAGTTGCAAGAAACTGCTTCAATTATACAGTCAAATAACAGAATCCAAGTCTAGTTAAACTCAGATCACCTTCCCAAAATGCAGCCCTGCACTCAAAAAAATAAACAATGGCCTTCTTTGTCTTCCGTGGCTAAAGCCATTCTATCCTGGCTGCCAGGGTTGATTTTTAATTTAGTTGATTTCCTGTGAGCCAACCCCCGACCCCTCCACTTTCCTTTTCCTATGTCTGTGAGCTCCACAGCCAAGAGACTTTGAAGCTGCTCAGATCACAGGGAACAAAGACTGACTGACCAGCCACCTCACTCCAAACACACACTATGCTTTTAAAGGAGAGAAAACAAGCGGGTGAGAGATGTTAGAAGAAAAAAAAGACAATAAGATTGACCTAAATATACCTCATATCACTAAAGCATAAGAAAGCAGGGACATGCGTTTCATGTATGTAGTGGAAATATTTGTAGTATAGGTTTCGACATAATGTATAATCATTTAACACTGCCTGTGTTTACAATTATAGAGCAAGTGACTCGTCAAAATGCAAATGTATTTCTTTTCTGTACAAAACATCCACGCCAAGCAGTGTTGCATTCTAGATGCCTCATAGAACATTCATTTTTCTCATGTTATATCCCTTATTTTTGTTACTTGCCATAATGTGTTTTGATATGATCTCTAGAAGGACATTGTTTACAAAAATGTACAAAAACACTAAAAATGTGTGTTCTCAATTTTTTTTTTTTTTTTTTTGTTGAAAATTTCTCCAGTATGCATGATAAAGACATTTTTGTATGGCTTTTTTTTCTGACTGTCAACTCAATACCAAATTTTGTAGCAGAAGCCTCCCCAATCCTTTGTCTTATTTGTTATAGACCCCTTGTGATATGATTTCCCAGGCTGTACCTGTTATTGAGATGATGAAAGGATTAGAGAAGCCAATAAAAACTTTTTGTTACAAAAAGGCATGTAGCGTTTTATGTATCTCTTGACTGTGCTAATACAGCACATTTTCTAAGGAAGCTCTGAAACTTTGACACCAAATACAAATACATAGAAAGTGACATTTTCTCCTATATTGAGGAGCTAGTCGTGGCACACGAAAGGAAACCATCAGTTTGCCTTGGGAAAAGATTGACAGAACAAGTATGATGAAAAAAAATCTTAGGAAAGATACCATTCAAACAGACAAGTTTGCTTTATGAAACGCTCCGTTTCCATTGCAAAACATGTATTTTGAAGTGGAAGGTGGAAGGAAAGCAGTCTTATAACGAGAAGACTTAATCTCCAAAGGTATCAAAAATTAGCGTTTGTTGTTATATTTGCTAAAGCATTTTATTAAAAGTACAAGCTAAGTTTTAGATATGAGTTCACTTTAAAGTTTTGGCTAACGCAGTGCCAGATTTAGCTTTTTACAATGGTTACTACACCCAAGCATTGCTGGGTCAAGTCCTGTCATATTTTGAGCACAATATGAAGTGCCACTTGTGTCTGGCCCAGAGAACAAGGGTCTTGTGTCTCTTCTCACGCCAAACAATGAATGTGATAATCTGGACAACTCAAAAGTAGTAAAACTTTTCAGAATATCAGGTGACAACTTGCAGCAGCATGTAGTAAGGCAATCGAAAGCATTCTTACAGCACTCACATAAAGACTCTACATGTAGCCAAACCTAAGGTACATGAGATGCTAGATAATAAGATAATGTATTTTTTTCTATCCTGAGAAGTGACCTTTATGACTGCTCTGTGGCGAAAAGGGACTATACTCTGTGTACAAATTTGTAAAGACATTATTTTATTACAGGAAACATTTTGTTTGATTTGAAATATATATATATTTTTTCCACATGTACATACTTTTTGATTTGTTGATGTACCATAGGCTGATGCTTGTCAATATTATCCCCAGGTCTGGAAAACAGTTATTGATACAGAATGTTGAACTGTCTACATAACCCGACTGTAGCCTACTAGCATAAACGCTGAACTTTTACCTTTGCCCCTCTTTTTGCCTCCGTGAAAAGTTTTCCATAGAAATGGAAAACACTGGACTACATTGACCTCATTGATTCAGTAGATGCATATTGCTTTGACTGTGAGGAGATGCAGTCAATAGTTCAAACCTTATGCTGTTCTATAGATATATAAGGCTGTGCTGCCAGTAGATGGAGCTATTTTACTGACATTATGGTACCTGTTGTGTGAGTTAAATGTGTTGCGCATTCAGTCAGTTTGGTAGCTGCCACAGTTTATGTAACATCAGTAAAATGTTTTTGTTGAGTGTTGAAAAAAGTTGCCATGGAAACCTGGGTTTCGGTGGCACTGAAATGCCACAGGTTGTTCCACAGGTCACCTAGATTGTTATCAAAAGTAATTGACAGAGACAGTAAAGGTAAAAGTACAAAACGGATCACTTCTACATCAGCCTGCAATAAAACACGCAAATGTTTTAAGTATGTCCCTGCAGTAATGTTACCTCTGGGGGTTCATCAGATTGGTCTACAGCAAGAGTCAAGATGAAAAAAATCGTGTTATTAGTATTTTGGAAACCAAATGGAAAGGCTAATTGAAAAAATACTTACAATACATGTAATAATCTGGTGGTGGAGAGTAAACAAGACATGTTTACTCAGTGCTGTACAAAGCAAGTAAACTGGGGTACTTTGATTTTCTGCACTCCTCTTTTTAACTTAGATTGTCTGGAATAAAAATTTAACTCTTAATCTGAAAAAATATGTATGTTATATTGTAGATCAAGATAATTCAGTGGTAAAGCACACTTTCATGTGGGTAATTCAAATTTTTGCTCTGTATCAAAAATGCACTTGCTTTTGCTGCCATTATCTCCTTCCCTGGACACCATGTCCATACTTAAATTTACAGCCCTCATTGCCAGGAACAGCAGGTTGGGTGTGGTTAAGGATGGTTGTAATTGTAGGTGACTTTGGACTTACTGTAAGCAGGAGGACACAGGCAATTACTGTGCCTTGTTGCACCCATGTTGACTCTTTACGGCCACATGTTCATAAATCTGCTGGTGAAAAACTCTCGACAGAGGCTATATTGTAACATGAAGGATGGAGTATTTTATAATAAGCTGCACCTCTATTAACAAGTGAAACATTAACACTTAGTAAAGTTAACTCTCATGTTAATGGTTTTGTTGCTGAGTTAGTGAGCAGCCATTTGTGTGACGTTATGCTCTTCATCTGAATCAGATTTAGTCAGAAAACTTTTCAAAAATTGTTTCACTTTTTGAAGCTTTCTTGGGCAAGGGGCTATGTTTGCATCTGACGTCTCTGCCACTTAACGAAGCACATATGATACTAAGAACACCCCTTTGGTTTTCCTACTGTAATGTGTTTAAATGTATTCAGTTGGAGGTACATTTCTATATTTTTCTTAAGATTGATAAAGTCGATCCACCAAACCTCAGCTTCATGAAGTTTTTATCTTAACACCACTGACACAAAAATCCAAGAGGCAAAATTTTACAATTTTTTATTTTTGTTCAATAAAGAGGTGATCCCCTGTGGGAAAGTCTTCATGAGATGGTTTGGTTTGTTTAAAGTGGATTTGTCAGAGTTACTTGTCTGTAGTGATCCACTCACAGGTGGTGCGTGAAGCTTGGCCTCTTGGTTGAGGAACAAGGCGGATGCTGCAGCTATCAACTGCAGCATATGAAATCAAATTTATCACCTATTGTAACTCACTTGAAAATTAGACATTAATGTTTTGGTGATTGTACATACTGTATATTTGTGAGCATGTATTTGGAAACTTTTCTGCCCTTTTCTCTGCTGTTTTTGCAAACACATATTACTTCTATGTACACCAAGCTTTTCAGCTGTTTGGATCCATGATGCACTCGCATTTTGACTTTTGGCTATAGTACTGTGATATTGTATGAGTTACAAGCGTAATTTCTCCAACCAAGTGACCAAGTACTGCAGAACCCTTGCCCAACTTTTTCCCAACTGTACATACTGTACTACACACTGAGAGTTTATCTTCGCTGAAAATGGTACATGATGTGTAAAATTTATATGACCAAAGCACCAAAGTGTATCTGTTCTATAAAGTTTATGAATGTACGCCACTCCTCCGTGTCCCACAGTTATTGCTGTACTTCTGTAAGACGCTTAGTTTTCAAAAGGGAACTATAATTATAATACTTGCTTATTTATTTGCATATTTTTCATGAATGGTTATAAATATCATGTCAACAAAGAATATAGGACATTTTTTGATATTTTTGTTAATGAAATGCAAAGCTCTTTCTGCTTAGCTTCTTTGTACTAAAACCCAACCAGAATTAAAATCGGATTAGTGAGTTGAGTCTTTCAAGTTTATTATAATGAGAAAACAGAGTAAAATTTAGTACTTTGAAAAAAAACCCAAAATAGTACTTTTTTAGCCCTGATTTATGACAAATGTGTTCAATCAATCTCTTTGTTCATCTGGTACTTTAGAGCCAACACACACTGAAACAAGTGCTGGTTTCTTCACTAGAATAGACCTGTTTTTATCTGATTCCATTAAGTTATTCAGTCCACTGACGCTTGTGGAGACACTAACATGTCTGACGAGTAAAGTGTTAGTACCAAGTTCAAAGTCTTAATGGAGATAAAATCATTTATGGCTTGTGATGGGATGAAAGGATAGTTAACATCAAAATGGAAAACAAGTTAAAACATGACTTCAGGCAAACATTGATGAGGTGTACATTCACACATTATCTGATCCACCAAATGTGTATTTCTTTTGAGGTCTTTTCTGCCTATTTGTAAACTGTTGGTACAAAGATTGTTTTATCTAGCATAACATCATAAATCAAAGGTCACATTTTTCTTGGCCACACCTGGTTTTATTGCCCACTGTTTTTTAATGACATTTGTCACTGTAAGTAAGTTGTATCAGGGTCTGAAACATTTGTAGATCTTGGTGAGTAATGATATCAAACTTCGCTGAAGTGGCTTAGGGTTGATGTTGAAAGTTTTAAAAGGATCTGTGAAGAAATCATGTTTGTATAATTGTCTCGACATGTGTGACGTGTTTCTAAAATGGCAATAAATTCATAAAATGACTTGCAAGGAATGTGATCTTTGTCCCCCTCTCTGCGCCATCCCCGCCCCCTTATGACCCTTCCAGTACCTTAGACTGGGATATATTTGGATTGTGCTTTTAATCTAAAAGGAAGATGACGCTGTGATAATAACCCTTACCAGTAAATACTGCCCTCTGAATGATTTCCAACTCTATAAAAAAGCAGAGTTTGGACTTCAGATGACGTTTGTTCTAAATGTGGTTTGACCTAGGCGCATTGCGGATGCAGGAAATGACTTTTATATACCGGTATTATTGACTCTGCACTGGTTCAAGGCTAGTTGTGATTCCTATTGACTTAGCAAATATGAATCAATTTATTCATAGAAGTTTAAGATTTTATCCCAAAAACAAGATTTTTAAATATAAACTAAAAGCTGCTGTGAGAAACGTTTGTTTTGCGTTGACATTGATGACTACTCTGGACAAAGTGATACCTGTTACTTCCCTACATGTAAAAGTGGTGTTTGATTTCAAACAAAAACCTCATCTGATGTCCTTCTTAGAGGAAATGGACTTGCTGTTTAAAAAGTAAAGTTAAAAAAAGCTATTTCTTCAGTTTGCTGTCAATAATCTGTTCTGACACCTACAGCATTTTATGTTTTTTGGCATCAAAAATTACAACAGTGAGTGTTGAGTATTGAGTGTTGTTCGCAGGAAAGGTATTGTTACACAGAGGTAAACATGACCCTTTCCCAGCTTTTAAGAATGTGTTGCAGGTATTAAATTCAAAATGAGTGAACATTTGCAAAAATAATCAAGTTCATCAGTTTAAACTTTAAAAATCTTGACTTTGTTGTATATTTATTTGAATATAGGTCCAAAAGATTAGCAAATCATTGTATTGTGTTTTTATTCACATTTTACACAACATCTCAACTCCATCAGAATTGGGTTGGTTTAAGCCATAGCCAGTCTTGTTGCTGAAGGTCCTACTACTTTTGTTATTGGTAATTTTAAGAGGGCTTCCAATCATTTATTAAAAAGTAACTTATTAGATGTTACACAACACATCTATAAAGCCACAGTCCTGTGGCTATTCTTGTTAACTCTACCCAATTAAATTTTTATTTGTATAGCACCTTTCATACATATATAAACGCAACCTAAAGTGCTCAACAAAAGATACTGTGGCCAAGAACTGCCACTGCTGCAAATAAAAAAAGAATGCAAAAAAAAAAGGAGCCGCAATGGGAGTTACTGATGAAAAAAAAAGAAAAAAGAAAACGAAGCCTGCTGCAAATAAAAAGAGAATAGGTGCAGATGAAAAAAAAGGCACAAAGGAAGTTAACAACACCAAAAAAAAAAAAGTTACTTACAGTGAAAATAAAAGGATGCTACTAAAAAAAGCCACAACGGAAGTGAGCTGACAGGGACCAATAGTGATGATGCCCCGGTGTTTTACAATCTAGACACAGAAGACGATGGCAAGAACACCAGCAAAGACGTTAGTGGAAAGGTCATTGTTTAATTTCGCTTCCTGTGCTTTTCAATGTGTCATTTGGTCGAGCCATGTAGCGCCTGAGTAGATATGAAGTTGAACTGAAGCTAACACTACACCGGCATCCTTCAGTTCAACTTCATATCGACTCACATGACGTAACAACAATGAAAAGCACACAAAGCGGAATTAAACAATGACCTTTCCACTTACTTCTTTGCTCGTCTTCTCACCATCGTCATCTGTGCCTAGATCATACAACACTGGTGCATCATCGTTATTGGTCCCCGGAAGCTCACTTCCATTGTGGCTATTTTTATTTGCATTCTTTTATCTTCGCTGTAAGTAACTTTTTTCTTGCATCCCCACTTTTTTTTTTTTTTTTGGACTTTGTTAACTTCTGTTGTGGCCTTTCATTTTATATCCACTGTTCCTTTTTTTTTTTTGCATCGGTAACTTCCGTTGTGGCTTCCTTTTTTTTGCATTCTTTTTTTATTTATAGCAGGGGCAGTTCTCGGCCATCGTAAAAATAGTAATATCTGTAAAACAAATAAATTTAGTTAACAAAAAACAAACAAGATAACTTAAATGTAAAAAAAAAAAAAAAAAAAGCCAACCATAAGAAAATACCGTAAAAATAGTCATATCAATAAAACAAATAAACTGAAATAACAAAAAACAAGCAAGATAAGTTACATTTGAAAAAAGAAAAAAATTAGCCAACAAAACGGTAATAATATTGATAATAAATCTGTTGTAAACTTCATTCAGAAGTTTGGTCAAAACCATGGAATCCCTCTGAATTAAGGCTAGATTAAAGATTTGGTCTGAAGTTCCTTTTTAAAAACACAACTTGCTGTTTTAGTATTCATTGTTAGAATTTCATGAGGTTGAGTTTGAGACGGTTATGGTGAAACAGCTTCTCAACACTTAAAAAAATAAGGAATCAAAATAGATCTACGTCATGGAAGGATAATAAATGGACTCTTTTTTTCTGGGCTGGGAAATGTACTTTAGCACTGGGACGCCTTCTGAGGAGTGGCTAATGATTAAAACAGCTGGCAGAGGACACCTGAGCTCCAGACTGCTAAGGTTTTAGCACCCAAAGGGTTTACTCACAGGTCTCACTGTCCTTCTTTCTTGTGCTGTTTTTTTTTATTTTGAATTTTATTCCAATGGCTTGTGACTTCAGACTTCTCACAGTCCTTTGGCTGGTTTCAGCCTGTCTTGGTAAGTTTTACATTTTTAAATTTTACATTTTCGCAGATGTAAGAAAAAAGGTACCATACTTGTTTAGGTTTCAAAGTTTTTCCTAACAACCCGTTTTACAATTATGGTTAGGTTTGGTGCTCAAACTGCCAAATGTAAATATTTAGCTAGAGTGCTGGTGTCGACAAGCTTAGCTCATGACCATTTTGCTAACCTACCTTCCTTAAGATGTGTCTTGCAATCAGAGAATTAAGCAATCTCATCGCTAACCCTTATGATTTGGTTAATGTTTGACATGGTAAAGTCCTTAGTAAGATTGGAGGTACTTGTATGGATAAGGGTCTTTTAGGAAGAAAAAAAACTTTGGGGGCTTGTGTGAAAGGGCACAAATAGTGTAAATAACTGTCTTGGCCATCATTTTGGTCTAATAAACATAGGAACCTACAAATATAGGTGTTGTATTCATTTTGTTTGATTAGATTATTTTCATGGGAAACATTCGACTTTAATTCATTAGACCTACATTTGAGACAGAATAGAGCTATTTTGTTATACACTAAGAATGTGACTAAATCAAAATCTTCTCTTGTGAAAGCTCATAAACTAAACTCTAGTTTATAACATGGATATTTTTCATGGATAGTCCTTTGGCTAGAGGTTCAGTGTGTTAGAACGTGTGTCAACTAACAGTATTTTTACACAAGCAGTTTTCAGAACAGATCAACTGCAATTTGGTGTTAATGGTGCTCATGTCAGCTGCTTGAATTTTGTGCCTACAGAGCTCTTGGTTCAAAACTGTTCATCTTGTAGAGCTCAGCCTTGCTTAAGTGTTTCCTCTGTCTGACCAGTCAATCAATCAAAAACAAGAAGGGGCAGATTTTTTATATTAACTTTTTCAAAAACAATTAGAAAAACTTGATTTTTATTTGTAAGGTCAATGGAGAACGGCAGCTGACCCCATTTCATGGTTTTTACATTTCCTCTGTGAAATGTCCTTAAATTGAATGAGCATACAGAGCATTTTAAGCAGACAGTTCTAGACGAGGTTACTGTGAAGATAGAGGTTCCTCAACACAACTTTGGTTTCGTAATTTTAGGGGAAAGCAGTTAAGCAGTCTACATTTGAGGTCATGGATGCTGCCATCACACAAAAAAATTCTAGTGGACTTTTACCCTCAATTCTTCAATTTCTTAGTCTTACCATTACTAAATGCAACAATACTGGTGAACATCAAGACAGCAAAAGTCTTACTTAGGATGGAAATAAAAGATGGACACAATTCTCAGCCTCAAATACACTGCGAACAGACTTTAACCCCATAATCTATTGCGTGATATGAAAGGGCTGTAAATATATTAATCATTACATCTGTAAATATAGCAGAAGAAGTGACATGAGATTACAGCTTTATTGTTTTTTTATAACTGGTGCTTCAGTATCTAGATTTCCTTTAACCCATCAAGTCCCACAGTGAACCTGGCAAACAAAGGCATATCTGTGAGAACATTGTTAAAGTAGTGTTTATTATAACAATACTTCTTTTGTAAGTGTTTATAATATATCTGAGACTGTAAACATAACAACAGGTTATTCTAACCTATAACATTATAACACTTCAGCAACAACTGCCAGCGAAACAACCGCAGCTCCAGGTGACGATGGTTCAACCACAAAACCTCCTTCACCTGAACCGACAACTCCAGGGGGAGGTGACGGTGGTTCAACCACAAAACCTCCTTCACCTGAACCGACAACTCCAGGGGGAGGTGACGGTGGTTCAACCACAAAACCTCCTTCACCTGAACCGACAACTCCAGGGGGAGGTGACGGTGGTTCAACCACAAAACCTCCTTCACCTGAACCGACAACTCCAGGGGGAGGTGACGGTGGTTCAACCACAAAACCTCCTTCACCTGAACCGACAACTCCAGGGGGAGGTGACGGTGGTTCAACCACAAAACCTCCTTCACCTGAACCGACAACTCCAGGGGGAGGTGACGGTGGTTCAACCACAAAACCTCCTTCACCTGAACCGACAACTCCAGGGGGAGGTGACGGTGGTTCAACCACAAAACCTCCTTCACCTGAACCGACAACTCCAGAGGGAGGTGATGGTGGTTCAACCACAAAACCTCCTCCACCTACTACCGAAGCACCAAGTGAGGATGGCATGATTTGAAAATTGCTTCAAGGTCGAACATAGTGCAATGCTAAATTGTTTATTTTATTTTAGATCCATGCACCCCTGGCACATGTGGCGATGGCAGTACCTGTATACCTCTTTTTAATCAAAACTTTGAATGCAAGTGTTTGGCTGGTGATAACTACAATAAAAAGACCCAGTCATGCGATCGTGGTAAGTTCTCTTGTATTATTGATTAAATCAGGGTTTGTTTGTTTTTTTTTGTTGTTGTTGTTGTTGTTCAATGAAAAAGCTACAACAAGATTAATTGTTATAGCTTTAATTAAATATAAATGTGTGCTTCTTGGGATAACTGGGAGTTAGTTAGTTTCCCAGCATAGACCTACTGTAATCATTTATTGCAATGACCTTTTTGCAGCTAATTCTGGTCATTGCAGTCTGTTCAGAAATGTCAAACACATTTCAGAAGACCTGTAAGACATTATTTTTTAGAAAATATATACCCTGTTAGTGCAGCATTTTGTATATATGGACAAATATTATACTCCCTACCTCTAATACGAGTAATATGATTGGCATTTGTTCTGACAAATGTAAAGCTCAATGTAGAAGACAACAGCTGAGATTAGCATTAGTCCTATTGCAACCCAGCCCTTTTAATAGTTTGAATTTTGGAGTTTTTATTTTACTATTGTGTCAAACATATGATATTGTATTTTCTTGTTTTAGCAAAAGTTTTCCCTGGACAGCTTTCTCTTCCTAACGTAGATGGAAAAAACCTAGACGACCAGAGATCAAAAGAATTTTCGAAGGTCTCAAGTGAAGTCATCAAAGAGGTAAGCAATTGTTTCATGTTTTTTTTTTTTTTTTAAATCAGCTATGTGGATGAAGTGTTATTGCATGCAGCCACTTTACTAGTAAATGTACATCTTACTCATCTGTGCTGCTGCTGTGTAGTTACCTGAGTCTTGTGCAATGAGTGCACTATATTTCAGCACTATGGCTACACCATTAAAATAATCTTGAGGCTGTGTCCTTCAATCAGCTAAAAAAAATCTGTTTTCTTTCTAAAACAGCTGCAAAATGCTCTTGGTTCTGACTCTGGCTACATTAGATCTACAGTGCTGAGATTCCTGTAAGTATCTGAGTGACAACATTTTTACCATCTGACTGTTTCTTTATTGGGAATCATATTTTTTTGCAATACAGTATCAGCATACTGCTGTTAATCATTAAAGAATGTGATAATCAATAAATGTATTTCTTTCAACATAGAGTACCAGGCAGTACCAGATTTTGGTCAAGGGAAGAGAATAGTGTCTTAGCAGATGTGGAGAACATATATGAGACAACAGCTGATATTACAGCAGCCAAGATTCAAAAATCAGTGACGGAACACATTCAGAAATTACCTGGTGGCTCTGAATTGGGTGGAGGAACCTTTACTGGTAAGTTTATCAGCACAGGGGAGCAAATCCAATCTTTGTGTTAATTAATAGTATGATCTCTGTAATAGCTGTTCAAGCAAGACATAATTTTTATATATACTATAATTAAAGAGTTTGCCACATAATCTCAAATTTATCCATATACTTCCATCCAACATTTCAACATGAAAGAAGTCTTTGAATACGTACAGTTTGCTTTGACATCCCTCCTGTAAAATCATTGGTCGATCACTATCAGAGCTGTGAAATGCAGAAGCACCTGTGGCTATGATGATTTTAGAACTACATGCACTTTGAGCTTTTGACTCAGTGTGAGAAAACGCTTTTCCTCAAAACGGATTAAAGGAAAGAGGATAGGCGTCCATCACACTGGGTTAACAGAACAGATGAGAAATTTGCAACTTGATTCATTGCTGGTAAAATCAGCCAGGATTATGAAACTGATGCGGCTATAACATGCAGCATTACTCTTGTTCTTAAGAGACTGGTGTTTGCTACTTTTCTACCTTGTGAGCACTAGATGTAATGCTGAACTTGGGTTAAAAACAGGATGAAGTTACATCAGAAAACAACTAGATTTATTTTTAACCAACAGGAACACAGTCCTGACATCCTCCTGTCTAAAAAACAAAACAAAGCAACTTTCAAAACTTCCTAAAGAAAAAGAAAAACAAATATTGCTCATGCTCTGGTACTTCAGATGGGTGGCTTTGATTCCAGAGATCCCTGGATGCTGAATTATACTACTTGCATTGTAGTTAAAAACAACTAAGAAGTTGACAAAAGAGACCAATAGTAGAGTCATCGAGTTATGAGTTGCTACTTACGGTGCTTTTCACACATTTCAGACTTGAGCTCATATCTAATTATTTGTTTTCAAGTGGGCTTCATATTCTGTGCCTCTGTTCTTATTTGAGTTGGCTGCAATGATCTTCTTATTTGCCTTTCTTTAAAGAGGGGGACCTGTGTGAAGGGAACGCCTGTGATGCAACAACCACCACGTGCACACCAGCTGAGGGATCTTTTGTCTGCAACTGCTTAGCTGGCTATATTAAAACAACCTACGCCCAGAGGATGTGCACTGGTAAGCTTATTTAGCAAGTCCAAAGAAAGGACAGAGAGCGTTTGTTTATGAAAACCATATCAGCCTGTCTTGGACTTGATTAACTGAATATATTTTTTTACACTCTAGCTTGTCCAAGTGGCGAGAAAGCTAGTTCAGATAAATGTGTCCCGTAAGTATTTCATTGTCATTGCTTTTAGATTTTGCTGCTATTAGATTTTACGAATTAGATGTCAATCTCTGCAAAGGCAGATAATTGAGTGCTTTGTAAATTTGTGTTTTATTGAAAACTTGGTCTGAATGCAAATGTGAAATTAATCCTCTTTGTTTTCAGATGCTCATTTGGTTACAGTGGATTCAACTGCAATGAATGTGAGTATATAGTATGTGTTTGAATGTGCAAAAACAAACATAATTTAGGGTAAAATTTGCTCTTTACAAAGGACTGCAAATATATCCAGCTTTCCTTTGACATTCTTGTAGACTAATCATGACTCTACCTCCCCAATTATGTTTGTTTATAACACCTAAAAAATCAACATTTAATTTAGCTTGAATATGTAAACATATTAGTCATAATCCTTATAAATCATCAAATTTCTACTAATTATAGGTAAATATTATTTCCAGCCCAGTGTTAGGCCTTGGGCTTGGCAACAAGGTCAAACATAATGCTAGTATCTTTGAAGCCCTTTCACAAGTGAAGCCTCATCATTGATCTCCTTGTCATTGGGTTTTGTTAGCATGGAAGCTTGTGCTGGTCATCGTTGGCTCCGTGTTTGGAGGACTGCTGCTTCTCTCAGTCATCGGCATGATTGTGATGGCACGCAGGTTGGTCTCTCTGATTCATCTACTTCCTGCTGTTCACTTTTTTATTTGTCATATTCTCTTCATGGCACATTATTACAAATCTTTTGGTGGTCCTTTTAAATGCTTGTAGTGTTTCCAACGTATTTTATTTTGAGCACACATAAAACGAATTTTAACAAATCTGTTCACTGATCTATTTTTCAAAAGATTTAATCCTCTCTGTCCTGTTCTGTCTTGTCAGACCTGCCAAAAAGAGTTCAAAGAAGGTAAAAGGTGAAAATGTCAACGGCTTCTCTACCAAGGCACCACTGGTCAGCGACAGCTCAGCCAACAACCGGGCAGCTGCAGTGAACGGCCCAGCCAATTCCTTTTCTAATGCTGGGGTACCCAGAATCCCACGTGCCACAACTGCAAACAGCTTGGACGGCAGAACCAACCTGGAGATGACTCCAAGCAACAGCCGGCAAGGTTTTAACCCTGCCGCAGGAAGAAACCCAGTGAGTATGACCGTGTATGTTTGACATGGGTTGGTTGGTGCTTGTCATGTGCTTGAAGTATTAAAACCAATCTTGTTTCATTGCAGCGGCTCTATGATGACCCCGATGACTTAAAACCCTACTCACAGTCTCGACCCCAGAGCAGCCACTATGCACAGTCTAGACCCCAGAGTAACCCCTATGCCCAGAGTCGACCACAGACCAACCCATATGCCTCCAACCAGGGCTATGCCAACCCTTACTACAAGCACGATGATGGAAGACGGTTATATTAGTGTGGAGCAACAAACAGACATTTCCCCAGATCAAAATTCTAGTACACTTCTGTTTCAACCCACTCAAACACATAATCTGATTAAGAGCAAGAATATACAATAAAATGTAGCTATTTAATATTCTAGTGACATTTATGTCCTTTCATTTCATACTGTGACTAAGTAGACGATGCCACAAGCCACTCCTGCTGTTCCTATGTCTAATCTTTTTAAAAACTCCAGATGTGAGACACACTGTCATTCTTTTCAAAGGTTTCTGTCAGCTAAAATAGTTTTTTATTTTATTGATTAACAGAAATTTTCTGTAGACCTGGTGTGAACTCAAAGATCAGGAACTGTTAGGTTTCATTTTCTGGATTAGTAAATGTTTTGCTCGTCAATGAATTTGCCAGTTCATGTTTTAAGTTAAGTTTTAACTTCATCTTAAGTAAACGAGATGAGTCTCTCAGAACTTCACCTTGTCTATCTATCTATCTATCTATCTATCTATCTATCTATCTATCTATCTATCTATCTATCTATCTATCTATCTATCTATCTATCTATCTATCTATCTATCTATCTATCTATGAAAGTGTCTACAATATTTGTAATTGATTGTTGTTCTTTTACAGCTGTACATATATTGTCAATCATAATATTTTTATTGTCTAATTTGCACCATAACAGCTGTTATCAGCTGTTTAACATGAATAAATAAATATTTACCAAAACTTTTATTGATTTATTTGTTGTTGTTTTTTGTCATGATACCTTTTGATCCAAAAGCTGTAACAAAAAACGGGACTCTTTACTAATGGTCTGTTTTGTTTTTTTTAGAGGGAGGGACAAGTCAGTGTCCTTCTTTGCTATTGTGTAAAAGCATTAATAAAATAAATCATCATAGTGCTTTCTTCTTAAGTATCTATGAAAGCGCATTGCATTCACTGGATGAAAAAAAAGTTAGACACCTTATCTCTTAATTACGAAATCCTGATCTCGTAATAACAAGATCTTATCTCGTTATATAGAAATCAGGATGATGTTTCCATTTGTTTTTTCATCAAGTGAATGCAATACACTTCCATGAGTATCTTGTGTGTTTGAGAACCTCTCCGCTGTTACTGAGTGTCTTCTCAGACAGTCCACCTTCATCATGTGGGTAAAGTTGATTGCAGTGTGCAGGATGTCATCCTTGTAAGTACCACTGGGGAGTGCCAAAGATGAACTTTAACAGTTTGTAAAGCCTGACACTACTGTAGAGTTGCACTACACTGTGTGCACAATTATTAGGCAAGTGAGTATTTTGATCATATCATCATTTTTATGCATATTTTCCAACTCCAAGCTGTATAAACTTGAATGCTTATTGGATATAAGCATATTAGGTAATGTGTATTAGTGTAATGAGGGAGGCTGGGGCCTAAGGAGATGAAAACCCATAAATCAAGGTGTGCATCATTATTAGGCAGCTTCTTTTCCTAAGGTAAAATGGGCCAAAAAAGAGATTTAAGTGACTCTGAAAAGTCAAAAAATGTAAAAAGTCTTTCAGAGGGATGCAGCACTCTTGAAATTGCTTAGATATTTGGGTGTGATCACAGAACCAGCAAACATTTTGATGCAAATAGTCAACAGGGTCGCAAGAAATGTGTTAAGAAAAAAAGACGCAAATTAACTGCCAAAGATTTGAGAAGACTCAAACGTAAAGCTACCAGGAACCGCTTATCCTCCGGTGCTGTCATATTCCAGAACTGCAACCTACCTGGAATGCCCAGAAGTACAAGGTGTTCAGTGCTGAGAGACATGGCCAAAGTAAGGAAAGCTGAAACCCGACCACCACTGAACAAGACACAAGTTGAAATGTCAAGACTGGGCCAAGAAATATCTGAAGAGAGATTTTTCAAAGGTTTTATGGACTGATGGGATGAGAGTGACTCTTGACGGACCAGATGGATGGACCCGTGGCTGGATCAGTAATGGGCACAGAGCTCCACTTCGAATCAGACACCAGCAAGGTGGAGGAGGGTACTGGTATGGGCTGGTATTATTAAAGATGAGCTAGCTGGACCTTTTCGAGTTGAAGATGGACTTAAAATCAACTCCCAAATCCAATGCCAGTTTTGAGAAGACACTTTCTTCAAGCAGTGGTATAGGCAAAAGTCTGCATCTTTCAAGAAAACCATGATTTTTATGCAGGACAATGCTCCATTGCATGCAACAAAGTACTCCACTATGTGGCTCGTCAGTAAAGGCCTTAAAAACGAAAGAATAATGACGTGGCCTCCTTCTCCACCTGACCTAAACCCTGTTGAGAACTTGTGGGCCCTTCTTAAACGGGAAATTTACAGTGAAGGAAGACAGTACACCTCTCTGAACAGTGTCTGGAACCGTGTCTGGAAGGCTTTGGTTACTGCAACACAAAAAGTTGATCGTCAACAGATCAAGAAACTGAAAGACTCCATGAATGGAAGGCTTATGACTGTTAATGAAAAGAAGGGTGGCTATATTGGTCACTGATCTTTTTTTTTTAAATTTCAACAATTTTTATTTGTAAATTGAGTTGTTTGTTTATCATTCTCACTTTAACAAGTGAAAATAAACAAGTGAGATGGAAATTTTTTCATTTTTAATTTAGTTGCATAATAATTCTGCACACTAATAGCTGCCCTCAATAATTGTGCACACATAGATATTCTCCTAAGGAAGTCAAAATCTCACTTTTACTCCCTTAAATATTAAGGTTTGAGGTTTATTAACATTTTGGATTGACCGAGAGCACTGCAGTTGTTCAAAAATAAAATTTATCCTCAAAAATACAACTTGCCTAATAATTGTGCACACAGTGTATGGCTGTGTCTCATTTCAGAGACCGCATCGGGATAAACGCGCTTCATCTCTCCCACACTCCCCGAGGTAAAATATTGTATCAACGGATTTAATGCCAATACGTCTGTTAATGGTATCGAGGGACCCCTTTACATGTAAAATGATTTTAATTTTAGTATGCTCAAATTGTAATTACAAACGTTTTTTTTAGTTAGGAATCAGGATCGATTTTCTTTAGCCACGGCCTGCTAGTTGGACGTCCTCAGCTGTAGAGGCTTGGCAAAATTTATTATGTGACATAGTTTTTAATCACAAATAAATCATCATCATCAATCATATGTTGAGATGGTTACTTGGGCTTCACTTTAGATTTCAGCCTTTATCAGTACCCAATGTTATGTGCAATTTATTCTTTTTAGACTAACATAAGTGTTATGTAATTTGATTTCTGCTTATGTATACCATGGGATGATTGAGTAAAGGGACCGCTACTTTTTAAATTCTGCCAGCTTTTAAGGCATATAATTAACATGGAAAAATGTTATGCAGGCCCCGTTGCAAGATCAAAACATTGCACAATTGTTTAAACAGCTTGTAACACCTGTTACTTACCACTTTATTGTATTTCTCTTATTAAAAAGTAACACCGGTTACCAAACTTGTCTTATTTCACTTTTATTTGTCATCCAGCCACTAAATATACGTAAGTGACTTTGACGTGTGCACAGTAATCCAATAAGAGTTGCAGATGTTGACTTTTTATGGTTAATTTTAATATTTACCTCTTAAATGCGCGCTCACTGCAGTCTGTCCCGTTGAAGAGCATGGACAGTGCAGGCGGCGCTTGGAACTATTGAGAGGTATATGAACCACGTGACCGCTCCGGCGGCAAGATCTGAAGTTTTCGCCACTCCGTTTATCCACTGCTCTGACCTGGGGGATACGCTGTTTGAGCCGAGCGTCATCACAGCGACACTTGGTGACTCCCCCGCCGAAGGCGTACAACGCTACTGCGCAATGTTGGTTTCAGGAAATGCAGAAAAATCGCGGAAATATCGAGAGCTTTTTGGCTTCAAAAAGTTGTTCATAGTAAATGCAGTCTATGGTCTCGAGGGCTGAGGTGGTTTCTGAGTTTGATGAATGTGACTCTCTGAAAGTAACAATCACAGCTTAGCTTGTGAGCACAAAAGGAAAAGCAACACAAAACAGATACAGATGGGTAAAGCTATTTCAAAATAAGTATAACTGAATGTGATTAGGCAACTAATAAAGACCCACAATTCAATAATTTAAACTAAGTCTCTATTATGCATACAATAAAATTATAGTTCTCAGTGGCTTTTACTTTGTCTTACACTCCTAAGAGTCAGGAATAAATAATCTCGATCTGTGTGGCTTGCCCTTCATAGTTTTGCTGCCATAGATAACACGACGTTTCATCTTCACCTCAGAGCTCCTCTGGAAAAACGCTCATCTTGAGGCAGTTTTGCTGCCCTCTGTGGCCAAGTTATTCCTCTTATCTTTTGGCTAATCTTGTTCAGTACACATGTAGGTGATATTTTTTGACAAACAATTTCCTCCCTGTATTTTATTAGTCCAATGTAGTCCTCAGGATGAATATGTGCACTATAAAAGAAAAGGTCTGTTTCTTATCTATGCTGTTTGTTACAGGTTTTAAAAGCTGCTGCTCAAAAATAACCACTTTGCAAATAATGGTCTTGCTTTTGTAGGGGATTTGGGAGAGAAGTGTTTGTTTTATTCTGTTTCATAGCCAGCTAAATCCCCAAACAGGAGAGTTGTTGTTTGTTTGTTTGTTTATAAAATCTTTTTAAAGGTTTCAGTGTGTGTGCTGCTTTGAATAGTTCTTCTCTCAAGGAATATAGTTCTGTTTATTTAGTTTACATCTTGCTGAAATGAAAAGTAGGTAATGAAGTGAAATAAAGGCCTCATGAGATTTTAAAAGCAATAAATTTTGTTTCTCTATGTCTTGTCTACACGTTTTTGTGTGTGTTTGATTCCTTAAAACAATGTGATGTTTGTGACCTACTAACGGACCGCAGATGTAAATTAACTAAAAGCTAATGGTACAATTCAGCCAATGACAACATCTTCCTTTTGTAAATCAAACAAATAAAGAAATACTGTATATAGTTAGTTGTGGAGTTTGCGTAACAGTGAAATGCATTGAAAAAATGCAATGAGCTGCAAAAAGAATAGACAGTTGCAAGAAAATACATTTTTAGTAAGTTTTACATCTGAAATCCTCAATCTGTAAAATGTCTGTCAATATTTTTAAGATTGAGGATAAAATGTTTTTAAAAATATGGAGGTCTGTCTGATAATGCTGTCATAGTGTTCATGCAGAGCAATTTTTCTCTGACAAGGTCAAGAAAGAAGCCACTGGAAGCTGCTTATGGACTGGATGTTTTAAAGATGATAATGCTGGTTATGCCACAGCAATTCGATTTCACTGCTCCACTTTTACACGAAAATGAGTGGTCTCTTTTTCTTGCTGATGCAGACAACGAACTACAGGTAAAAGTTAATCTTAGATGAGTTTTATGTAAAGGACCATGCCATAAAAAGCTGTTTTACTCCCTGTCACATTGTTGGTTTGCTCCTCCGTGGTCATACAGCTCAGTTCCAGAGGCAGTGTCTTTCGCTGGCTCGTTGGATCAGCAGGGTCAGATTTAGCATGAGTTTACACACTTTTTCAAACCAACTTCAAGTTTGAACTATGGGCCTTAACGGTCTTCATCTTCTGTGTCTCTTCTTGCTGTCTGGAGGGATTCAACTTGCTCAAGGTATGTGCCTCCTCCAATTTTATAATATTAAAAAATGTTACCATTCTTATTTAAGAGTTTCAAACAGAATTAAAGTTAACAATTAATGTGTTTTTGAAATTTCATATTGCTTCCTTTAACATATGATCGGGACTCAAGCATTTTGATTTCCGATAATTAAAGAAACTTTTGAGATGTGGAACTTTTTTGTGACAATGTGACAGCTGAAATAGCCACATGATTTTAAAAAAAGCACTTATTTGCAGATTTAAATCTTAGTATACAAAAAAATAGTCACAGGTCATGTTAGTCCACAAGTGTATCAAAGAAAATCTTAAATTAACATCCATGCAAAGATCGCCCAAAGACTGTAAAGGAATACAAAGTGCAACCCTCAATGCTGATTCAGACATAATCTATTTCCTACGATGAGTTTTATTTTCCAAGGTCACAGGAATGGTGAAGAATTAACTATCTTTTAATGGCCAATCACATGTTTGAAGGTCCAAATGCTGCACTAAGAGTGTGGCTGAAGCAGTCATAAACATAGTAACTCATTTGTCAAGGAAACTGTAAAATTCACTTTATTTCTCAATTAAGCAACCTGGACGCTTGACATTTGAAAATGTCTTCCATTGAGTTTGAATAAAACAATATCAGGATGGGAACAATCTATTGGATGATGCTGAATGACTTTACCTGTCCTTAAGTCTTGGTGTGGGATTTTTTTTGCAGGAAGTTGTGGTAGTACAGAGTTTCAGTGCGATAGTGGACAATGCATCGACATAGCTTGGCGGTGTGATGGGACAAAAGACTGCACCGATGATTCAGATGAGAAGAACTGCCGTAAGTATCACAATCACAGGAAACCCAGACACTATCAAGCGCTAACTCAAAAACCAAATGTTGCACATAATTTGAGACCTTGAACTCTGTGATATGTTGGGAGGATTTTGTGTGTCTTAATAAAGCCCAAAGCACCAACTCAGCTCTAATATGTGAACACCATTAATGTATGTTTTTAGCACCTCCACAATGCACCTCACAAGAATTCAAATGTGTGACGAGTGGTGAATGCATCTCCTTGGGACTTGTCTGTGATGGGGAGGAAAACTGTGAAGATGGCTCAGATGAACAAAGAACCTGCGGTATGCACACTTGGCTGATGGGGTCAGCCTTATCTTAGAGATGTGTTAACTATCCTTGCCTATGAACCATTGGCTTGAGTAATGCTAGCTGAAAATTGGCTCCAAGTGTTTGGTCATTTCCATGTCACTCAGATGCCCCTGCAGAGCTACACGTTAACCACTAGGTGGCCACACAAAACTACGAGAAGGACGCTAACAAATATATTTCCAACTTTTTCGGTCATAGTTTGAATTTTGTCTATCAATTTATCTGAATTTTAGGCGATAAACAAGTTTTGGCCAATCTTAATCATTTGGCAAGAAATTTTGTATTCCTTTTATAAGATTAATGACATGTCATTTAAACATTTTTCACAAGCCCAATCTCATTGTCCTTGGATTAGGTGGAAGGACTTGCAGTCCAGACCAGTTCTCCTGCCAGGAGGGTCAGTGTATCCCGGGGAAATACAGATGTGACCATGTGAAAGACTGTGTAGACAACTCAGATGAGAACAACTGCAGTAAGAACATTTTCAAACCCATGGTGGTCTTTTTCAAAAGACATATTGACAGTCAGAAATTCACAAAACAGAGATAGACAGTCAGTTGTTTTGGTTCACCTTTGTGTTTGTGAATTATTAACAGGTTTAGGTAATGAAATTTAAAGTAACAAAATAAGCCTGTGTATTTTTGCAGACTATCCACAGTGCACTGAGAAGACATGTGCCAACGGAGCCTGTTACAACAACTCCCAGCGTTGCAATGGACTACAGGACTGCAGAGATGGCTCTGATGAATTTAACTGCAGTGAGTAAACAAGACAAATATGAGCCTTGATTACTTTGTAGATCTAAAGAAATATAAGGCTCTGAAAATAGGGGTGCACCATAAGATTCTTTGTACAATATTCTACAAACATCTGACATTTGTTTTAAGCACACCAATACAGACCAAATAAAAATAGTTTTTATAAACATAGATTTTCATGATAAAGGATAATGTCTAAAATAAATTATTTTCTATTTAAGTACCATTTGAACCAAAAACATGGTAGTATAAGGGGAGTTAGGTCATAATTATTAGTAACTATTTCCATTAGCAAATGTACCATTTTTTTCAACCTTAAAAGGACAGCTACTTAATTTGTTATGCTGCTTGATCAATATCATCAATCTTATTCTTAATGGTTGCAGTAGTGATGGTTTTCATCCCTGACGATCATCAGTTTAAGAAACTTTGTTTCTGTCAAAGTTTAGATTCACTGACTAAAATTCAGACAAATTTAACTATAGCTTTATTTAAAGTTCAGAAACAGGCTGTAATACTTTGATTGGGCTGAGTAGGAAGTGATATCATTTGCCATGTTCATTCACAGCAAATCAACACTGTCCCATCCACCAGTTTGAGTGTACGAATGGTTACTGTATCCCTCACGCCTTTGTGTGTGACCACTGGGATGACTGTGGGGACAACAGTGATGAACAAGACTGTGGTAAGCATTACAATAACACTGACAAGAGTTAACGCAGATATTTATTCTACTCTTTATTGAGATAAGCTTCTCTTTAAATCCTAATGATGGGTTAAAATCAACAATACATGGCCTTTTTAAAAATGATTTGTGTTTTGTGTGTATGGGTATGCCTTTATTTTGTAACACAGCCATTATATGTATTCAATAATAAAAAAGTAGTAAATAACCGATCAGATATTGATTTTTTTGTTTAATGTTATTAAGTCTACCAGAGCTGTAGTGGCAGTGAGTTCACGTGCTCCAGTGGTCGTTGTATTCCTCAGCGATGGGTGTGTGACCAGTTCAACGACTGTGGGGACTACAGTGATGAGCAAGGGTGTGGTAAGTGCAGCTACTTGAAAATGAGATTACAGGTAGTTTTAAAACTTTCATAAGAGACTATTGAATTTAGAAAGTGGAGGAGATTCAATCAAAATACACAAACAAGAAAGACTGATACTGGTATGGGTTATACTGCATATCTGCTCGATTAAACTTTACATTTGAACACAGAATAATAATTTTGTCAACTGTTTACACTTTAAAGTTAATGCTTAGATTCAGGGATGCCATCACTTTTTAAAAAAATTTGTTATAGATAGTAACTCTCGAGACTGTTACCCTGGTGAGTGGGGATGCCCAGGTTCAACACTGTGTATACCAGTGGACAAAGTGTGTGATGGCAAACCTGACTGTCCAGGAGGAACAGATGAGACCAACTCCACAGCCCAGCAAACCTGCAGTAAGTTACAAACAACAAAAAAATCTATGTCATCAGGAAACAAACCACTCCAAACCCATGGAAAGGTTTCTTTGAGTTCTTTTTTGTCATTTTGTCCTCAGTAGAAACAGCCTTATCACAGTAAAAACACAGTTATAGTAGGATAAATGTTGACTGAGTGAGATAGTTCAGTTCAAGTGTGGAGCATAACCACTTATGAACTTCTATTCATGAGGCTATAAATGGAGGTACAAGGGTTTGGGACTTTATTGTGAGTAAATGTTTCTCAGAAATCAGCTGTTGCTACTGAAATGATTACAGCTCCCCCTTTCCTTATCACTTTCTTCACACAAACTTGGTTTAAGATTAACTTTTTTCTGCCTGTCAGTGGACTAATGGTCTCCAGAATCACTTAATGACGGCCACAAAACTGCTCTGATTCCAGGGAGGCTCTGGCAGACAAAACTGTGTAGATTAAAATTCTATTTAAAAGTTTGTGTTGATGACTTTTTATTTGCTTACAGGCCTGGATCGGTGCTCCAGCTTGAGTTGTGAGTATCTCTGTCATCAGTCTCCTCAAGGAGGCACTTGCTACTGCCCAGATGGCTTTATTATAGCCAATGACAGTCGCACCTGTGTTGGTGAGTCCTCGAAAGTTTCATGAGAAGCCATTTGAGTCATTTCTTGTGTAACTAGTCAGCTTTGACAGTGTAGCTCCCTCTAAAGGCAGTTTTTTTTCCCTGTTTCTTAGACTTTGACGACTGTCAGATCTGGGGAATCTGTGACCAGCTGTGTGAAGATCGTCCTGGGACACACCACTGTAGCTGTGCTAATGGATACTACTTGGAGCATGGTCATGTCTGCAAAGCCAATGTCTCAGGTACAGGGAGTCACACACCTCTCAGTAGCTGCTGCACACTGCTGAACAGATAATCCTCAGAAAGACCCTCAGATAAATGTCTGCCTTTCTGGCACTTTTAGATACCAAAAAGGTCCAAATAAGTCGATTTCAAATCCAGTTTGTACCTCTGTCAATGTGATAATATTTTATTCAACACAAAAAAATTAACTTAACAACTCTGTGTTTTTTCAAGGCGGATTGCCTCAGCTCATCTACACAAACGGAGGGGATGTGATGATTGGGGACATACACGGGCGTTTTGTAAGAACTCTGGTACCGTCGCAGGGAAAAGGTTATTCTGTAGGGGTGGCATACCACTTGCGCAGCGATAAAGTCTTCTGGAGTGATACATATACCAAAAAGGTCAGTTTGGGTCTAGACATTTATGATGTTTGTTTTTTGCCTTGTTGATCTTCTTTCTTTCCTATGCCTGTATTTGAGTCTCCATGAAAATTCCAGCAATATAGAATCATTCATTTCACTTCCAGGTTTACTCTGCAAACTACAATGGGGATAACATTAAGGAAATTCTGACAACTGCAGTCCACAATGTCCAGAACCTCGCAGTGGACTGGATCAACTTCAAACTTTATGTCCTTGAAGCCATGGTGGAGCGCATTGATGCGTGTGACTATGATGGAGGGAATCGGGTCACACTGGTGGCTGAAAATCTGCATACTCCTCATGGGCTGGCCCTGGACCCTACTGTGGGGTGGGTTAAGATGTTTTATCCTCAGTGTTTTAGGAATATTGAAGAATGGGCCTTTCCAGCTTTGGTCTTAGTTGATGTCATCAGATTTTTAAGATTTGCTTATCACTAAAATAACTTCACTATTGCAGAAGTTTCTCTATCTTCTTACCCAGGTTTTACTTTGCTCATGTCTAAGTTTTGTTTGTTTGCAGCTACATGTTTTTCACAGACGTGGGCCTTGCCAGTGAGCATATGAAGCTTGAACGGGCCTTCATGGATGGCAGCAATCGTATAGAGCTAGTGAAGAACAGACTTGGCGCTCCAACAGGAATCACCCTGGATATTGTCACGAAGAGGGTCTACTGGTCTGACAGCCACTTTGACACTGTGGAGACTGTCACTTACACGGGTTTGGACAGGTAAAAGCTGTGTTGCTGTTCTTGTTGTTGTTGTTGTCATTATATGTCCCAATACTGTCTACACACATGGTGCTGAGCATTGATATGAATGCAATTGAATTTTCTGATCTTAACTCCTAACAAAAAAGATATTTTTGTATGAAACAACTAGTTTGTAATTAAATATCATAAGATGACTGCTGTAAACAGGTTTTATTTTAGAGCGAAGAAGCCAATTTTAGCCAATTTAGAGAATAGACTTTATTTGTCATTTCAAAAAGCAATGAAATTTCGTTATGCCATCCTGAATGCAAAAAACAAAAACAAGTACAACAATACATACATATGACAGTATTCATCCATGTTAAAAGACATAAAGACGTTGATCAACATTACTCCCATATTGCACTGTTAATAAATAAATAAATAAATGAATAATGAATAGAATGAATAGAGGGTTACATTATTGCATTTATTGGCCTGACATTAAGTTCAGTTATGGCTCTGTGAAAGAAACTGTTTTTGAGTCTGGAGGTGCGGGCTCTGAGCACCCTATAGCGCCTCCCAGAGGGTAGCAGAGAGAACAGGTGATGACTGGGGTGGCTGGGGTCTCTGAGGATCTTGGTAGTGGTGTGTCGGCAGCGTGTCCTGAAAGTTTTTCCAATGGGGGCAGACTGAGTCCAATGATCTTTTCGGCACTTCTAATGACTCGTGTCAGACTTTTCCGGTCTGCCTCTGTGCAGTTGACATACCAAGATGTTAAACAGTACGTCAGGACACTGTATGGAGCGGAGGTAAAAGGCTCTGAGCAGCTCAGCAGGCAGGTGGTTTTTCCTTAGTACCCAATCAATTGGATGATAGTATCCAATTTATTGTGTGACAGGAGCAAAAAGCAGTTCAGTGTAAGAGGAGATTCAAGCAAAATATGAGCAATATGTTTTTTTTATGATTCATTTTAAGATATTTTTAAGTTGAATTTGGTAAATTCAAGGTTAAGCAAATATTTTTTAAAAGTCTGTTATTATAAAACTGCATGGCAGATACAGGAGGGAAAGGGAGGTCATGTACAGAGCTGTATGTGCTTATTCCATATGACATTGATAACAATCATATCACATTGATGCAGATTTCATAGTGCGTGATGTTAAAAAGTACATTTTTATGAAATAGTTATTACTCCTCCGAAAGAGGATTGAAGTGGTATCACAAAATCCTAAAACTATGTAAAGAAACCTTTTAAGATGTTTATTGCCAACTGTCATCAATTCACAGAAAAATTGTCCTTAATGGTGGGACCCAGGCCCCTCATCCCTATGGAATGACAGTATTTGAAAACCACGTTTTCTTCACTGATTGGACAAAGATGGGTGTGATAAGAGCCAACCGCTTCAATGGCAGCAACCCGTCACTCCTCTATCGGACAGCAAAACGGCCGGGCCATGTTGTTGTTTCACATCCTGTCTTACAACCTGTTGGTAAGGATGAGCTGAATAAAGACCTGCATTTTGAAATACTGGAATTTAAGCACAACAAACCCCCTTCTCTCATTTGAACTCCTCTTTCTTGTCCCACAGTGATGAACCCATGTGGAAGGCACAATGGTGGCTGTCAGCACATTTGTGTTTTGAGTCATCGCACTGACAATGATGGTTTGGGCTACCGCTGCAAATGTCGCCACGGCTACGACTTGCAGCCTGATCGTCAGACCTGCTTTAGTGAGTATCATATTAGGGCGTCACGAGTTGATCAGAATTGGAGTCTTATTGAGCTCACATCATTGTCTGAGTTATGCTCTAGAGTGCGTCTGAAACAAGCCGTGACATTTGCCCTACTCTAAACACATTTTCTAAATATTTCACGAATTGATTGTTTGATTTTAAACCTGTGATGTTAGGATTTTTGTTTTAATCTCAGTGTTTGCAGTTTTATGGAGTATAAGAGCTTACCCTTATCAAACTGATGTGATGCAATAACTATGTAATATGTGATTTAAATGATTTAAATTCACACTTAAAATTTTCATTGTTAGATTTTATTACTTGTATCTATGTTTGTGATAGATTTGCAGTGCTAAGGACCCACTTTCACTTTGACTTTTGATAAACATCAGTATTAGCTAGCCCAACTCTTGAATTTTTTTGTGATAATTAGTGTGGACAGGCATGTCTTTAATGTTTGGTCTGGTCTTAGCTTATTTTAGTTTGATAATGGCTGGTTATGGAAATGTGTTTAAATAAACACTAAGACCCACTCTCTGAACAGAGCTAAAGGACTACATGCTGCTGGCCACCTCTCTTGGAGTGAGAGGGATCCCACTAAATCTGTCACTCCAGGAGGACGTTACCCTGCCTCTGTCAGGGCTTGGCTCATCCTTCTCTGGATCTGCTGTGGAGTTTGATGGCAATGAGGAGGCTATTTTCTACAATGACAGGTCCAGAGGCCTGGTGTATAAGTCCAACCTCAATGGCACTGGTGAATCTTTATTATACTTGATGTAAAATGCGCTGCCTATGTTTGTTTGCAAGGAAGTTTGCTACTCTACAGTCAAGTCATATACTCTACTCTTAATCCTGTGTCATACAGCACCCTATATTGACTGTCTTTTTGTATTCTCAGTCCAAGAGATCTTAACTGGCTCCAGAGTGGGAACGATCGATGCTATGGCCTACGACTGGACTTCTAAAGTCTTGTTCTGGACAGCAATCACCTATAAGTCAGTGGTGGCCTTCAAGGTCACAGACAAGTCCAGACGGGACATTGTGACGGGGCTGAGAAACCCTAAAGGAATTGCAGTGAGTCCTGGTTCTGGGTGAGTGTCCTGACTTATCAGAGTAAGACATTGAATGCACTACAGTATTTCAGTAAATTCAATTTCATTGTGCCTTTCATTGTGGAGCGAAAAAGTCTTGAAGTGTGACACATGCCTGTCTTTCAGTGTAAATTGACATCAAGGTGAACTCATTTGAACTGAAATAAACAGATCAGTTGTCTCTTATGTTCATCCACAGTTACTTATTCTGGTCTGACTGGTACCGCCCAGCTGTTATAATGAGAGGCTTCACTGATGGCAGCAATGCTGTTCCTCTGGTCAACACCACACTAGGATGGCCATATGGACTTGCTGTTGACTATGTGTAAGTACAGCAAGCATTAAAAGGCCAAAAAAGTCTTTTAAGTCAACAACATAAATGAAATAATAAAGACTATAAAAAATAACTGTTGTTTAGACTGCAGTATTTTTAATAGTTAGTGGGTTTCCTCAACAGAATGAACCGGCTGTACTGGGTGGATGCCCTGTTGGATCAGATTGGTCACATTGGTTTTGAAGGAAATGACAGACAGACATTCAGCAATATTGGACAGATCACATCTCCCTACTCTTTGACAGTTTATACAGGTGGGTTTTTTAGCTTTTTGATGTTCACCATCCATTTTGAAATAAAAAAAAAAAAAAAAAACCCTTTTGTATGAAAGTGTGGAAATTTATAAAGCTTTTATATATAATTATTCTCAGATCAGACAAGAGAACCACAGTACAAGTTTGCATTCTTTGATTACAGATTTCTTTGCTATAGATGAACATTTACCTAGATTTACACGTGTAGGCTGTAGTCTTTAAAAATGCTGATCAACCTGTTTATGTTTGTAGACTACCTTTATGTTGCTGACACCAGGACCAGAGCAATATTTGAGATGAGAAAGCGAGATGGGGGAGGAAACATCATGGTCAGACAAGGAATAACTGGCATCATGAATCTCAAGGCTTACACAGCCGATCTCCACAGCAGTAAGTACACACACTGTGAGGCTTTGGAGTCAACATGTCAGCTAAGTATCAATTAAACCAGACAAAAGTAATCCAGAAACTTGATAACTGTTCTTTTTTTCTTCTTCCTGACAGCGTTCAAAAGCAAGTGCAATACTATCCCGAACGGGCACTGCAGCCACTTCTGTTTTCCTACTCCATCCTTCAACCGGGTGTGTGGCTGTCCATATGGCATGAAACTCCAGGACAACGGGCGGGACTGCATCAAGGATGATTCAGTTCCTCCGCCTGACAACTGTGGAGACTTATCCTTTGAGTGTGATGGAGGGCGCTGTAGACCAAATTCTTACCGCTGTGATGGAATCATTGATTGTGTGGATCAGACAGATGAGGCCAACTGCACAGATACAGGTGAATGTCTGAGAAAATATGTGCTTCAGGAGCATCAGAGTACATTATACGCATTTATTTTATTTCTCCATCATCTGATGTTCTCATATACCAGGGGCGACCTGCTCATCTTACGCATTCACCTGCAACAACAAGCACTGCATTCGGAACAGTTGGCGCTGTGACGGTATGGATGACTGCGGTGACGGTTCAGATGAGGTGAACTGTCCCACTCGTCGCCCTACCACCTGTGCTGCAAATTCCTTCACCTGCGATAACCACAAGTGTATCTCTAAAGAGTGGGTCTGTGACGGTGACAACGACTGCGGGGACGGCTCTGACGAACACAACTGCAGTAAGAATGATGTCTCCCTCTGTTTTAACTCATTCGCCCAACTTTTTTAAATAACAAAATTATGGTGAGTTGATTTAACAAGTAAAAGCTGGATTTGTAATTGACAGATTCGACCATTACCACATGTCCTCCGAACTACTTCCTATGTCCTGACCACCGCTGCATCTACAGCTCTTATGTGTGCGATGGAGACCAGGACTGCTTGGATGGAGAGGATGAAGCGAACTGTGGTAAAAACCACTGAGACAACACACTTTGTTGTGCTTTTTCTCTAATGTTTCAATTCCGATATAGCAAGCCCTTATTGGGGCAAAAGATGACTGTAAAGAATGGAAACAAGTTTAGTTTATGTGCTCACATGGTATTCCTTCTTGACTTTTTCTTCAGAGTTCAACTGTGCCTCCTACGAGTTTGCCTGTGCCAGTGGAGACCAATGTGTCAGCTCAAATTATCAGTGTGATGGCGTCTTTGACTGCAGGGATCATTCAGATGAACGAGACTGTCGTAAGCAAACCCACACTCTCTCAAGAGCTACAAAGGAATAATTTCATTTTAACATTAGAAAAAAAAGTTATTTTAGTCAGCGATGGATCAGACAGAAAATGTACACCCCCACAGATCAATAGCTGATCAATCAATGTTTTTAAGCTGGTGAGCCCCTAAGTTTCCAACTGTCTGACACACTTCCAGCCACTCGGGGTCCAGGTCTGTGTCACGACAATGAGTTCCAGTGCCAGATTGATGGTTTCTGCATACCAGAGACATGGGAGTGCGATGGCCATCCAGACTGTGAGGACGGATCGGATGAACACAACTCCTGCCCGCCTGTCACCTGCAGATCAAACTATTTCCAGTGCGCCAACAAGATTTGCATCCCAATGGGTTGGTTGTGTGATGGTGACAATGACTGCCGGGACATGAGTGATGAACAGAACTGCCCCACCCCTCCATTTAGTTGTCCCTCAGGACAGTGGTTGTGTCCCACCGACCAGGTGTGCATCACACTGGACAAGGTGTGCAATGGTCAGAGAGACTGCCCCAATGGTGCTGATGAGTCACCTATCTGCAGTGAGTTTTAAAGTTGTCATCATATGTTACAAGTCCTTCTAATCAAGTGCATTAGCTGGTAGTTATTACTGCATATTGAACTAAAAAGACATTTGACAACTTAAGAAATATACAATCATTGCAGTTTGAGTATTATTTATAAGATGTAAGCTAGCAGATAGTTAGCACAAATAAAGCAAACTTAATGTAAGAGAATATAGAAATAAAATATCCAGATCAACTCTATTGTAGAGTAGAAAAGAAATCCAATCAAATGTAAAAAAAAAAACAAAACTGCAATCTAACAATGACTTTAACTCACTGTCTTAAAATTTCCTAAAAGACCAGGATGACTGTGCACTGAACAACGGTGGCTGCAGTGACGGCTGCGTCCAAGGACCATTCGGGGCCCAGTGCACCTGTCCATCAGGATATCAGCTCCTCAATGACTCAAAGACCTGTGATGACATCAATGAATGTCTGATCCCAGGTTTCTGTAGTCAGCAGTGCTACAACGAGAGAGGAACTTTCCGGTGCTACTGCTCACATGGTTACCTTCTGGAGCCTGATGGTCGCACCTGCAAAGCCACAGGTAAAACATCATATTAAAGATAAAGCAGCTATTGGACTGTGCCAAATTGAAAAATAGATTTTACCAGGAAGTTTTTCTGCCCTTAGACCAACTTGCAGCAGTACTACTGGTCGCCAAGCGCAGCCAGATCATTGCCAACAAAATCAACATTAGGCCACCCCAGATGCATCCAGTGATCAGTGGTTCAAGCATTGTGACCGTAGACTTTGACCGCATAACCTCCAGAATCTACTGGGCTGATGTCTCACAGAAGAAGATATGGAGCTCCTTTCAGAATGGCACAGACAAAAAACAAGTAAGAGAATAATAACCAAGTATGGATAAAGCAAGAGGTTAAAATGAAAATTGTCCAAAAGGTGAAATGAAGGATTCATGAGCACAGGAAACTGAATCAAACTTTTTGATAGTATAAGTTGAACCTGATCATGTTGTTTCAGGTGTTCTCCTCTGGACTGATGGTACCAGAGAGTATAGCTGTGGACTGGGTGGGACGGAACCTTTACTGGACTGACTCTGTCATGGAGAACATCGAGGTCTCCACTCTGGACGGCCGCTTTCGGAAAGTCCTCCTCTCCAAGAATGTTACAAGCCCCCGTGGATTGGTGCTGGACCCTCGCAACTAGTAAGAAGAGAAAGTGAAGAAGGCTGTCTTCTTTTTTTTTTCTCATCTTTATGTGCAGCCAAATTAGATCTTTTAGTTTATCAAACCTTTTATAAGATGTCCTCACCAGACTATCATTCACCCCAGCACCTACCTGATGTTCTGGTCGGACTGGGGCCAGAATCCCCGGATTGAGCGCGCTGATATGGATGGCAACATGAGACAAGTCATTGTCAGCACAAAGCTCTACTGGCCCAATGGTCTGGCTTTGGACTACACCACACGCAGGGTCTACTTTGCCGACGCCTACCTCAAATACATAGACTACTGTGACTATGACGGAAACAACCGCTATCAGGTCATGGCAAGTGACATGGTATGTTAACTTTGATTCTTCTATTTTTGGAGGGAAATGAGCTATTTTACTAATGATGGCATGAAACAAAAAAAAATCCTGAAAATCTCTGGGTTCATGGGATCAGCTGGATAGGAAGAAATTTTGAGTCCTTAGCAGATTCATAGGAAAGCTCAGACTTATAATTAGTGTAGAATAATAGTAATGAAAATATAATCACAAGAACAATCACCCCATGGCAGCTACAGTAGCCTTCTAGGGACATATGGTTATAAACAACAAAAACAGATACCATTGAAAGTCTGTTGCAGTGTTGGGCTTCAGACCTGGTCTTTATTTGAGGATTTATGTATCAGCCTTGTACCCCTTACTCACACCAGGTTCTCCAGCACCCACATGGTATGACCATCTTTGAGGACAGCATCTATTGGTCAGAGCGTTACACCAGTAAAGTTATGAGGACCAACAAGTTCCATGGAGGCAACATCACCACTCTGATGAGTAACGTGTACCAGCCCATGGGTATTGTGATGGACCATCCTATCAAACAACCAGCAGGTGAGCAGAGAGTCTGGCATTTAAGTCTTATTTAAACAAACACATGCATACATAAATCAATAAATATTTCTTATGGCATTTCTGTTAAATCAAAAGCCTGTCTTACCAAAGCATGTGCCCCACACCACACACACACACACACACACACACACACACACACACACACATATATATATATATATATATATATATATATATATATATATATATATATATAATTTATTTATGATTTAGTCCAACCATGCATGAATGCCATTTTTTTTTTAAGTTTTATTTTTATGGCTATTTTTATCCTAAATGTGAGATGTGAGGTGTTAATCAACAGCTTTGCTGACAAGTGCCACAGGTGTATACATAAGCAAAGTATTTAAAGAAGGCACTTACAAACTAACAGAGTCCAGGCCCTTTCTGCAACTGTGTGACTTACTTCAAAACAACACAAGCATTTGTTCTGCTGTCGACTACACTGATCCAAAGAAACTTGATGTCGTACAGTTTGATTTATTTTCTCTTGGTTTGAATTTAGCCATAAACCCATGCAGAGAGCATCTGTGCACTCAGCTGTGCCTGCTGGCGAACCTGAGACCCCGGTACTACACTTGCCACTGTCAGTCTGGTTGGAAGTTAGATGCTGATAAACGTACCTGTATCAAAGGTTGGTATTTTAAGCAAGATTTAAATATGTGAAAAAGCGTTTACACACAAGCCACATGGTGAGACTCTGCGTACGGATTTGTGAGTCTTGTGTTATTTTCTTACAGATGAGACTCCTTTCTTGATGGTGGTGAGAGATTCAGTGATTTTTGGGATTCCTCTGGATCCTGCTGATCCCTCCAACAATGCAATGGCTCCTGTGTCTGGCATCAGCCAGGGGCGAGACATCGACTTTGATGACCAGCAGCAGCTTGTCTATTGGGTGCAGAGCTCAGTGAGTGGAGCTATTAAATTGAATTTCTAGATATTATTTATAATATGTGATAAATTAGTGGATTGTTCAAGAACAAGAATTGTCAGGATGCTAAAAAAAGTAAATGATCTTGACAGCATATTGTGAGAAAGCGTGGCCAATTAATGTATGACTTTCCCCCCGTTACCTGTAGTATTTTGTTCATTTTTTATGATTTACTTGTGCAGCTGTTGGGCTTATTATTTCTTATTATTTTACTCTCACATCAGGGGTCGATATGGCAAGTGAAAACCAGCGGTACCAACAGATCTGAGTTTGCTCCAGCTGCTTTTATGGGCTCGCCGTCTGGTCTTGCTTTTGACTGGATAAGCCGGATAATGTATTACACAAATCCCATTGGTAAATCCATAGAAGTAAGTGACATTCATTGATTAAAACTAGCCTCAAACAAACCTGGACAAAAACCTCTAAACCAACATTTAGCATCTAACATTTCTTTCTTGTGTTTTGAATTTCATGTGTGTCCATTTGTCTGTGGTTTTCTGTTTTAACTCTGTTATTGTGCAGTGACCAAACCAAACTTTACACTTGACTCAGGTTATCCGTGTGGACGGGAATCAGCACTACAGAAAGACCCTCATCACCTCCAATGGTAAACCAGAGGGGGTAGGTGAGCCTTTGGGAATAACTGTGGATCCAGCTCGAGGGTAAACCACCATCTCTTTACTCACAAGAACAAAGTTATGGAGTAAAATCTGATTTACTTTAAATTAAAAAAAAAAATTTCACATACTCTAACATTTCTATACAAAGTGTAAATTATCCTCTCTTACAAACAACCTGATGTGACTGATGACTTACATGGAAATATACACATTTTAACTCTTTCCTCTACAAGGAAACTGTTTTGGACAGACAAGGGATCAGACAATGGCATTCCTCCAAAGGTTGGCAGCGCTGACATGGATGGAGGAAACCTTCGAAACCTCTATACTGGCAACCTGGCTAATATAGGATACATCACTGCTGATATTTCTACCGCAAAACTGTACTGGGGTGTGGCTGGCAAAGGGGTGGTATGTACTTGTAATACAGTTATACAACATAAATCTTTATCTTAATTGTTCTTAATGAGCTACAGCTCATAGCACACCATAACCAGGTCTGAATATGCTTTCCTGATAGTCAATCATGAACCTTATCTAACTACTTTTAATAATCTCTTCCTCTTTTGTTGGTCCAGATTGAGAGTGGCACTATGGATGGGGTGAGCAGGGTGACTGTAGTGAGTGGCCTCTCACATCCATGGGGGCTTACAATCCACCAGAACCACCTCTACTACACCGACATGGACTATGAGGTCATTGAAAGGGTGGATAAAGAAAACGGTGCCAATATGGTGGTGATGAGGAGTAGCATGTCAGGCCTGCGAGCTCTCAAAGTGCACGCCAGAGACAGTACGTAGATTTTTTTGTTTGTTTGTTTATGTGGCTGTGAGACTCTTGCTCTTGGGCTTTTTGTTTTCATGCAGGCTGGTTCATTATGCAGCTGGTGATTACTGCCTGTGAGAGAGAAAGTGGGGTTTTGTTTTCTTCTTTAGGACAGCACACAGCTGAATTGAGCACCACTTGTATTGCATTATTCAATTTAGCTTTCGAAAGGACACTCGAGAAACCCAAACGTCTCTCAGCTACTGTCTTTTTGTAATAAAATAATAAATGTACAATTTTTTAAAATAATACATGATTACATCAACTCTCAAAAAGGTCACAACACCTTTTGAGCACAATTACCCACTGTCATGAAAATGTGTCTCTCGCTAGAGTTTATTTTTATTGTGAACAGCAAATGAATGGGATACAGATCTTTTACATACTACTCTGCTGTGTCAAATGAAATATAACATAAACTTTATATATACTCTGTGTTTAAGCCTATTTCAAAATCAACAGCTAAATTAAAAACAGTTAAAATGTGCATTTCAGTACAAAACTAATAAAATTAACTTGATAAAATAAATATAGTACCAAGATCAGTTTTTCCCGTAATGCTCACTTGTCTCTTGTCTCCCTTCTCAGACTCGGCCGGGACCACCAACGCCTGTAGCTCTAACAACGGAGGTTGTCCGCACCTCTGTCTGCCAAAACCCAGCAATCAGAAGACGTGTGCCTGCACCACTGGCTTCCACCCCTCTCAAGATGGCACCCGCTGTGAACAGTTTGAATCCTTTGCAATCATCTCCACGCCCAAGTACATCCGTGGTTTCCACATAAACAGCTCAGACCACTCTGAGGCTATGGTGCCTGTTGGTGGATGTATGCAGACTTTTGAGTCTCTTCTTGATTTTGATGCTTAAGATTCTACATTTTTGGTGTCTACAAATGTGTTTTGTATTGCAGCATCCATTTATAAAGACAAGCTGGACCTCCACATTCCATCTGGTTTTGTGTACTGGACAGACAACAGTAGCTCCACCACATACAGAGGCATCTTCAGGGCTAAAACAGATGGAGGGTCCTACAGCCGTGTCATCAGCTCAGGTGTTGGAAGAAGAGGCATTCAGGGCATTGCTGTAGACTGGATTGCAGGTATGGATCCACTCATCCATATATTTTCTTTGCAGGTGTGCTCCAGGAGTATGATTATTACCTGGTCCCTGAAACATGCTTAAAAAAAATTATTTTGATGCTTAAATATTACACGATTCAACCCCACTGTGACATCGTTAAGCATTATGGCTCTGCATTTTTGTCTTTCCCATCACTTTAGGTAACTTGTACTTCACTAATGCCTTTGAGAGTGAGACCTATCTGGAGGTGCTTGCTATCAACACCACCTACAGGATGATTCTCCTGAAGTCCACTGGGGACCAGCCCCGTGACGTGGCTGTCAGTCCCAAGCTTCGCTACCTCTTCTGGACTGATGGCGGCCAAACACCGAAGATTGAGCGTGCCCTGCTTGACGGCACAAACCGCTCTGTGTTGGCATCAGAGAGCCTGGCGTCACCTCGTGGCCTCACCATAGATTACACCAATGATTTTCTCTACTGGACCGATGATGTGCTTGATATGATCTCCAGGATGGCCCCAGACGGCACCCAGAGGCAGATTATTCGATACGGGAGTCGCTATCCTTCACCTGTAGGCATGGCCATACTTGGTAGATACATGCTGTGGGTGGATAAAAAGCTTGGGAAGCTCTTCCAGGCCAGCAAGGACCCAAACGGTGCAGACCAGCCAGAGGTTAGAGAAAAAGTCACAGTTTAAGTAGTCATATGATGGTTAATGAGAAACTACAATAGGCATCAAAATGACTTGTCTTTCATACATGTCAACTGTGTAACATCTGTACAACAACCTCTGTAAACAGCTGCAGCAAAAAATGTTTTATTATTGATAAATTATTGATTAATAATTCTATAAAATGCTATTGAGTCCAGAGAAGAATTGCTTTCAGATGAGCATATTGTGGAAGATGTGAAACACACAAAAGCAAAGAATCCAAGATAATATTAGCCACTTTAGCAAGAAACATGCCTGATACAAGTCATCAAGTAATTGCTTCAGCCCTGATTATTATCATCATGTAATCTGACCTTGGCTGATGATGCACTTGATGATGCCATCTACAATCATGAAGTAAACAGATGGCTGGCGGGCAGTAAATAGCACTGAGGTTTAATGCAGTGTATTTTTTTTTTTTTTCAATTTGCATCAGGTAATTCGAGACAATCTTGATGGTCTGACGGATGTCACCATCTTTGATGCCCATGTTCAGCCCACATCTGCCAACCAGGTGGGTTTTAACCCATGTCAGGAAGATAATGGACGCTGCCAGCAGCTCTGTTTTGCCATTCCTGGCCAGGAGGCACCAAAATGCGGTTGTGCGCACGGATCTCTTCTGAGTAACGGGGTAACATGTGGTTATGGCCAGGATGAGTTTCTGGTTTTTACAACAGACTACACGTTGAATAGTATGAGGTTGGACCCCACTGATCACAGCACTCCATATCCAACGGTTACTCTTGGCTACAACGTGGTGGCTCTGGATTATGATTTCAAAGACAAACGGATTTTCTTCACTCAGTACACTGGAATCGGCCGGAGCAGGATAGGCTACATCACCACCACTTCTGCCACCAGTCCACCTGTCATAATCGCCACAAGTAAGACTGACTTAATTTTGTCTCTGTGGCATCTTATCTTGTAATTTTTGTCTTCCTTTACTCAACAGGTTTCATTTTCAGATTTTTATTGTGATCTTCTCTTGACCTCAGTGTCTCTTATTTTTGAATCCTCTCTTCTGTGTCACTCTGCTCAGATTTGGATGACCCAGAGGGATTGGCATATGACTGGATCAACAAGCGTCTTTACTTTACTGACTACTACAAGCGCAATGTCCAGGCCATGGGAGTGAACGGGCTGAACCGTTCCATCATCGCACATGGAAACCGTCCCAGAGGCATTGTGGTTGACCCCTGCTATGGGTAAAAGTTACAGAATAGGTTCTCTTGTAATTTGGACAAAGTTGGATACAAAATTTGGTTTATTAAATGATCTCTTTTCCCAGTTACCTGTACTGGACCGACTGGGCCTCCCCTGCTAAGATCGAGAGAGCAACTTTGGGTGGAAATTTCCGGACCCCCATCATCAACACCAGCCTCACAATGCCCAATGGCCTGTCTCTGGACTATGAGGAAAGGATGCTCTACTGGGCTGACTCCACATTGTATGTCAAGTTGTTTCATTCATTTCTGTATATTCCATTATGCCTACATTTTTTTTAATTTCTCCTCTCTTCCCCTGTTTTTTTTTTTTTTTGCAGAGATAAGATTGAGCGTTCCACTCTGACGGGAGCAAACAGACAAGTAATTGTGCAAGGTGCTATATACCCGTTTGCCCTGACTGTCTTCCAGCAGGATGTCTTCTGGACTGACTGGACTGAGAGAGGCGTCTTTAGAGCTGGGAAGGATGATGGCTCTGGCTTTGCAGTGCTATCCCAAGACATGCAGTACCGACCGAATGGCATCCATGTTTATGCCGCCTCTAAGCAGGAGAGCTGCTCCAGCTCCTGTCAGCAGTTTAATGGAGGGTGCAGCCATGTCTGTGTTCCTGGTAAATGCAGACTTTTGCTCATTATATTTTGGTGCCCTGAGCTGTATTTGAGACTTCTTGGTACTGTTTAAATTATCAGTAAGATAAAAATGCAAGAAAAATATCTCCCAGCAAAGTAAGACGAAGGTTTGTAGCCACTAGAACTTTCTTTAAGATTGTAGAGCAAGTGGAGAAAGTTTGACTTTTCATAACAACACAAAAGACACACAGAACTATTAATTAATGAGACACCTTATCTCTCTGTTCCTTTTCATTTTTTTTATGCCTCCACCTCCTATAATCCCTCCTGCAGGTCCATTGGGTCCTGAGTGTCAGTGCCCTCATCAGGGGAACTGGTACCTGGCTAACAACGGCAAAGACTGCATCCAAGACAAGGGGAAACGCTGTGAGCCTGAACAGTTTACTTGTCTCAATGGTAACTGCATCTCAGCACGCTGGAAGTGTGACGGCTACAACGACTGCCATGACAACTCAGATGAGCTTGAAAGAGTTTGTGGTAAGAGAGGAGTTTCTGTCTTTAAACTGAGAATGTTTTGAGTTCAGAAAGATGGATGAAATCGAACAAAGCTAGATATATGTAAAAACACATGTATAAATAAAATAAAAACAGTGTGAGAGCAGATAAAAATCAGAAACTCTCATGCTGGGTTAAAAGCTGCGGTCAGCTGCAGTCCAACACCTTTAATTTTCCTGTTATTTTCCAATATTCCAATATAAATCAGATTATAATTTCTGATGCACTACAGAAGATCAAGAAGTCTCCACAATGATTGGCTTTTGCGACAAAATGTCAGCAGATTTATAATATGACTAATGACTTGTGATCAATCAATACTATTCAGACTACAGACGTAACAAGATCCCTTAAATCCAGGCTTCGGCCAACCACTTAACATTGTTATTGAGAATTGATATCATTGATATTAAGGCATAAAAATAAATCAACACTTTGTCATGTTTTCTTTCCCAGCCTTCCACACCTGTGCCGCCATTGACTTCACCTGTGACAATGGGCGCTGCGTCCCACTCAGCTACACCTGCGACTACACAAATGATTGTGGTGACAACAGTGATGAGCGAGGCTGCCCCTTCCCCACGTGTAACCCTGCAACGGAGTTCACCTGTGCAAACGGACGCTGCATCAATGCAGGCTTTGTCTGTGACGGACACAACGACTGCCGCGACAACACCACCTCTGATGAAATCAACTGCCGTGAGTAATGCTCAAGTTCTTCACGATACTATTGCGTTCAATGAAGGTTTGATTGTTCTTCTTTCAACATCATCGCTCCAACTGCATTACTAGCTGTAATTTATCTCTTGTATAATCATCAGACCTTTGTTTCAAATCCTCCCTGTTTTTTTTCTTTTCTCTCTTCAGCTGATCGAACATGTCCTGCAGGCCAAGTCAAGTGTGAAAACACCAACATCTGCATCTACCCTGAAAGCCGCTGTGATGGCTACAACAACTGTGGGGACAACAGTGATGAGAATCCTCTCTTCTGCGGTAGGTTCAAAATGAAATCTTTCTCCAAAACAGCAGGGTGGAGGTCAAGCTGGGTCACACATTAAGTTTTAAATTCTCTCACTGAGGATGTCCAGTAGATCTCCACACAGATGCACGTATAAATCAGTTCAAATGAGGATTTTGTTTCTGTGTCACAGCTGGCCGTACCTGCTCTCCGGATCAGTTCCGCTGCGATAATGGGAAGTGCATCCCTGACTCTTGGGTTTGTGACGGCATCCAGGACTGTAATGATCGCACAGATGAGCCTTCCTCCTGTGGTGAGTACTGTACATTTATGTTTAATGTTTCACTGAAAGACTTAATGTGGAAAGCTCTTTTTGTTTTGCTATGACTTCATTGCTGGTACAGATCAAACTTTGAGCTTTGTGGTAGCTGGACAGGTGAAATTTACATCTCTAAGAAATGCCACCGCTTGCATAGTTGATCCTTTTAAAATGACAGTTTGGATCATAGGAAGAAGCCGGGTGAGGGAAAATTGGAAAGAGCTTCCAGGTGGACATGTTCTTTAACGTTGTCTTAAAAGGATAGCACAGTTTTACATCAGGCACAGGCTAGTTCTCACAAAGTCTCAGAAAAAAAGCTGTTTTGAGAAACAAGATAACATGTCCGTGATCAACAACAAAATCCACTTATCTCTTTTTTAAAAGTTTGTGCAGGTTTTGAAAGAGATCCAACAGTGCAACAAGACACTGTGTGTGTTCAGATCCTTCAAATAAATCAGTGATGACATGCTAAATTTGTCTATTTTTCTAATATTTGTTGCAGTTTTTTTTTTTTCTTTTTTGAGTGTCTGCATGTTTTTTAAATTATTTTTCTTTGTAGAGGATCAGATCAGAACATGCAGTCCCAGCCAGTTCACTTGTACCAATGGAAACTGCATCCCCCAGTCAATGGTATGTGATGGCAACAATGACTGCTGGGACAACAGTGACGAGGTTCCTGAACTGCAATGTGGTAGGACAGCAAGTCATGATTAATTGCTCACTGTTTGATTACACTTTTCTAAACTTTATCTCATATCTCATCTGAATTTTCTCTCCTTGCCCACTTCATGTTTGTTTTTTTAATCTTGATATGTATTTTGTGCCATATCGTAAATCCACTTCTCTCATCCTCTCTCTGTCTCCTGCAGGCCAACGCACCTGCAGCTCCAACCAGTTCACCTGCCCAACTTGGCACCCCGGTCACCCTCGCTGTGTGCCATTGAGCTTTGTGTGTGATGGCGAGAAAGACTGCGCCAATGCTGCTGATGAGCTCCAGAATTGCCCCAATCGCACCTGCCACCTGAATGAGTTTGCCTGCTCCAATGGGCTCTGTATCTTCCTCCCCTACCAGTGAGTACAAAGTAGGCATTAGTCATTTGTTTACAGTCTGGAAAACCATGGAAACGGTCATCTCCTTTTCCTCAGCTGTGATCGTGTGAACGACTGCGGGGATGGCAGTGATGAACTGGGCTGTACCTATGACACCTGCAGCAGCAGTCAGTTCACCTGTGGGAACGGAGCCTGCATCCCTTCCTCCTTCACCTGTGACGGTGAGAGCGACTGTACAGATGGCTCAGATGAGGTGGACAGCTTGTGCATCACACCGCAGCCCACTTGTGCTCCTCAACAGTACATGTGCACTTCAGGGGAGTGCATCGATGCCAATAAAGTGTGCAACGGGCTGAAGGACTGCCAGGATAACAGTGATGAAAAAGGCTGTGGTAAGAGATGCAGAAATTCAACATTTTATTACAATATTTGAGTTTGTCTAGAGGAAGAACTGCACTAGTTTTAAATTTATGTCATCCAATTTTTTAACTACAGGTTTCTAACAAACCACTGTGTGTTTCAAAATCATTCACTTACATTAAATATGTATGTCCTCTATTTTATGGTAAAGTTTTACTTCTTATTTCTACGTAAAAGGACATGTTAAACTTCAGTCTGCAGTCAAAATGTTTGGAGTTACAACAAAAAGTTTCTTTAAATTTTTTCATTAGTTGATTATTCGCTTAAAGTTTCTGTGAAGAACTTTTAAGTTTTTATTGATCTCCATGGGATTTTACCTGGTTAAAGGTTAAATAAAAAAACAAATAAAATAAAAATCTAACAGATTTGGATTTGGAGATGCAAATCTAGCACTGACAAAACATCTCCTTCCACTATCCTCTCTCCAAACCCATAGCAGTATCGGTTTTTGCCTGTTAAGAGGAAGTTTTTCGTTACACTTGTGGTTATTCTCTTCTTTTCTCTTTCTTCTGTTTAGGGGTGAATGAGTGCCGCAGTCCATCCGTCCACAAGTGTGCCCAGATCTGTACCGACACCCTAACTAGTTACTACTGCTCCTGCTTCCCTGGCTACAAACTCATGCCTGATGGAAAAGCCTGCGAAGACCTTAACGAGTGCATCAGCACACCGTCCGTCTGTAGCCAGATTTGCGAGAACACTGTCGGCTCTTTCCACTGCAAATGTGCACCAGGCTACATCCGAGAGCCAGACGGACGCACCTGTCGTCAAAACAGCGGCATCGCACCATACCTGTTGTACACTAACCGCTACTACATTCGCAATCTGACCACTGACGGGTCACAACTGAGCATAGTCCTGCAGGGGCTGTCCAACGTGGTGGCGTTAGACTTTGACCACTCTGAGAAGAGGTTGTACTGGCTGGATGCAGGGGTTGGAAAGATTGAGAGGATGCGTTTTGATGGGACTGACAGGGAGACAGTGGCGGATGAAGATGTGAGAGGAGCTGAAGGGCTGGCACTTGACTGGGTGGGCAGGTGTGTGAAATGGGAGCATTATTGTCATCACAGCTTCATTTTTTAAATACTGTATACTTGAATGGTTTAATAATTAAAAGCATTACAATACATAGATCTGCATCTGTGAATAGTGAATCAGTGTGGCTGGAAAAAAACAGACATAAACTTTGTGTATCTCCTGCAGGAAGTTGTACTGGGTGGATGGTTATTATGGCTCTGTTCATGTGATGGAGCTGGATGGACGCTTCAAGAAGAGGCTCCTCTCAGGAGATTTCACAGATGGGAATAAGACATATCTCATCAGCCGACCTCGTGCTGTGGCTGTTAACCCAAAACTCGGGTACTGACATCAACTTAATACCCAGTATGATTGTTTTATAATCCTGTGTTTGGATTTTCCCATCCATCTTGCCTTCTTTTTCCTGCTGTTTTATTTCCCCCTCCCAGTTGGCTGTACTGGACTGACTGGGGTGATGAAGCATACATTGGCAGGGTCGGCATGGATGGAACCAATATCAGTGCCATCATCTCAACAAAGCTGGAGTGGCCCAACGCCCTGACCATAGACTACACTACCAACAAGATCTTCTTTGCTGATTCCCATCTGAACTTCCTGGAGTGAGTCAAGTTGTCAAATTGTTTGAGCAGCACTCAGAAGTCTTGTATTTCTATAAAATAGCACCGGTGAGGTTCCTGCAAATGTGTATTAACCCTACCTCTTCTGAAACTTCAGCTTTGCAGACATGGACGGCAAAAACCGCCAGCGGGCGATTTCAGGTTCCCTTCCTCACGTCTTTGCAGTTTCCCTGTTTGAGGACTGGGTCTACTGGACTGACTGGAATACACACACAGTTGAGAAAGCCCACAAATATACCGGCGAACAGCGCACAATCATGGGCAACAACACACATCGTCCCTATGACATTCATGTCTACCATCCATACAGGCAGCCCCGCAGTACGTACATAAAATATATAGTTGTTGTCTCTCTTCTAACTTAAATAAACTGCAGCTTGGCATTCACCTTGATTCATTTGATGCTTTGACCTATTTCCCAGGTGAGAACCCCTGCAGCTCACATCACCTGACTTGCAGTCACTTGTGTCTGATTGGGCCTGGTGGACAGCGGGCTTCCTGTCAATGTCCTGATAACTTCATTGGCCTCATGGTTGGCTTCAAGGTCCAGTGTGTCGCAGACTGTTCCAGCACCCAGTTCCGCTGTGGAGACAATGAGAGGTCAGATACAGAAAACTGAATAATTTAGGTTTTATCCTGCAGTCTTTGAATTGAAATCTTCAGTTTTTCTAAAGCTGTATTGATCAGAGAATTTACATAAAAACAAATCAATGTCTAAATAAACTGTTGATTGACAAAAATATATAAGACACATAAACTTTGGTAACACTTTGCTTGACGCCTATCTCTCTAACACATTATAAATGTATGAATACTGTGTTATAATCCCATTATAGCACTGTATAACTTTAGTTATAAACACTCATAAATGATCATAACGCTTTATAGCAAAAATCACAACACATTATAAAACATTTTATCATGACTAATCAGGTCAGGTACGATAATGTGTTATAAGTGTTAACAACTCACTGATAATGCCCACATGGATAATGCATTATACATATATTTATGATGTGTTATAATTTGTATAAAAACTTGACAAGTTATAAACACTCATTAATTATCATAAGGCTTTATAACAATAAGCATAACACATTATATTACCTGACCTTTTAAATCATGATAAAGTGTCATGATTATTGTTATAAAGCATTATGATCATTTATGAGTGTTTATAACTATAGTTATACATTTCTATAACATGGTTATAATGCATTATACATATATTTATAATGTGTTATAGACATAAATGCGTCAAATATAGTGTTACCAAAACTTCCATTTAATTATGAGACGGATTGTTGATATATTTTTTTTTTTTTTACTGAGAATCAAATCCATAACAACTCAATTTCTACATCAAGATGAACAACAAGAGATTAGAGCTAGATAACAGAATCCACTAGTAAAAAAAAAGATGGGAAGATGTTCGACTGCAAAATAAACGTGTGCGTATATTATATGTATAATGTATAAAAAATAACTACCCTCACTGAAGTGTTTTTTCTGCCCTCAAATTCAGATGTATTCCTATTTGGTGGAAGTGTGACGGTCAGTCAGATTGTGGCGATGGCTCAGATGAACCTCAGACTTGCCCACCCCGTCATTGCCCCATTGGACAGTTTCAGTGCCAGGACGGTAACTGCACCTACCCTGGCTTCCTCTGTGATGGACACGCTGACTGCCCTGACAGATCAGACGAGGATGCCGCTCTTTGCAGTAAGACACTAATATGCTCTATAACAGTGAGAAAAAAACTTGGATTAGGGAATGATTGCTTTTTAAAATACACCATTAACTGGTAAATACTGAGTTTTGCTGGATGTGCATCGCCCTCTAGGTGACCACAGATGCCAGGAAAATGAGTACCAGTGTAAAAACAAACAGTGCATCCCTGTGTCTTGGCACTGTGATGGAGTAAATGACTGTTCGGATGGCAGCGATGAGGACTCTGAGACTTGTGCTGAGAAGACCTGCCAACCAGGGCAGTTCCAGTGTGCCAATGGTCGCTGTGTGCCGTCTAGTTATGTGTGCGATGTGCAAGATGACTGTGGGGATGGATCAGATGAACCGTTTGAAACCTGCAGTAAGTGGGACATAAAGAAATGGCTTTTTATTTGATCAAATCCAGGAAGTAACTAAAGAGAGACAATAAAACTATCAAGACTCAAGCCAAGCAATCCTTTTTTTTTCTCTGGATCATTTCTGTCTTCTTCTGTTTTTCACCAGTGTTTTCGTTTCTCTTCTGGACTTTTTCTAGGAGGTCCAGAATACAAGTGTGATGAGGATACTGAGTTCTCCTGCAAGACCAACTACCGCTGTATTCCCCAGTGGGCCCGCTGTGATGGCACCAATGACTGCATCGACAACAGCGATGAGCAGGGCTGTGGTGGGTGCTGCTTGTGCCATCACATGTGATATCAGATTTTTTTAAGTGTGATCATTTGAGTTTATCTGTATCTATCTATCCATTTTACTTTTCTCCATCACCACATGTTGAATTAGCCTTTAAATCAGATTTTGTCTTATAACAGAGCAAGTAACCTGCGATCCACTGGGAGATTTCCGATGTGACAACCACCGCTGTGTCCCTATTCGCTGGCAGTGCGATGGCACCAATGATTGTGGTGATGGCTCAGATGAGAGGAACTGCCGTGAGTGTCCAGATCATAAATTTTTACATCATTCCTTCACAAATCAGTCTTAGTAACTGTACACATAAGCCAGTGTTAAACATTTCTTGGTGTTTCTGTCAGTGGATTTCAAGAGGAGAAGAAAACAACTTATCTTTTCTAGAACACATGGTTAGCTGCACTTGCACAGAGATGTCAAGTAAGAGGAAACTGTGAAAATGTGACAGATGGCAGCTGGATCATGTCAAATAGATCATGCTCCGTCTGCTTTTGCTCTCCGTACAGACTGTTGGACATGCTGACAGCTGATAGCTCAATACTCCTCTGACTTCTAACAGAAATCAGAACACTTCCCACATCAAAATCAAGACCCCTGAGTAGAGATGATAAATTTGATAAATGAGATGATAAACCTTGCGGTGGTGTAACGCCGTGGATATTTGTGTCTCTCTTTTACGATTGCAGAGCCGAGGCCTTGCTCTGAAAGTGAGTATCGATGTGACAACGAGCAGTGCATCCCTGGAAACTGGGTGTGTGACCATGACAACGATTGCGGGGATAACTCAGATGAGCGGGACTGTGGTGAGTAGGCACAGCACAGAGAGGTACTACCTTGAAATATCCTGTCATAAACAACACTCACCCACACTTCACCATCCTGGCTGTCTTCCAGAACTACAGACATGCCGTCCTGGTACTTTCCAGTGTGACTCAGGTCACTGTATCCCCGCTGCTCTGCAATGTGACGGCCGGGCTGATTGTCAGGATCTGTCAGATGAAACTAAATGTCGTGAGTACACAATATAAAAAGTAATGGCTTGTTGCAGTTGTCAATTACTTGTGCTCCTTATTTGATAATATATATATTTGTCTATGTATAGAGAGAATGTCTGTATTTGTTAGTAAATACATTTTTTCCTCCTCGGCCTTATAATTTTTTTTAAATTTTACATAATAAAAGTAGACAAACAGCACAGACAGTTAAGCAGGTTTTGAATTGTTTAATCCAGCTGCCTTCATTACCCCCCAGAAAATGTATGCTTCAAAACACTCAAAAACCTTTAGTTTTTAACCAGAATGACTTGATGATAACTATGAAAAGCTATTGAACGATAAGTTTGAATTTAATCTTTGACAAGTGCTCTGTGTATTAGGACTTGTAGTAGTCTAGGCCTATAGCTGTCCATCAGAAGTTTCATTCAGGTCTTGAAAATGTTATATCCTGCTCTTTCCAGACATTTTCCCCTGTTTTTTCTTGACCACCTTGTATTTAATAAAAGCTTAAAATTGTCCTTAAAAAAAATCCCAGATCCCAGAATTTGCTGAGTAAAACCTCCGGTAGGGCTCCAGCTTTTAGGGTTGGAGCGTCAACATGACCTCTTAACCCTCACATACTGTTCGGGTCAAATTTGACCTGTTTTGACTTTTCACAGCAGTAAAAATACCCTAAACATAATTTTTTAAGCCTGAAACTTGACGACTTTTCCTGAAGTTGCCCAAAATACATGAAATTAATTTAAAAATATTCATGTGTATTTTTGTTTATGTGCTACAAGTTTTTCCCCTCTAAGGCTGTTACGGGTCAAATTTGACCCATATCTATATTTAGATGGATTTTACATCTAGCAGTGTGGGACAAGTGACAAACCGTAACAACAGTGTTCAATATAAGGTTTGTTGTTCAAAAAGATATATTCAAATTATTATGAAACTACCTTGACAGAAACACACACGCACGCACGCACACAGACATACAGTCACACAGACGCACCTAGACAGAGGTCAAAATGACCTAACTAGTCAAGAGAACTTTCTGTGACAGAAAGCTGCTCTTTGAACTCTTTGAAGAGGCAATTTTGACCCGGAACCTACTGTGAGGGTACAGGATTTGAACAGTATGTGAGGGTTAATGTAAAGACTGCTGACATCAGGATTAACTTTGTTTTCCCCTCTCACAGCTACCCGTTTCCCAGGAGGCCGCTGGTGCCCCCTGAGCCAGTTTGAGTGTGCCAACCACCTGTGTGTGAGCCAGAGTTGGGTGTGTGACGGCACTGATGACTGTGGAGACCGCTCAGATGAACAGCTCAGTTTATGCTGTGAGAATTAAATCTTCTGTTTGGTTTAAGTTAGTGATATGCTTAGATAATGTCGTATGTTGGTCTAAACTCTGATTTGTGTTTGTTTGCACAGTAAACATCACCTGTGAAATGCCAGATAAGTTCCGCTGTGCTAACGGATACTGTGTCTACTCTGGCCTGTTGTGCAATCAAAAGGACGACTGTGGAGACGGCAGTGATGAGAAGGAGGAACTTTGTATGAGTCACACAAACTTAACAACACAATTCCTCAGTTAAAGCATTTATTCTTTGAATCAGATCCCCTCAAAGGAAAACACCTTTGCATTTTATCAAATCAACTGCACAGATGTCTAGATGTCTAGATGAATAACTAACATAAAAACAGCAGAAATATATTCCTTTCAACTGTAGCAAGCTGCCATCTTGGCTCATTGTATCCCATATTTCTGGACGCTAGAATAAATGAAGTTGTGATTACAGGTGAAGGTGTCAGTGATAGAGCTCTACATACTGAAGCCTACCTAAGATTCTTGTTTAAAAGCAATGTTTACTGTTTCTAAGCAAATGCTGTATAACTAACCAGTCAAGAAAAAACAAGACAACAACAAAAAACAGTAGTGCCAAGTCTCTGAGTTACAGTTTGTCATTTGCAGACACCTGTATATCATGCATTTAGACTAAGTAGAGGTGGATGATAATCAAATTTACTGGCCAAGTAAACATGCACACATTTGAGTCAAGTTGCTTCAAAGTTATGAACCCTGCACCATTGCCATGGAAACAAATGTCCAAACCAGTACTGAATGTAGTCTCTTAGTCGCTGCCTCATCAACCCCTTTAGAACTCAAATTTTTCAGAGCCTGCTTTCTACAGTTATAACGTAGGCGGACTGTTCGTGGAGCAGAATGACGAAACCAACTTTTTTCATGGAGTTCATGTAAAACAGATTATCTAACATCTACAAACTACAGGGAGCTGCGTGAGGAAAAGACATCTAGTTGTTACAGAAGAGAGGCTGATATTGATAGAAACTCTAAAAGCTTTTCGAGAAGTTGTGAAAAAGTAGTTTATTATGATTGTAAGTCAGATGAGGTTATTGTCAGTGTGTGTCTCGGCAAGTTTAAATGGTAACAAACAAAGCCAGACAAAAACAATGAGTCAACAACTAACAAATAACTTCCCAAGCAAACATTCAAGAGTTACAGTGAAAGTATTTGGGCCAGGCAGATACAAACAGGACATGAAAATAAGCCTCACATTTAAAAGACAGATACTTTGTCTAGACATTTCTAAATGAGTTTATACTGCAAAAAGATCTTTAAATTGAACATTTTATGATCTCTCTCTTTTTAATCATAACCATCATCAAATTTGCGTTGCTAGTCATCGGTTTCTGATTCATGTAGGATTAATCTAAACAACACTAATGCCCAATGAACTCTACCCCTGTGTAAGGCCTGCAAAATGAGAAATCCCAAAATGACATCAGTATATCTGCTCAGGATACAAAACTGAAATGTACAAGGGATAAGGAAGTAGTCTGGTTTATGGAATTGTTACACAATCAGCTTACACATCAATCAGAGCAAATTATTTTGAGAGGAGATTAAATAGTTGCTGGACATTGCCTAGCTCATCTAAATCCATTTGTTATCAGGGAGGAGGCAGTGAAGAAAAATCACAGGGGAAGCTCAGGAGAAGCCTGAGATGGAAGAGAAGAGATATAGGATTGCATGTTGTTATACATGTCAGACTTCATTGTGCTTGGGGTTTCTTCGTCTGCCAGTGTCGCTCTCTCCTTTTTCAACACCCCAGTCTGAGCTCCTCAATATTAGACAGAGTTTGAGGCAGACAGGTTACACACCCACCAACCTTCACCCTGTGTTTGCACTGATGACTCATTCTAACTTTTCCTTCCTCAGGCCGCGAGCCCACGCTGCCTCCCTGCACACTGGACGAGTTCAAATGCACAAATGGACACTGCGTGGCCTTGCCCTACGTCTGCGACCACAACGACAACTGTGGGGACCGCACGGACGAGTTAGGCTGCAGTGAGTAGCAGGACTGAACAATATTCTGTATCATACAAGAGGTAGCAGGTTGCACTGTTGGACTGTGCCGCAGGCTCAGTGCCAATGACAATCACAGCTGTCCAAAATGTTTCTGAAGGAAAAAGAGCCTTCAGAACTTTTTCGATGTCATCACATAACCTTTCAGTAATACCCTTATGTTTGGAAACACCTGGATCTCTTGAGGCAAAGCTTTCAGATTTATTATATTCAAGAAAGCTAAAAATTAAATCATAAAGATTACACATGAGCAGATACAAGACTTCATCTGTGCGTTCTACTCACTCGAAAAGAAAAGAGTTTTTTTTGTACCAGATATAGCAAATGATTATGACAAATATTCCCTTTTGTTCAAAAAGCATCTTCCGCTGTTTAACAGGTGTACTCATAATAACTCCATATCCTGTAATTACCACTTATCTATGCATTTATCCATTTCGCACTGCTCATTTTTAGACCTAATCATCACTTGGCATCTCATGATTATTAGAAATGCTCTGGATCTCATAATTATGAGATGTAAGTGTGTGACCTAAAATTAACAGAACATTTTCACAGCATAGAAAAGAAATACATTTGGAGACAATTTTCTGACATTAATGATGGAAACAATGTGAGTAAATGGGGTGTTTGACTCTGTTCTTCAAGCCTATAAACGTGTGTGGATTTATTTGTGGACACATGAAACTGATTGATTGTGGTTAGACACCGGGATATTTGTCCGTAGTGTTTTTCTGCTGCCCATGTAAAGATGTAAAGTTATTTTTTTGGTTAAATCAAATGAAAGCAGTTTATATTTTTGAGGGAAGCTTTTTCTATTTGCTGAGAAATTGGTTTGCCCTCCTGAATCCAGATTTTGGCCAAGACCGCAACTGTGAGGAGAAACTGTGTCAACATGAGTGCACCAACCTGAACGGTACAGGCTTTATCTGCTCTTGTAAACCTGGATACAGAGTGAACCCAGACAGCACCTACTACTGCCTTGGTAAACACACACACACACACACACACACACACACACACACACACACACACACACACACACACACACACACACACACACACATAGAGCTGCATGACCTATTCAAAAACAGTTACCAGTCCAGTTTGAGGAGTTCCATAAACAAAACATGAACTTCTTGCTCATTTAGATATCGACGAGTGTGAGGTGTTCGGCACCTGTCCTCAGGTCTGTAAGAACACAAAGGGCAGCTATGACTGTGAGTGTGCGCCTGGCTACAGGAGAGTGGGCAACGGCGACATGTGCGAGGCTCAAGGTGAGAGACGTTTTTTATTTAGACAAGAGCAACATATTTAAGAACTTTTATCCTGTTCTGACATGATAGGGATTCTGTGCACACAAAGTAATAACTTGTTCCCACAAGATAATTATGTTCTACCCCAGAGAACATTATCTAGTGTTCAGTCTCACAACATCTAGTAAGGCTGTGATTTAATATATGGTTTATCAAAATAACTAAATACTGAACCTTTTAGCACAGTAGCACCATGGTCTCATGCAGGATGTTGAAGCCATTGTGCAAGAAACTGAAAACAAGCAAGCTAACTTTTAGGGGTGGGAGGAAAAATCAATTTACATAAGTATCACAAGTTTTTGTTTTACAATTTTTAAATTGATTATTATGTTCAAAAATCTTTTTTCTTTTTTTTTCAAATTTAAGAATAAATCTTAAAAACTGACCTACATGTGATGTGTTTTTTGGGGGGGAAATATGGTTCCTGGAATAGTCAGTAGACAATCATAATCATTCAACTTTTTCACTGGTGTTAAAAATGGAGACTAAAATGAAGAAAAACAACAATATCGTAGAATCGCAATTTAAATTGAAGCAGCATCCAAAAAATCGTAGAAGAATCGCATCAGGCCCTTGTGGCTCAGGCTAGCTTCTGCTGCTCCTGTTTTTCTCCTCAGCTGTTGAGTTTAACTTCACATAATGATCTGTGTTCCTTATTTTAGTGTGGACGACCAACTGCTCTTCCACAGTAGTTTTTTGAACTGAATGGATTTGTACAGGACGACCAAATAGCATTGTACTCTATTCCTTATCACTTTAGTTGTAGACTAAATGAAGGTCTGTGTCTCTCTCAGGAGCAACTCCCCTGCTGCTTCTACCTGAGAATATTCGTATTCGGAGGTTCAACCTGCAGACAGAGGCCTACCATGACTTCCTCAAAGAAGAGGAGCACATCATGGCTCTGGACTACGATTGGGACCACAACAACACCGGCTACAGTGAGATACACATAAATGAATCAAGCGTGAAGATCGCTTTTATCCATGAAATTCAAAAACAACAGGTCTTATGAAGGAGGACTTTGTTTGATGATGTTCTGGTGTTTGTCAGGTATGGTGTACTACACGGTGGCAGGTAAGGACTCCATACCAGGAGCAATTAAGAGAGCGTACATACCTTCAGTGGATGATGGCAGCAACAACATTGGAGCAGCTGTTGATCTCGACATCAAATACATCACCAGACCAGATGGTATTGCTGTTGACTGGGTGGGCAGGTGGGTTTGTGGACCTGAAGAGCTGTCCTGTTGAGACAAAAAAAAAAGAAACTAAATAAAACTTTCCATGTGTCAGATTGGACCCTGTGAATACTTTTGTAATTGTCTTGGTCTTTAGAAACCTTTACTGGGCGGACTCCAGGTTGAGGAGGTTAGAGGTGGCTATGCTGGACGGGCGCTACAGGAAGCATCTAGTCAAGACTGAGCTGGGACACCCAACTGCTGTGGCTGTCAACCCAAGACTGGGGTGAGACAGACACCTGATTATAAAGACAAAAAACACTTTGACTCAGATTTCTAATGCCCGCTTTGTTTCTTCAGGATGTTGTACTGGGCGGATCGAGGAGATGTAGCTAAGATTGAGTGTTCTTGGCTGGATGGTCAGGAGAGGAAAGTTCTGGTGGCTAATGGCCTGGGTTGGCCAACTGGTCTGTCAATCGACTTTACCAACGGGGACAGAATCTACTGGTCAGATTCCAAAGAGAGCCGCATAGAGTCAGTTCTGCCTTCAGGAGAGGACCGCAGAACTGCGGTCTTCATTGGTGAGAATTCAGAAATCATTTTTTGATTCAGTTTCTTCTACATGTTCAACTATCTGGTTTCCAGTATTCATTTGAACTGTAGTGGGTTTTTTCAGCTGTTCACATTTTGTTGCCTAGATGTTAGAAATCCATTAAGTGTGAGCGTGTTTGAGGACCATGTTTACTGGAGCACTGAGGAGAAAGGGGAGGTGTTTCGGCAGGACAAGTTTGGCCGCGGAGTCAAGACCAAGCTACTGACTGTTGGGCCTTGGCTCACCCAGATCTCTGTGTACCAGCAGCAGCGATACAACTCCATTGGCAGTAAGCTGCACACCCATACACATATTTAAAGCATGTACTTTGATGTACATATAAGGCTTTCCTGTTTGCAGCACATCCAACTCCTATCAAAATGTTTTAATTGCAGGTTTTGTTTGACTTTTTAAAATAAAAGTCTCAGTACAGCTTTTTCCCATTTCCACAGTGAAGAACCCATGTAAAGGATCCTGCAGCCACCTGTGTTTGCTCCGACCAGGAGGTTATACCTGCGCCTGCCCCGAGGGCACCAGCTTTGTCCCAGGAAGCAGCACTGAATGTGATGCAGGTAGAGAAACAGACTTTTCTATTACTCCAGTGTGAGACAAACATATATTGTATGGGACCTTGAATGCAGCAGTCTCTGTGTGATGACGTCCAACAAAACAAACATTAAATTTAAAAATGACATTATAAAAGTCCTCAGAGTTCATTCAGAAAAAAAAAGAATTAGCACAAACCTACGTACTCTTGAGAAATAAAAGACAACAAAGATTTCTTGTAAACCTGCAATTTGACCACATGTCCAACTAAGAGACCCTTTTTATTCTGTGTTTTTATTTTCAAAAATGACTAAAGGGTTTGATCCTCCGCCCACCATGCCCCCACCATGCCTGTGTCTGAATGGCGGCACCTGCTACTTTGATGACAACAAGGCTCTTTGCATGTAAGACAGAAATTTAAAATTGAATTCATACAGACATGTGTTTAACAACAAAAAAAGGCTTGAAAAGTTTAAATCTGCAACAAATTAAAAGGGTAAAGACTCTGCTTTCAGGCCTGCAGTAAAACCTCAAATAGTGACTCAAAGATAAATTCATTTTACAGTGAGAATAATGAGCATAATAGTTTGAAATTTTAACCTCTTATTTTTGTATTTTGTTCTCAGATGTCCCCCAGACTGGCAGGGAGATTATTGTCAGACAAGCACATCCAGCCTGGTTGCATCCTCAAGTAAGTGTTTATTTTACAGCCAAAAAGGACAACATCAGCACATTCTGAGCTGTTTTCATATGATCAGCTTTATGCTTATTTACAAGCTGCTTTTGCTTTGTCTGCTTGTCTCAGTTGGTATTGCACTTGGAGTGACAATATTGATCGTAGCTCTGCTGGGGGCTCTGGTCTATGCAGCCCAGAAAAAGCCCAACCTGCTGGGGACGCTACGCAGTAGCATGCCCAGTATGCCCTCTATGCCTTCAATGCCATCCATGCCAAACGTCCCGAGCTTCAGGTAAAGAGAGGGAGAGTGGTAGAGAGAGATAGAAAAAGAGAAAAAAAAGCTCTGTTTTTGACCAGCAAAACCTTCTACTGCAAAATATGACCATAGTTAAAGCAAACGGCATGTTTTCAATCACTTCTCTCATTTAAAGGGGTCTCCTATCTCAGTGTGTGTCAATATATGCTCTGAATCTTGTGTTTTTTGATTTCTTTTAGAAATGGCGTATCTCCAAATGCATCGAAAGTAAATGGAACTGAAACTGTGATGAATACTGAAGCGGTTAGTAACAAAACAGAGAGATTTTTTATTAATGTGTTGGTTTTATTTATACTGTTGCGTCTTTCAATGCTCCTTGCCCACTCTCTGTAGCCTTGCAGGTTTTTCAATACATGCACCAAAAAAGTTTGGGATATAAAACACAGAGTGCCAGTAGATGTGGGTTTATTCATACTCAAAATAATTGAGATCCTACTTTTCACAGCAGCAACAGCATTTTACTAAGAAATAACTATGTAAACATCCAAAGTAGTAAAAACACAAGAGAGGCAGCAGTATCGATCAAAACAATTGGTTATTCCAATAACCAAAGAGCTGTCTTAATGCTCCCTTGTCTGTTTTCAGGTCCCTTGTATGTCCGTGTCAATGGTGGACTCAGAGGGGAAGAGTTTTGAGAACCCGTCATATGATGCTGAGGGAAATCTGGCCGCTCAAGGTGCAGTGACAAACACCTCTGCTCATGATGGAGAAGCTAAGGTCAGTGCTCACAAACCTCTGCCTGTCTGCACAGTTCATTGATTCTGCTCCACCTGCTGTTGCTGAAAGGCTGGCTGCATATTTTTGACCTACTACATAGCAACAGTTTCAGACTGTACACCATAAGGTCCTATTTTTAGAAAAACAATAATAAACTTGTTTTTAGCTAAATTAGATTAGATTCAACTTCACACCTCAGGTCATTTTCTATAGTAGATGGGACGACTGAAGAGAGACAGGAAATATTGAAGCAGAGAGTGCAGGGTGGAGGCACCGATCCTGCCAGGTCATCATCACCTCCACCTTTAGTCTTTATTATCTTGCTGTTTTAAAAGACTGTATGTTCGCTGATCTCTTCATTAATAATTTATTAATTTTGATTATTTCCAGTCTAAATCATCAACAACATTTTTATTGATGGAGATATAATTTGTTCTAATTTATAATTCTAATTTGTTCTTCCTCAGGAGTGCATTGATAATCCTCTGTATGTGGAAGAAGTTCAGGTCGTAGACACGCCCACCAGAAGTGCCGACAAACCTGTTTCTGCCAGCAAGGTCGGCTTCTTTTTTTATATCAATATTTAATGTAACTCTAAAAGATTTGGTTACATCTAATAAGTATGTACAGTCTTTGCTCTTAAATGTTGACCGCACTGATGGAAATGTGGAGAATAAAAAGTGATACTGCATGATACATGTCGTTGACTGTAAAATTCCCCGAATGCAGCTCAACTTTCAGCTTTTTCTTTTTCTTTAGGCTTTTGTTGATGTTTTTTTCTACCTGGTGTTCATTTCAGGGAGCTTTTGAGAACCCGGCATACAGCTCAGACTCAGATGATGTTGAAGTCGCTGCTGCACAACCACCAGCTTCAGATACACAGGTAGCCATGGAGACTAACTTCAGAGTGCTAACAGTCAGTTTTTCTGTTTAACATTTTGAAAAATGACTAATTTTTTACTTTGGTTGTTTGAAATTTTTCTCTTTTTCAGCTGTTTGAACCCATTGTAGATGATGATTTGGCATCTTTCAAAAATCCAGCATACACAGTAAGTCCACAATGACATTGAGCTCACACTGAAACACAGCCAGCATTAGAAGTGCCTTACATACTCTTATCAGGTGTTCCAGGTTTAAAAGGAATGTCTGGGTTTCATTATCTGCATCTTTTGGACCTGAATTACATGACTTTTTAGCAGAATACAGAACTTGAATCATAATAATATGTCTACAGTAACATGGCACTTTTATTCTGCTTCTGCTCTGTGTGAAAATACTGCATATGAAGTTTATGTAAGTTATATAACTAGCCTTGTAAAACCATTTCTGATTTCTGGCATGTTATTTGAAAATTTTGTGATGTTCCAGCAGGACACTTCTGAGTCTGACATTTGATGGGACATCTTCACCCAAGAGTCAAGCCTAATCTTTTCATCTGAGGACCAACACCCAAAAAATGCATGCAAGGGGTACAGAAAAACTATTTGTAAAAGGAAAAATATTTTGCGCTACTTCAATGCTAAACTTTAATTTCAATGTGGGGTTTTGTGTAAGATTTTTTTTTGAAAGAATGATTTGATATAATTCCTATGAGACATAATCAATGACAGAGTAAGGGAAATTTAAACTTGTAAATCTTGTTTATGATGGGATTGTTTTTTTTTGTTGTTGTTTTTTTTTACATCATGTAAATTTTGATTATCAGAACTTTAATATTAAAACTGTTATCATCTTTATGTCTTGAATTCAATTTTTATGAGTTGTCAAGTATAATTTTAGATCATACAGCTTAAAGTTTTTCATAAACAAATCATTTAATTACCTGCTTGTACTATTCTTTGTGCAACAAATAACAGGAGGCACTATTGACAAGACTCATTCTGCTGTTTAGGGCCCTAATCCCACAGCTACTGTATCTGACCCACTGAGCTGAGAGGAGATGTTTTGTTGCCATCCATTCAATCACATAAAAAAGACCCAACTTGAGACTGTGATCACAGTTCAACAGCTCCTCTTCTCTGCTCTTCTCTTGCACACAAATGTCTGAAAGCATCAAGGTCTCCCTGAGCGAACAACAACCAGACCAACAATATGAGCACAGGGACTAAAAAGTGAAAAAGAAAAAACACAAAATGAGTGAGGAACAGTGTGAGCACAATTTAGACAAATAAAAGGGTAGTTTAGTTTTTATGTGAGCAGGTCAGTGGTGATTCATCCTTCATTGCTCTGGTTCCCGACAGAGCATCTCTGAGCGTCAGCCAAAACATGTACTGAACCCTCTCAGTGGGAGACACACAGACATGAAGAGAGGATGAGCAGCAATGCGTGGATTTAATAGGGGCGGGCCGAAAGAGGCGTGCAGCTTGCAGCATGTGTGCAAACTGTGTTGCGTTCAGGGTCAGTTGGAAATGGTGAATAAAAGGACTTCCAATGAGTGATCTAGTGATGCGTCCGAACTGCCCGCTCGGATACTACATGCTACTGCTACGTGCTACTGCTAGATCCTACTCCTACATACTAAATACGTTGGCCCAATTCGGACACACTAGACGAGCGGTGGGGAAAGAAAGAACCCGTGTGTGTGTGTGTGTGTGTGTGTGTGTGTGTGTGTGTGCCCTGTGTGTGTGTGTGTGTAGTACTGCAGCTGTGCAGTTTAATGATGTAAGTGTGTGTGTGTGATGTCGCCACTTGCTCATAAAATGAAGTTATTGTTGGCAAATACTTTAATTTAGTGACAAAAAGATACAACCGGACATTTTTTAGGACAGTGTGTGAAGTATCCACAGGTACACCTATTGAGGAACCCGCCTGCAAAAATGCATGCTGCTGCCCCCATTATCCGCACTGCTGGCCAGCACTTTTTTTTTAAATAACAGAGCAGCTATTTTCCTTTCAATCCAATTTTTCATGAATAACCTCAACTTTTAAGAGGACGAAGAAGAAGCCCGCGGTGCATTTTGGGTCAGTAGCATGCCCGTAGGATGCACCGAGACCAACCTACAATGTGGGCGTGTCTAGCATCTGAAGTAGTATCTGAAGTAGCATGCTACTCGCTCCGGTGGCCAATTCGGACATGCTAGATACTACTTCGACTACTACTTCGACTACTACTTGGCAATTCGGACGCAGCTCTAGTGATGAGATGATTTCCTATCGCATGGTTTGTTCCCTAATGTCAATACAAAGGTTAGGCCTTTACTTTGGTTATGTACTCAATGAGTGTTAATAACAAGACACAAATGTGGTATGTGGTAAAGAAAGAACGTGTGTGTGTGTGTGTGTGTGTGTGTGTGTGTGTGTGTGTGTGTGTGTGTGTGTGTGTGTGTGTGTGTGTGTGTGTGTGTGTGTGTGTGTGTGTGTGTGTGTGTGTGGTGGTGGTGTGCGTGTGTGTGTGTGTGTGTGTGTGTGGGGGGGGGGGGTAAAATAAGTCTATTGTTGTAATCACTACTTTAATTTAGTGGGGGAAAAAAATAAAAACACGTTCTTATCAGTGAAAATGACCGTATCCACAGGTACACCTATTGAGGAACCACCGTACAAAAATGACATCTCCCCCCATTATCCAGCACATAACACTTTTTTTCTTCATTCACAATCAGCTATTTTCCTTTCAATCCAATTTTTCATGAATAACCTCAACTTTAATTGATTCAATGACGAGATTTTTTAAAGTTGGAGATTACGGGGAGCACCCGAACGCAGCACAAAGAAAGAGAGAGAGCGAGAGAGAGAGAGAGAGAGAGAGAGAGAGAGAGAGAGAGAGAGAGAGAGAGAGAGAGAGAGAGAGAGCGAGCGAGAGCGAGCAACCTGACTGACTGACTGTCTGACTGACAAGGGGGGAAGGGGAGGGCTCGTTGAGCGATAAACTAAACGGAGCAGCACATCATCAAAAGCCTAACGTGTGCACCACCAGCTGAGGCCGAAGGGACACACAAAGAGGGGGAGAGAGGAAGAAGAGGTAACACGCGAGAAGGGGAGGAAGGGTCGTGGTAAAAACAAGAGCGGTGTTTTCGGGGTTCAGAGAGGGATAAACAACGGGAGGAAACACGCACGCGGACGCTGAGGGGAGCCCCAACAAGGTGAGGATGCACCTTTTCTGCACGTGCACTGGCTCAACTCTGGTTAGCATGTTACCCATTTACGCCTCTTTATGACAGAGGAAAGATATCTTCAGGGACACTGTCAGGTGGTTTTAAATGAGAAAATTGCTAACCGTAGAAACAGTGAACCTTAGTCTGAAAGCGGTGCCAATGAAAGACAATTTGCATTTTGATGCTGTCTTTAAATGGAGGCTTGATACGTAAATTAGGTGTGTGTCACTTAGGCTTTAATTTACTTCCAACTCGTGCAGGAAATTAAAGGATGAGGTCACACACCTTCATACACCAGATAAGCTCATATTAGAAGAATCAAAATTACTATTTTTAATAGACACGTTGAAAGGGAAGAGCTTTTGAAAAAGACATTGTTGACAGCTATAACCTAATGAGTCTCAGCTGCAGGGCAGGACAGGGGGGGGTTCTGTTTTGCTTCTCTATAGGTAGGAGAAGCAGGAGAGCTACAGAGCAGGTCACTGCTGATGTTTAGATGAGGGTTCAGTAAAGAAGACCTCAAGAAAACTGTGAAAAACGGCTTTAAACCCATTGTTGTTTGAAATGTTGCACACAAATGTCTGGACTCCAGTCTCCCAACACTATAAGTGTTTCTTTTTCTTGCAGCTGTGTCTCCGAGTGGGCGTGTTGAAGGTGTTCAGAAGTGATGTGCTTCTTATAAGCCTCTTAAAAGCTGTCTGGCTGCATGCTGACCTCATCTGCACTACAAATTTTTCATAAAATTTTATTTCCTGCTTTTGTCCTGGGAAAATTAAGAATTCAACTTGATCTTAAAGTAGCTGCAAAGCAGTGAAGCGGAACTATTATATTTAGATTTTGTTTTGATGGGGTCTCCTATTTAAGAGCAGCTTTACAGAAAATACTTAGTCCTGTCTATTATTTGAGGTCACTGTACTTTATCTCCCCACAAAGAAGCTTTTTCATGTCTTTTTCAATGCAGAGAAACTTGGGAATACCCATAAATTACTTGTTTTAGCAACTCAAATAAGATTGTTATTGTTTTTCTCCTGATCAAATACCTTTCAAACTTAATTTCTATGAGTTCTGGATTTTTGGGTATAGCAGCCATTGCTCCTAAAGTCATCTGATTGTATTTTGTTCAATTTTTTTTTTTGCATTTCATAGACTAAAGGACCATATGATGGATGCTGACCACTAATGCCTCAGCTTTTTTCATTGGTAGAGAATAGAGATGATACAATTATTAAAATGAGGATCACAGTATAAAGCCTTCTGTTGAGTTGTAATAGATTACCTTAATACCCTTGCAAAATGTACAGCATGGACATTTTTTTCAAACAAATATTGGCATGTAATCTGTAATACCCAAACATGTCAGAGTACCCATGTGGGGGTGTCATAGGTGCTGGATGGAGTATACACACTCTCTCACACACACACACATTCACACAGAGGCACATTCACAGAGTGGTGGGCAGATGGCGTCAGCAGTGTGCTGCGACCTCGCCCCTCTCCATCTCCCTCTCGGGGCCCGTCCAACAGCAAATGAGTCTGGCAAACAGGTGGTGTTTATGTGCGTTTGTGTGTGTCTGTGTGAGTACAGAGGACAGTAACATGAGGGTAAGATTTGAGAACACAATGTCAGTCTAATGATGTCCTACACTGACTCTACAACAGATTGTTTTATGAATGAAACGGAAAATAGTCGAGTTTCATGTGTACTGATAATGATATACAATCCAATATTACAGTTTTTAGTATTGGTGTTAGTCTTTGATACAATTTAAACTGCAAATTAGAATTAAAACTTCATTAACTTTTTTTCCTGTCTAATTGAAATATTTTCTTTTTATCACACCAGGGAACTTGGCATAAGTACAAGTACAAAAAGATGGACAAGTCATCCATTAACCGCCTTCAGCTCATTCAAAACACTGCTGCTTGACTCCTCCTAGTGACCCTTCACTGGCTCCCAGTCCGCTTCCACATTGATTTAAAATTCTTTTAATCGTTCTCAATGGTCTTGCCCCTCCTTATCTGTCCGAGCTCCTGTATCACCACTCCCCTGCCAGAATCATAAGGTCCTCTGGCCAGCTACTGTTGAGTGCACTGAAAACCAGACTCAAGTCTAGAGGTGACAGGGCCTTTTCAGCGGTTGCCCCTAGACTGTGGAACAGTTTACCTGGCCATATTAGAGCCTCTCAGACCTTAGGGTCTTTTAAATCATCTTTAAAGACCCAACTTTCTCCCTTGCTTTTAATAAATAAGTACACAGGAATCAGAGGCACTGTAGCTTTTATTCTTTTACTGTCTGTATTTTATTCTACTGTTTTTAATTTTATTTTTTATGTTATCTATCTATTTATTTACTTCTTTTATCTATCCCACGTACAGCACTTTGTTTGACTGCTGTTTTTTAAGGTGCTTTAGAAAAAAAAACATTGACTTGACTGACAAAAAGATGGACACCATGACAGCTTCTTAAAAGTGGAGCTAAACATTTAGAGCCCCCTCGCAACTAACCGCTTTGCAGGCCACCTCCTTCATGTTAACCAATTGGATCGTTCTTATAAGGTGGTTTATGCTGAAGTGTTTATTATTTAAAAATTGTCTCTTTTAATGCCAGAAAAATGTGTGTTACATCATGTTTGACAGCTCTGTTATGGAACACAGATCCTGCAGTGCTCTGTGCAAAGGATTAGCAGAGATGAGAAGACATGCCCAGAAGAGACACAACTAACACTAGTACAAGAGTCATTGAACTTCCCAAAACCTGAAGGGTCTACTTCAGACTAACTCAAGAAATTGTCATACATAAAACTGTAATGGCCTGAGAAATCGTTGCTGTTTTTAAATTGGTTAAATGTGTATCATGGGTAACCACAGCTCCTCTAGCTTATCCTTACTGCACAGACTTTAGTTCCAAAAAATAGAGAATTTTACCATCAGTCATTAGAATTGGCGCTTCATGGCATGGCCAAAATGTGGTCACGATCCTCCACAGAGCAGCAAGAAAAGAGCCTTGAGATTTATAAAACCTTATTCAGCATTATGAGATACATTACAGCACTAGAGAGCTTTCAGGAGGTGTAGCAGTAAATAAGATCAAGAGATTAGCAGGCACTCACAGTGTTACATCTACTAGACCAGCTCCCAGAACCTTCATGTCTTTGAAAGTAGTAAAAATGATTAAAAGGTAGATCAACAGTTTTATTCCATTTAAATAACATTAAGGCCTAAATGTTGACTTGTAAAATTAAAGCAGACTGATCAGTATTCAGGCTCACACTGTGAGTAGAAATAAGAGCCAAATGTTTGAAGCTACTTTCTGCCAGCAGTGTCATGACTCAAGAACAAGATTTTTTTTCGTAGGGAGTTAGTTTTTTAGTCTATGAATTAATCAAATGTATGAAAATTATGGAGCAAACTTGAAGCCCAGGTTGTTATTTATCTTGTTTTTGTCTGCACTCTGTAGCACGATGATCTAAATGCATACATCAGCGTGATGACTGTGGTAGTGCTGAGGTTCATTTGTTTATCAGGGAAATAATTCACAATTTTAACCAACTTGGTTTTAAAATAGGTGAACAAAACCTTGAACATAGGTGTTTTGTTTTAGTACCAGATTCACTCTAAATGCATTAAATTATTTTTATGCTTAATTCATTTACATTATGCCAGTTTATGCTCCACATGCTCAGAATATATGGGAGCTAATATTGTGTTCACAAAGGACTAGTTGACTAATCCACTAAACACTGTTACCCTTACAAGTTGGCACCAGACTTACTCATCTGGTTAAACAAGTAAATGATGTTTTACTGATTATTGTAGCTCATATATCAGGGGTGTAGGTCTGATTGATGATGACTGCCACAGTGGTATAATGATCAACTACCTGGATGTAACAAGCACAGATGGCAGATGTGAGTTCATGGTTTGGTCCAGTATGGCAGTAAATTGTTTCTGAAAATGGAGCTAAAGTTGTATGTCGACTGAATTAAATCAACTCCGCTAGAACGATGCATAACTAGGGGAGACATGTTTACTTTAGGGAGAACTGAAGGCTAATGGTGTCTGCCCTGCTAATGTGAGCTACATAACTGAGTCTGTTTGCTTATAGATTCAGTGATGTTGAAATATATTGTGCACAATTTTGACTGTTTTGATGTGTTTTCTTCCCTTTGGTCTCGTCTACTGTTCAGATTTAAAATTCCAGTTTGATAAAGTTAGAAGTAAGCTGCTTTAAAGCACCTTTAGTTTTCAACAGTGATGCCCATTCATACATGTTGAATGACTTTTGACTGGTTAAAACCTTCAAAGGGATTCACTGTTCAATGAATTGAGATGGAGAGGCTGTAAATCCTCACTAGTATGACTAAAGAAGCATAATACTGCACAAGTTAGCTAATTTTCTGTCTTTTTGCTTGTTACTTCTTGCTAAAAATGTGCTGTTTGTATCAATCTAAATTGAAAACGATAACAAAATGCTTTTCAGCACAGCCTGCACCACATCCTAGCTGCTATTCAGTTTCCAATCTACCAGTCCTTTCTAATCTGCTTCATTGTATTCATTGAAATCCTCGGTGATGCACACAGCCGCGAGCAGTGCTGTCTTAAATCAAGGAAGCAGGATAATACCGCCATATGGCCGGTGGGAACCTTAAGTATTTACACGATAGACTCAGTGAGGGAGTGAGAGGGGAGAAAAAACAGAAAGATGCCAGCTTTAAGCTCTTCTCAGCCTCTTGTAATTAGAGTGAGAGAGAGAGAGAGGGAGGAAGAACCGGAGAGAAAAAAGGTCAGGAACTTAGGCCAAGTGTGCAGGGAGGAGGGCTGAATGAAAGCAGGGAACCACAGAGGAGGAGGGGGGAGAGGATTTTCCCCTGCAAAACTGTAAGCTTTGTTGTCAGAAACTAGTTTTGTCAATGGAAAGGATTGAGCGACGGCCAGCAGAAAAAGAAAAACAACCTGGAGGATGAGGAAGTACCCTCTAGGTTATAAAATTGCTAGAGGACACATTTTCAGTCAACAAGAAATACAGAAGCAGTGAAGCTGAAGCATACGTGATGATGTTTTTTCAGGCTGGCATGTGTCCTTCATGTTATGCAAGCTTTGGCTGGTTATGGCATTTCAAAACAAAGAGCCCCAAGAACAATGCTCTTTCAGCAGTCTGGAGATTAATTTGAAGGAATTTACTTTATCGCCTGAACTTGAGAGGAACTACATGTATCTGCTTTCTTAGCTTTCCATCTGCTTTGAAGAATTGCATTCACATCATTTAATTTGCAGCTTTGTCCACAACCTCCATAGACAAGGGAGTCCTTGATTATCTTCACTGCATGTTAAAGTCTGACAAAGAAATCTCATCCTGCTGCACAGTTTATTATAAATATTTTATGTGTGAAATGTAAAAACAGGGCAGTTTCTTCTGCTCCTCAGCTGACACTTACCTACATATCAGTTTCAAGCATCAAAAACTGTAATAAAAATGTCATCAAACATGTCACTGATGGTCTTGTTTGCTATTTTGCTATTTAGTCTATTTCGTAAAGGTCACTCCTTACAGCAGCTTCAACTAAATTAAACTTCATTTTTTTTCTGTGTGGTTAATTTATCTGAAGTGCTAGACCTTTCAGATCATTAGTTTCTGGACTGATAGCTTTTTTTTTTTTTTGTCAGTGCTGTTTTGTCAGTGGGGGAATGGAGGGGCAGACATGTTACTGGTGCTGAGTCTGAGGGTGGATTATTGATGCTTGATTTAAAGTCAGTGATGTGGAGAAGTCCTGGGCCGACCATGCTCAGGAGTGATCAGCATGGATATCACGGTATTCTTGTCATTCTGGCGTTTCATGAATGAGTGCATTTACTTAAGATTATAATAATAATAATGACACATTTTATATATGAGCACCTTTTTTCATCACTCAAGGTCACTTTACAGATTAAAACAGTACAGTAAAACAAGATAAAATGTTTTTTTTATTTTTATTTCAACACTGAACAAAGACCTGACAGAGGATTTAGAGTCTGATGGTTTCTGGTTTCTCACAAAGTGGTCATCCAAGTGCTGCTGATGTTGCAGCAGCAATGATTAAGAAACAGATTTTCTAACCTGTAATAGCCCCTTTTTAAAGAACTTAAAAAAAATTGTCTCTCCTCAGTATAACTGAAAGTATAACTGAATGCATTACATTTAAACATGGCTCCAACCGGGGCTTTATGAGCTCTTGTCAGCAGCTAAATGAAGGTCTGCCACTGATGTGGCTGTTTGTTATAATTGCCTCTTTGGCGTGATGCCATCTTACTGTCAATCATTTTTTCTTTAAACCTGAAATCTTCCTGGCAGCTGATGTTATTTTTGCAAGCCCACCAGAGATAAATGTGACCTTCAAGTGACAGAACATGACAGAGAATCAACATGAGACAATTAAAAAGTGACTGTTTTAATAAAACTGTGAGCGATTTCACTGAGAGTGACAGAGAGGCAATGAAGTGATGTTTGTTGTTCTACTGTGGCTCTGACTGGCTTTGTCAATCTAATCAACATTTGCAAAGCGAGAACAATGAGTCTTGAGGTTTTATCAGTTTGTTATATTGCTATCAAGCTGAGCAGGTGCTACTGGCCTTTGTTTGAAGCCCTTATCTGCAGTAATTGTAAGTGTCCAACAATGTGTTAGAAAACGCAGCAGGATTGTTTGGTCACTTCATTTTCAGTGCCTGCTTTTTTTGAAAAATCCTTTTTGTTTTCAGTGTGATTTTTCAGACATCTGCATATGTGAACAAAACAAATGTGTCTCTAAGTGTGGACATGACTTTAATGTTGTTGTCATCATGTCCCTCTAAATCAGCAGCTCTTGAACACATGAATGCATTTGAGTAAAAGAGGTGGTTAGAGGCAGCTGCAGTGAATTTGAGATAACTGTAGATAAAGAAACATATGATGATGACAAAAATATATTCTGTATATTTTACATTTTGAGGACAGTCAGACAAACCATTTTTTGTTAGGCTAAGCAGGAAATGTCTTTTTTAATCAAAATTCTGTCTTTTTGAATGAGAAAAAATATCACCAAAAAAGAATAAGTGCTCTGAAAATACAGGCTTTGGTAACTTTTTTTTTAATTAGCACTAGTATGAGGTTAGTTATGGTTGCACTTGAGGTAGATTTCTCTTAATCAGATTCTGGTCCATGCATGTAAATTAGGTTTACACTAGTTAAAGATTAGACAAACTTAATTGATCCCAAATTGTGTCTCAAAATGATGGGAGAACTGCCCTCATGAATGTTCGAAGAGGACTGTTGATTAAGGATATTGATCATTAAAGACCAGATTCATGAGTCATTGTAAATTAAGGATAATATTTAACAGGATCTTTCTATTTCTAACTCTATTCAATTTTGCACCGCTGATCAAGTCTGTCAGTTCTTATATCTGTTTTTCAATAGATGCTTATCCTTGTTTAAATATATAAGCATGTATACATACTGTAGCTTTAATTAGCTAACAACACTATTTGTTAGGATTTCTCCTTTTGGATCAATCATTTTAATCTCAAATATTGGAAGATTTTATCAATAGAGAAACATTCATTTATGTTAAACTACTAATTATTAGAAATCAAAGCTCATTCCTTGTCTTCAAAACAAAGACCTCATCTGACAGTGTTTTCTTTTCTTTTTTATATCCAGCCGTGTCTGTGATCTATCACCTCAGCCACGCTAGAAGAACAGACGTACTCCAGTGGAGGGAATTTAGCTGCTGTGTTTCCCCTCCTTCCCTGTCCTCCCCCCTCTCTGCTCCCTCCTACCTCTGTGAATGATTGAAGCCATGCCCATCGTGTCAGCAAGCACAGGTACGGCCAAACATAAGTGATGGCCTCATGTTCACCCCCTCTCTGGGGCTTATTTAATGGTAGAAAAGCAAAGGTTGCACATCAGACTGTGGACAGAAGCTGAGATCAATCAAGCCTCATGTGGGCGCTGCTGCACACTGACATCAGATGATTTAGATAATGACTTTGAGTTTGTCTTGACTCTCAGTTACTGAGAATTTAATTCCCAATCTGTATCTTTTGTACCTAACATGATGTCCCTACATATTATTAAATGATTTTTTTATATAACTGAAATGGTGACACAGTTAAACCAGGCCAAAGCTCCTATTCCCCCTAGTGGCTTTGAATATTGATTCACTTATTTACAGCATTGTTCATGCAAAAGAAAAAAAGAGGATTTTTACTGAATACTCATTACATAACTGCTGTTTTCTGATGATTTGATGGTTCATAGGGCTGCATGAGACTCTGGCCCTGCTCACCTCTCAGCTACACCCTAATGCAAACCATAAAGAGGACCTGGTCTTCCTTAAAGATGTGTTCAGTGAGAAAAGCCTTGGTTACCTTATGAAGGTACAGAAACCAACAATTCATGCAGAAATCTTTACTTTTATTGGAAAAAACTATTATGTCCAAAATTAAGTCGCCTTTACTTTGTGATTGTGAATCTTGGTCTTTCTATTTGATGTGAAATGAAATCCAGATCCATGACAAACTAAGGCAGTATGAGAAACACAGCCCAACTCCAGTCCTACACAGCGCCTCCTGTCTGGCAGAGGATGTAGGTGCAATCTCTCCTCATTGGCTAATTTAGAACAATTAAATGTTATCAAGTAGTGTTTGAGTTTCTTATTCAAACCTTCAGCTGGCAGAAGAGCTTCAGAACGGGCCACTGGAGGATGATGAAAGAGAGCTACTTCTCCTGCTGAGCACACCTCACCTCAAGGTACGCACCACTGACTGAATATAAAGATGAATGTGAAAGTTGTCCGTCTGTCTGTTCATTTTGTGGCACAACCACAGATATATTTTGTGTCTCCTCTCTTTCCTCATCCTCTTTCTTCCTAGTGTTTGATCTCTTTAATGTTGCACCGTGTCAGTGCTTCTCCCCATGAGCTGCTCCAATTTTCCTCTAACTTGATCATCTATTACATAACACAGTCGTCAGAGCTGTCTGTACCACTTCCCCCCATCCCCCAGACGCAGACGAGGCTGCCTAATTACTCTTATCAAGTGATTACGTTTAATTTATTGGCTGTCTGGGGAGCAGGAAGAGATGATGGCTGTGAAACTGGAACACTCGTTTTCTAAGCAGCAAGGAGAAGGAGGCTCCTTTCTCTCTTATCTGCCTGTTTTATATCATGATTTTAAAGTTTTCTTTAAGTCTTTCCTTTGATGTCTTTCCTCGTTGCTGTTAGGCTCTTAATTTCACCTATCTGTGCATTTGTCTGTGCATCTCTCTTGGAGGCGGTGCTATCAGCCCACGATACAGTGGCTCAAAAGAACTTTGACCCAGTGCTGCCACCGTTGCCGGATGATCTGGATGATGATGTGGAGGAAGAGTCAGTCAAGATTGTGCGCCTTGTCAAGAATAAGGAGCCCCTGGTGGGTTTTCCCCTCACACACCTGGGGGATTTAACAAAAAAACAACTGCGTTCCCTTAAAAACTATTCTCCTGCTTTCAAGGGATGTTTTAAAAGTCATTCACTTTAATGAGAAAGTGTTAAGGCTCCAGAGAGAGTCCTTGGGTGCAGATGTGCGTCTCTGTTTGATGCTTTAAAATATTGATTCTCAAAGAATAACTTGTGGCACTGGACAGTAATTAGATTTGGTGTTGTCAGAAAAGCCTCTAAAATAATAACAGTTTAAAAGCATCACTCAAACATTACACAAACTTAGATTGCATGAGTCTGTCAGAATTTTTTGTCAGTATAAAACTAAACACAGAGGCTTTTTTTAAATGTTTTTTTTTCCTTCAGGGAGCAACTATACGCCGGGATGAGGTAACCGGAGCTGTGATTGTGGCCAGAATCATGAGGGGAGGAGCAGCTGACCGCAGTGGTGAGACAAAACATACTAGCACACGATATACTGCCTCATAATTTTTCTGTTGTTTATAATGATAGTCTGTCAGTCTGACAGAAATAGTTCTCTGCTCATCCCCTGACCTCTCTTCCTGGACAGGACTTTCTTGTCTCTCCTGGTATACCGACAGAGAAGTGAGGGGATTACGTTGTGTAACCCCGTGAACTGCAGGATCAAATCCTTGAGATTAGTGCCACGAGATTGCATATTTTGAGATTACAAACAAGGGATGCTCCTGGCCGTTGCCATAGAGATGTTGTAGACCTCAGTGGAAAATGTTCTCTTATTTTGTCCATATCTGACCATATCAAACTCTTTAAATGCTCTCGCCCATGCTGGGATTTTCCTGTGCTCTTAGCTTTTGGTAATTCCAGTAAAATTTGTGTGTTTGTGCTCACAGGTCTGGTACATGTTGGAGACGAGCTTCGAGAGGTCAATGGAAACCTGATAACACACAAAAAGCCAGAGGAAATAAGTCAGATTCTGGTGAATAAAAAAAGAGCTTTTACACAAAACATCAAAGTAGTTCAAGTATCGCATTATTTCTCTTGATGATTACTGGGGTTACAGGACATGACTGTGCTTTTGTGATGATTTTACCAGTCTCAGTCCCAGGGCTCCATCACACTGAAAATTATTCCAGCTGTTGCAGAAGAAGACAGGCTGAAGGAGAGTAGGGTGAGCACATCTAAACTACTTTTAAATTAGTGTACCTTAAGAGTGTCCAAAAACTTTAAAATAATGTGTCTGTTTTATTAATGACTTTCAAACTTTTGCCTGATGTTGGTCTTCATGATGATGTGCACCAATTCTTAAAGTATGACATTTTATTAGGAAATTATCATATCTGCTGCCTTGCTGAGTTAGATAAGAGGACTGATATCACTATTGTTGGTTTAATAAAAGGCTGCAGCTAAAGGTCATTTAGCTTTTGCTTCTACGACAACTGTGGTAAAAGCTACTCTGGCTAAAAATAACATGGGCTATGTTCTTATACCCCTTACTTATTAGGTTAAGCTGAAAAGCAACAATCTAGTGTTAAGATGACCTAATATTGTTTAGATATTGGGATATGGTTGTGCATTTTCAGATGAATCTCCAAGGAGGCCCACACAATTTTGCTCTCCATTGTTATCATGAAGTACCAAGAGAATTAGTTTATCTACTCAGAAACTTGAGCTACCTGAGTTTGAAATCCAAGATTGTTAAAAATAGCTGCACTTTTAATGGCTCCTGTTATCAACACAGTCTTGTTTTGTGTTATAAAATGGCAGTGATACTAATCTTATTGTGTAACTCCAATCTGGCAATCCTTAACTAAAGGTGAGTGAGTATTTCTTCTCTCTTAAGGTGTACCTGCGAGCTTTGTTTGACTACATGCCCTACGAGGACAAGGCCACACCTTGCCAAGAGGCAGGACTTCCTTTTAAGAGAGGGGACATCCTTCAGGTGGTTAGCCAGGAGGATGCTACCTGGTGGCAGGCCAAGAGAGTGGGCGACTGTAACCTGCGTGCGGCTCTTATCCCTTCTACACAATTCCAGGAGAGGTAGTCTTAATCGAGTCTGCTGCTGAAAATGTCCCTTTGTTTGAGAGATCCAGAAATATCTTTTAAGTATTACAGTAATCTTTCCTTTTTCCTCTACAGGCGGCTGAGATACAGAATGAAAATGGCTTCTTTACCTCTTCCTGTCTCCCCCAAAGCCGCTACATGTAAGCCTATTTCACCCCAGGTCCCTTATAACCAACAGCATGACTATAAATGTACAAGACACTTAGATCTGTTGCTTGTTTTGGCTAAATCCAATCTAGGCAAGAAGACGCAGATAGAGAGATTATGAGGAAAGAACGGGTGATCTGAGGTTAATCCCTGAAAAGGAAACGCAATCCATCATTTCATTTTCTAATCCAATTTAAAAGTAAATAAAACTAATGGTTTGTAAAACAAAGATAGAGGTCAGGGCAGTTATATCGTAGCTACTCCATCTCCAAACCGAACTCTTACACAGTCAAGAGGCCTGTAAAAAATAGATGCTTCAGTTTCTTTTCAGTGTGTGGATAATATGTTGCTCATTTCATTTTGTTTTCGATTTGTAGGCAAAAAAGATTTGAAGACCTCAAACTGGGCCTTGGGAAAGTGGGCTTTAAAACTGTCTGACAATTTATAGACTCAAATTTTATCAAAAAAACAAACAGCCGATTAAATGAATCTGAACGATGACTGTAATTATAGATTCAATGGCATGTTTGTAAATATCTTGCAGAAAAAGCTCAAATTTGTCCTCCATAGAAAAAAAAAATAGGTGTAAAAACTTGTGCAAAAGTACATAGTGGATGTATAGAGGAAGTTCATAAAGCACAGCTGTTCATTCGGTGCAACATTTGCAGTCGAGAGTTTTCAGTTTAAAGTGATATTTTAAAATATGTTCTCCACAACTATATTCATTATTATATTTATAAACAGGACAGCAGTTTCGCAGAAGTATTAACAACTCAATTACACTGATACTTTGTGTTATTCTTTGCATTGCTGACCTCAGATGATTGTGCAGAGAGAGGTACGTATAAAATCCCTCATGTTAGAAAAAACCCTTCCTGCTTCGTTTACGTATCCGAATTTCTTAATGAAATTCGATCAAAGTCCCTCAGTGATGCTCTCTTCCCCTGGACAGTTCACCCATTATTTTCCTTTGTAGTTGTCTTGACTTGACTGAATCTTCAGTAGTTTGTTGCCTCAACCTGCAGAGTTTTGACATAAAGGTAGCCCTGACATCTTCCTCTCCTCGTCTTACCCCTTCTTCTCTTCCTGCACGTTTTACCCTACAGAAGACTGTGACAGTGAGGGTGGCCTGAATGGAAAGGACATAGGTGAGGAGGCACAATCAATAACTTACATTCATCACTGCAACATCACATTTCTGCCCAGACTGTGTGCTAGACCATCTTTTGATTTTAAAATTGTTCTCTGAGCGTTAAAGTGGATGTCCTGCTTTGGTTGGGATTGGCTGGTTGGGTTAGGTGTCAGCTCAGGAATGTTTATTTCTGTATAGAAACTTGTTTTAAAGTACAGGGAACTCATTTACTAAGAAGATTTATTTGTTCATCAGGCTTCATGGCTGCTGCTTCATGTTTGTCACTTCTGCTTTGACCGGAACCTTGAATTCACATCATATTGAATCAAAAGGTGTTTCCTTTTGATGATAAAGTATGTGTAATTGGTTTAATATACAAAACGTTTAAACACTGGCGATTAGTCATTGGAAGGGAAAGTTCAATTCCAGCCGGGGAGAGCTGGTTGTGTCAAGTGAACAGAGATATTTGTAGATATTCATGGTGCCCAGAGGACAAATCTGAATGACCTGGATAATTCCCAAACTTTTTCTCAAGCGTGAAATGACAAAAAAAAATGTCTTATTTACAGAATTATCTTAAATTTACTTCATTTACTCCTAAGTATTTTCTTTCAGCGAGGATTCCCTGTTGATACAATTTTGGTTATTGTTTTGGCTTCTCCTCGGAATTAAACTATGGAATAGCTTTTTAATGAAGCCTCATCAACAGGGAATTAAAGTTTCTGCAAAGTAAACAATTATGAGGATCGTTAAATGAAATGGCTTGATGAATGCCAGAAATAGCTGCTCAGAGAGTCTCTGGTTTCTATATCTGCTAAACTGTTTGTATTTTAAGCGGCTGGTCATTTTCGCTGGTGTGTTTTTAGCCCTTGTTCTATCGAAAAAGGCTCTAAAGGCTCTTTGTGCAATGAGCTACAGCGACTGAGCTTCTCACAGCGTCTTTGTGGCACCTCATGACAGCTCACTTACCTTAATGTGCTTTATGTGACCCGCTAAAGGTGCTTTGTCTGTGTTTTGTAAAGCTGTAAACACAGCATGCATGGCTGCTAAGCTTTGATCCTGTCTGTCAGATAAAAGATATAAACTGGTTGAATAACTGGTCTAATACGAGCTGTAGTCTCTCCCAAGAGTAAGGCAGCCCCTGTCTTCTGTGGCCAAGCTTTCTCATGGGATTTTTACTCAGGTACTCTTATTGATTTTTACTGGTGTTGTGCTGTGCTGTGTGGGTTTGATTTTATTCAGGGAGAGTGAGAAATACCCTATGAATTAGACTTTGAGAGGGTTTTACTGTGATAGATCTCTAAAATGTGTATTTTTTTTATTCACAGCTGGCCTGCGCAGAAGTTTTCGAGTCAAGAAAGATCGCCAGGGTTCACCCGGGGATCCCCACACTCCAGATGCCAATCAAAGCGAGTTCCTGATTTATGAAGAAGTAACACAATACTTGTCCCGGCCTGGAGAAAGGCCACGTCTTATAGTACTAATAGGTAGGTGGACTGTGGAGTTTGGTAACATTGAAGGGACTTGGATCTCTTTGGAAACTTATCCCTTGGATAAGTTAACTAATGAATTTCCCTTCGGGGATCAATAAAGTTCTTCTTCTTCTTCTTGTATGAGTGTGAGTAAAGGCTCTAGTGTGGTTTAAGTACAATCAGGTGTGTCTCCTTTCAGGTATTTTTCATGCTTTTTTTTTCTTGTCCTCTGTTTGGTTGTTTTTCTGTATGGATTTGTTCTCAGGTTCTCTTGGAGCTCGACTCACAGAGCTCAAACAGAAGGTCATAGCTGAAAATCCTCGCCGTTACGGTTTGGCGGTGCCTCGTAAGTTTCTTTTTTTATTGTGGGTTGGTTTTCTGAGTTGAAGACACTATGAGTCACATTGCTGTATTTTACTTGTAAAGCCTTTAATCAAGCAAATAAACTAAATAAACTACTGTCGTTTTCGACCTTCTGACATTTTTATGCAGCGCTGCATCAAAGTCAATGAAAGGTGTATCCTCACTCCCTGATTTAAAGTTGCAGAGATTTATACTGGATTTTAACTCACTCTTGCATCATGCATAGATTTTTATCACCAAACAAGCCATAATCCAGTCGCACATAAAGGAAATTTTTAGTCAAAGTTTGAGCTCCACGTTTTACTAAGGAGGATGCATACTGTCCTTAAATACATCAGACCAAAATAGTCATGACTCATGCATTAATCAAGTATGTGTTTTGTAACCGGATTATACAAAGAGCCTCACAAAACAAACAAACAAAACCCTCAATAATGGTCTTTTTTTGCTTCCTGTGTTTCAAAACCTGGCCTGCAGACACCACTCGAGCAAGGAAGAGTCATGAAAGAGAGGGAGTGGAGTATCACTTCATCTCTAAAGCTGCTTTTGAGGCTGACATCCAGAGCGGCAAGTAAGTGTGGGAACTGAAAACATGATGCAAAGATGTGATAGATAAGTGAAAAAGGTTCACTTTAAAAGAGGAAGCTGCAGCTTTCCCTAAATCTGTTGTGACTGCGATACCAGTCATTGCGCATCTGCTTTCATCCATTTATATGAAAAATTTATGATGGTGCTGAATTTCTGCAGATTTATTGAATACGGCGAGTACAAAGACAATCTGTATGGCACCCGTTTGGAGTCCATTCACAGAGTTTTGGATCAACACAAGGTCTGTCTGGTGGACGTGCAACCAGAGGTTTGTATCTATATTAGCTGATTTTATTGGCTTTTATTACTCTGTATTTTTCCTCACTTTTGTTTCTTTTTGTAGGTTAGCTGTTGTTGGTGTAGTTCAGGTCTAAGAGCTAAATAGTGTGCTTTTACTTCAGATTGATATCCTCTACTTGTTTCCAGCTGCATAATGTAACTTTTTCCTCCCACACTCAGGCACTGATGGCCCTGCGTACCACTGAGTTCAAACCGTATGTCATCTTTGTGAGACTTCGAATCCTTGACAGTAAAAGGAAACTGCTTGGCTCCTCTTCTTCACTTAGCTCAGGGATCACAGTGAGTAGTACAAAAAGTCGGCATGAAACATTATTGTCTAATTACAGCTCTTGCACTAATTACATTGATTTATACAACAATTAGCTCTGACCAAGTAATCTTATTGGACAAGGCGATCTATGAGCTACAGTATCAGCTGTTTGTGTAGTTGTAGCCTTATGATGTCAATAGTCAGCTGTATAGCTCTTTTCGAACAGCAGAGCAAAAGCAGTATCCCACTCAAGATCCAAGCTGTTATTCTGAATATTAGCATACTGTGATTATCCTCAGGACTTAGTCTTGTGAGCTGTATTTTTGAACCTCTCTGTCCTCACCAGGAGGACGACCTGCAGGAAATGAAGATGTCAGCTGAGCGGATGGACGAGTGCTATGGCCATTTGGTGGACTATGTCTTAATGAAAGAGGACCCAGTCAGTGCCTTAGCTGAGCTTCAGCTTGTACTGGAAAGAGTGCAGGTGGAGCCTCAGTGGGTGCCTGTGTCCTGGGTGAGGAGCTAACTAAACCGGGCTGGTTCGTGTTGGACCAGCAAACTACTGCATGTGGTTTTGGGGGTGATCCAGTGTTTACTGCCATATCAACACAGTTGTATCAGGTTTGTGATAATCAGCTGACTTACATCAATGTCATAGAAGAACATCTGCAGTGACTGAAAACTGCTTTTCCATCAGTCTGATCATGAAGCAAGCCTGTGTTAGATTCTTCAGTGTTTAAAGACCAACTGTGTATCTGTATGTGTATACGGGCAGTGTAACAGCTCTGACACGCATGTCGTACATGCATGTGGGACAAAGTTCCTAGAGCAAGCCGTAGTCAGAGACCTACACTTAGTATGATCTATAATGTGAGCCATTTATTGTAATAGCAGCTAATAATGTGAAGTGCCATATCAAGCGTTAATTGTAAGAAGCATGACTGAACCTCATGCTGGAGACCTTACCTCTGTTACTGTTCTGTAATAATCTGAAATGTGTTGAACTGAGAAATAAATCTCAAGAGCCATTTGGAATTTTTGTGGGGAAAACCTTTTACTTTAGAATGACTTATGCAACAATTATAAACCAAACCATAAACAAAAGAAGGAAAATATACATTTGTTTGCAGTATGTGTGGGAAAACACAAAGGCCTTTTACTTCCATAGCTTCTTGATGGACATGTTCTTCTCACTGTCTTTCTGCATCACCTGAGGGAAAGAGCACAACAGCGTCATTGAATAGTTACACACATGCATTTTATAAGTATGTGAACATTGCTGCCAAAATATTAGGTTCAGGATAAGACAAGGTTAAAAAAGGGGCCAGTGGTGCTAACATCTAAGATACTCCTGACATAACAAACCTTTGCCACAGCCATCTCAAAATCCTCCTGGGTGACGTGGACTCTCCTCTCTCTCAGGGCATACATCCCTGCTTCTGTGCAAACACCCTGAAAGAAAATACAAGATACTTTTTATAAAAAGGCTGGCTGCAGACCACGTTTATTAACATCTCAAGCGTAAAGGGCATTTTGCAACATATTTCAGTATTTTTAATCATATTAAGAATTCAGAGATTTTTAACATTTCTTATGCATGCCTTGGTAAGGTTCTTTCCTTGTGTGAGTTAAAATCCAGCACAAAGGGGTGAATATTTTACCATCCAACAGGCATGTACTCACCTTCACTTCAGCACCAGAAGCACCAGGCATCAGCTCTGCAATCTTCCTCAGGTTAATGCCACGTGTCAGATTCATCTTCCTGGAGTGGATTTTCAGGATGTCCAGACGGGCCTGGAGAGGGAGAACACGGATAAGCTCAAGTAAAAAAAAAAGTTTGGTCTGTAGATTTAAATTGCATGTTTATAGTGTGATGATTAAGTACCTCCTCATTTGGAGGGGGAAACTCAATTTTCCTGTCAATCCTGCCAGGCCTAAGCAGAGCCGAGTCCAGGATGTCGATACGGTTTGTGGCCATGATGACCTGAGAATAAAAGTAAAAATTTGAGTCAAAGGAAAATAAACTTACGCTCATGGACTCACAGCAGTAAGATCTGAACATGCCTCTATACTAAAGAGTAAAATCAAGTCAGGAAAGAAAAATGAAATGAAACACAGGGGCAATGTGTGAAAACATTCAGTTTCACTCCCTGGTGTGTAGTACCTTGATGTTCTTGGTGGCCTCAAAGCCGTCCAGCTGATTGAGCAGCTCCAACATCGTTCTCTGCACCTCACTGTCACCACCCGAGCCGCCCTCCAGCCGAGATGACCCAATGGAGTCAATTTCGTCCATGAAGATGATGGAAGGAGCATGTTCTCTGGCCATGACGAAAAGCTCACGCACCATACGGGCACCTGTCGTAAAAGTGGAAGAATCAAGGTCATATACCCAGATATTCAGACAAGTCAAAATTAGAGTTCTCTAGTGTCAGTATTAGGAAGTGATAAAGGCTCTCACCCTCTCCAATGAACTTCTGGACAAGCTCAGAGCCAGACACCCTGATAAAGGTGCAGTCAGTGTGGTGGGCCACAGCTCTGGCCAGCAGGGTCTTCCCTGTTCCTGGGGGTCCGTACAGCAGCACGCCCTGCATGCATTGAAAGAAAATCAGAAACCAGAACCATCTGTAGACTGACAAGAGTGTTCAGGGTATGCCAAAAGATGCAACATTCCGTCTTCGGTCTATTTTAAGTCACTGTAAGAGGTATACGTGGGTTAAAAAAGGCGGCAGAAAAGGGCAACTAACAAAAGGGCATCACTGACATAGATAAGATTCATTTGTAAGTAAAAAAAGGAAAACAAATTTTTTTAACCTATTTTGTCCTCTGAGACAAAAAAAAATGTATGTCTTCTTGAATATCCAATACAGAGTAAATAACGAAGCAGCTCTTCTACACTAACTCACTTGTCAATCACTCACCTTCGGCTGTGCGATGCCGAGAGCCTCAAACAGCTCTGGATGCTTAACAGGCAACTCAATCACTTCCTTGATCTCCTTGATCTGCTTATCCAGGCCACCAATCATTTCATAGGTAGAGTCTGGCACCTTCTCCACCATCATAAGAGACACGAGAGGATCCACTTTGTTGGGCAGGATTTTGTGCAGGGTGTAGCTGTCATTGCGCAAGGCAACGCGGCAATTTGGAGTCACCTGATACCAAAAATGAGAAAGAAAATAAAACTAATATTACTTAACTCACTTGCAGCTTATTTAACTGCATTTTTTGCATATGTGGTTACATGTGCAGGGCATGATGTTTTTTTTTAAAATGGGCATGTTGTTCCTAGAATAATGAAAATGGAAAAATAACAATACTAACATCATTAATGTCAATGTTCTTGTCCACATCCACGACAAATTTTCCTTCTGGATGCACCTGAAATTACGAGAAAACATATTGACTAAAATGTTGACATTTTTAAATTAACAATAATGATAATGTAATCATATGAAATGGAAGTGGAAATACCTTGACCAGCACTTTCTTTTTGTCCATGACCCGGACCACTTCTCCTACATAGGACCCCTGCTCCTGTAACAACTGCAGCTCCTCGCGTAGGAGACGCACTAACAGACAAAGTAAAACTTTAAGTACAAATTTGCACACTGGTGAACATTTCAAACCAGATCCAACTTTAAGAGCTTGGTGGGGTACCTTTGGCATTGAGCTCATTCCTCTGTGCCTGCAGACGTCTGAGATTCTGACTCTTGTCATTTACTGTCAGCTGTTGAGAAAACAGGAGTTCAGAACTGACAGGGAGGCAAAAGTTGTACAGTCTGAATCAGATTCATGTCTGGAAGTTTACAGATTGAATTGATTATTTTACCTGTAACTCTTCTATCTTTGACAAGTAGTACTGGCGGAGACCTGAGCCCCCTTTACTCTCACCCATCTCCATCTGCTGAAGACACAATAATTAAAAAAAATTAAAACATGCCAAGATGACGGTATCTTATACAAGTTATTTTTTTACTCATGCAATAGGGATACAACTAATGACTGTTTTTATTGACTGATCTTTTTAGAAACCCAGCAATTATAGTATTATAAACACTTGGCCAAACTCAAACAAAAGCAATAAATCTGAAAGCTGAGCGAAAAAAGAATAGAAAATGTTGAGATATTGACATATGGAGGTTTAAATATCACCTTAATTTCTGTTGATCGACTATCTGTCAGTTAGAGGAGCGATTAATCGATAGTTCGTTACAAAAATGATACCACAGGCAGAGCAAAGTGATAACTGTTTGTTAACACTAACTGGAAACTAGATAATAGTCAAAATCTGAGATATTTGGGGTCCTCACAGTCCTCAGTTTGAGCCCCAATATGAGCAACAAATCAAACAATTAATAAGAGAGAGGCATCACTGACAAAACAGCTGAGTCTCAAGCAACAGCTAACACACTAAATGGCAGATTATCAATTATCTATGACACTAACGAGCTAACATTTAAAGGAAAATATAGGAAAATATAGCGGTCTGTCACTTAAAGTCATTTATCTGAACCAAATGCCCGAATATTTATCATGGTCTCGGGTCAGGCCAGCTAGCTTTGTGAGCTACAATGAGACAGCAAACCGGCACAACTCTCCATTTAATGTTTACAATGAGGACACAATTCAGCTCACAGCCGCATTAACATTCCCTCTGATGCGCGTTTCACCAAACTATTAAAACTGAAGCACAACTGCGGCAATTCCTCCATTACTAAGCAACAAAGTCGTCAAAAAAGCAGAAAAAAATACACCTACATGATCAATCCCGTCCACCTCCATCTTGAAATTTTCTACAGCCGCTTCAGTGCTGTCGCTAACCGATCCGTCCCGGAAACCCAATTTGTGCTGTACGTCACTTCCTCTACTAGGCTTCTTTGCGACAACTTCGACAGTTGTGCGACAGACATGAGCTTCAGCATCAGCGAGGTCTCTTCAGTGAGAATAGATGCCTCAGTCTATGAAGTGTTTTTACTATATGAACATGAGATTTTCCAATTGTTTTAATATATATATATATATATATATATATATATATATATATATATATATATATATATATATATATATATATCCTTTGCTGAATGTTTTAACTATAGTAACCATAGACTGCATATGGTTCTAACCTGTGCAAAGTTTGCTGTGCTGGCATTTAAACTGTTTAAATGTATGATGAGAAACTAATGTACATTAGCTGATAATAGTTTTTAAAAAACAATAATGATACTAAGTCCTGAATCTGTTTCAGTCATCTAATTGTTTGATTCTCAGGTTAGTTGGGTCAAAATAGATATTCGAGTTAAAATAGAGAATATTTAAAGTTTTTATTTTTATTTTTTAAGTATACTAGAGATAAATGAAAGGAGAGCAAGCCAGATGATAAAAGTGTAAAAATCCTTAAAAGCACCTGTTCACATACAAACATGAGTAGACAAACAGTCTCTCGCATCTTGTACTAATCTCTTTTAAAATTTTGGAGCTGTAATCCAGCTAATGTGAATTTTTTTTGCTGAAGTTGCCTTTTTAAACTTGATGTTAACTCAATGGAAAACACCTCATGAGTTTAGTCCTTGGGGGGAAAGCAATATTTCATAGATATTCATCATTTCTGAACTAAAAAACAGCTGACCAGAGAGTGTGCTGGAATATATAGCTTTGATGCCATAAAAGAGGGAGAGCGCTGTCTGTAAAAGTTGTTAAAAGTTGTATTTTTCTCTCTTGCAGATCTGTGGGCATGATGGACGTCATGCTTGAAGAAGAGGGACAGTGCGCTCATCTTCCCTAAGCTGAAGCTCTAAGGTAAGAGGACTTTCTTTGTATTACAGCTGTAGTTTCATGTTTTGTTGTATTTTATGGTACAGGTGCTCGCAGTTGGACTTGACTTATTGTAAGAAGAGGAGGATCATGAAATAGAGCGGCGGATACTCTCAGGTGATGTTATCATCTGTGTTTTTGAAGTTCGTCAGTGTTTCAACTACAGGAAAATTAATTATTGCATTGTAGATGAGACACGACTTAAAGAAAACATAGTGCTCAAAACATCAGGGTTACGATTTAGTAAATTTATTCACCAAAAATCACAAATCAGCTGACATTAATGTGTTTTTTTTATTTATGTTGCTGCATGAAAAAACATAAGCAGAAGTATGATTTACTTTCCTGTCAATGTTTTTGTAAATTGAATCAGTCTAAGGTTTTTTGATCATGACTTTAATGTTACGGTATTGCTAAAGCAGCCGCATTTTTATATAATGCTGATTTGAAACCAGATAAATATGAACCAAATCAAACAAGTAGTTTTAAAGTAAAAAATCAGTAATATTATGCTAACAATAATAAGAAACTTTTATCTTTAAATTTTTAATTGTAGCCATACACTCCAGTGGTTTCGAAAAAAAAAAAAAAACTCAATTAAATATAACTGTCCATCAGAAGGCGCTGTTTGTACACAAAACTGCCCTGCTATAAATAATGACTGTATTATTCTACTTAATTTAAAATTAAAAAAAGTCTTTATCAATATATTTATGGATAATTCAATAAATTAGTACACCTTTGTATCTGACAGAAACATATTTGTAATATACACTCACCGGCCACTTTATTAGGTACACCATGCTAGTAACGGGTTGGACCCCCTTTTGCCTTCAGAACTGCCTCAATTCTTCGTGGCATAGATTCAACAAGGTGCTGGAAGCATTCCTCAGAGAGCTTGGTCCATATTGACATGATGGCATCACACAGTTGCCGCAGATTTGTCGGCTGCACATCCATGATGCAAATCTCCCGTTCCACCACATCCCAAAGATGCTCTAATGGATTGAGATCTGGTGACTGTGGAGGCCATTTGAGAACAGTGAACTCATTGTCATGTTCAAGAAACCAGTCTGAGATGATTCCAGCTTTATGACATGGCGCATTATCCTGCTGAAAGTAGCCATCAGAAGTTGGGTACATTGTGGTCATAAAGGGATGGACATGGTCAGCAACAATACTCAGGTAGGCTGTGGCGTTGCAACAATGCTCAATTGGTACCAAGGGGCCCAAAGAGTGCCAAGAAAATATTCCCCACACCATGACACCACCACCACCAGCCTGAACCGTTGATACAAGGCAGGATGGATCCATGCTTTCATGTTGTTGACGCCAAATTCTGACCCTACCATCCGAATGTCGCAGCAGAAATCGAGACTCATCAGACCAGGCAACGTTTTTCCAATCTTCTATTGTCCAATTTTGATGAGCTTGTGCAAATTGTAGCCTCAGTTTCCTGTTCTTAGCTGAAAGGAGTGGCACCCGGCGTGGTCTTCTGCTGCTGTAGCCCATCTGCCTCAAAGTTTGACGTACTGTGCGTTCAGAGATGCTCTTCTGCCTACCTTGGTTGTAACGGGTGGTTATTTGAGTCACTGTTGCCTTTCTATCAGCTCGAACCAGTCTGGCCATTCTCCTCTGACCTCTGGCATCAACAAGGCATTTCCGCCCACAGAACTGCCGCTCACTGGATATTTTTTCTTTTTCGGACCATTCTCTGTAAACCCTAGAGATGGTTGTGCGTGAAAATCCCAGTAGATCAGCAGTTTCTGAAATACTCAGACCAGCCCTTCTGGCACCAACAACCATGCCCTGCTATAAATAATGACTGTATTATTCTACTTAATTTAAAATTAAAAAAAGTCTTTATCAATATATTTATGGATAATTCAATAAATTAGTACACCTTTGTATCTGACAGAAACATATTTGTAATATAAGTGTGTGATATGTTATTCTTGAAGCAGTTAGCGGACAGATTTTTTATTTTTCATCTCCATAAATTCATTACCCACTCACAGAGAACGCTACAAAGAAATATATAATCTTTAAGTCCATGGTCAGAGTTGTGTTGTATCAGTAGATTGTGACTTAAACTCTAGCTAACCTAAATAAATGTTTTTACTCACTTGGAAAAAAAAACAAAGAAACTACAAGCTAAAAGTCCTGGGCACTTAAAGTTGGAAGCTCCTATTTGCAAAAATTCTCAGCAATAAATATAATGCACTAAAATACTAAGTTACAAGGACAACAGCTAAAAACCTGTAAATTAAAGACATATTTTAATTGAGATGTCACAGTATTAGTCTAACGTGGATATTCATTTCTGTCGAAGATCCTTATCCAGGGCGGGATGAATTTTAGAGTCTAGTGTCTAGAAAGCACAATGAAAGAGGAAACAGACAGAGTACTCCTGTGTGTCCACGTGGCTCAGGGGATGAGCAGATGGACTGGGACTCCTGAGGTACTGGGTTCGAGCCTTACCTTACACAGGTCAAGGTGAATTTTATAGTCTAGTATCTAGAAAGGACAGTGAAATAGGGAAAAACTGGACTCCCCAGTGTGTCCACCGCCGTGTGGCTCGGAGGATAAGGAGCCTGACTGGGATTTCTGAGGTTGTGGGTTTGAACCTTATCTAGGACGAAGTCCAGGAGCCAAAGTACCAAGAATAAAAAGGCGCAGAGCTCATCCCCAAGTGTGGATGGTATACGGTGGTGCAGTGTGATATGCAACTGACACCCAAATGTGAGTCAGGAGGGCAGCCCTGGTTCGATACCTGCTCGGCACAAAGGAGATCCTGGGAAACAAGGCCCGGTGGGTGGGGTTTCCCCCTGGTGTTTCTGAAGAGGTAAAAGGGGGGTTATGAGGCAGGAAGTTAGAGATGGGTAAAATTTTGAAAAAACCAAGTCAACTAGAAAGTGATGACTACATTATAGTCATCAATATTATGTGACTATAACTGACTATAATATAGTCATCATATTATATATATATGTATATATATAGATAGATAGACATCTATTCATATATTATAGTCATCTATATTGTATATAATATAGTCTGTATTATATATATATATCTATATATTATCATCTGTATAATATATGACTATGTTAAAATATATTATAGAGGACTGTTAAAGTCATCTGTATTTTATAGATTATAAACTGCAGGCACCTGTACCATAAAATACAAGTAAATCATCAGAATTAAGGTTTATCTTGGGTTAAACTTGACCACATTTGTGTAAAGAGCTTCTACAGCGGCTACAGAACCCCCCCCCCCCCCCCCCCCCCCCAGGTGGATAGCTAGCTGTCAATCATCTTCCTCACAGTCTATGCTCTCAACAGAGGGAGCAACACTGCCGCCCAGTGGATGGGAGAGGGGGTGTTCTCCACACGTGAATATCCCCAACTTGTGTGTGTGCATATCTTAAAAACTGTGCGATGTTGATCCACAAACACATTTTTCAACGATTTACAAGCTTATTGAAGAATTCCAAATGATAAGTCGTGATAAATGCACACACACAATTAAAAAACAAATGTGGGAATCATGGACACATATTTGTGGATCTGAAAATCACATGGAAATTGTGGATATGTCTTTGTGCATAATTCCGAGACAATTCTCTCCCCATATCTTTCCACTGACTGATAAGAGACTGAGAGTGAAGCTTTGGAGATAAATGGAGACTCCTCTTTATTCATTAATAAAGAAATGGTGAAATGTTAAAGATGAATTACTAGAGACACCTAACAAGTTCTTAAAGAGGTAGTTCTGCCTACAGAAGAGTCTCCATTTTTCTCCACAGCTTCACTATCAGTCTCAGATCAGTCAGTGAAAAGGTGGACTGATAATCAGACTCTGAACAGCATCACAGGAGCAGCTGAGTGCCTCTACCTGAGCGGGACGCCGAGGGAGGAAGGCCGCCACATGAAGATGGTGGTCCACCCGGCTTCAGGGACGGTCCGGTGTAGAGTCCTGAAAGAACAAGAGAAATTTGTTGTTTTTAATGTCAAGCATACCTGACATCTATTTATACTCATCACTACAGACAGTTTTTAATCTCCTATCATGTGCAGTCTTGTTTCAGTTCTGTTGAATGTTGATGTTCCTGTAAATGCTGCTTTTGAAACCAAAACATATTCTTGAAAAAAAGTTCTGTACCAGATTTTTGTTATTTGGTCAGCTGAATAATCAGGCTAGCGGGTAGTATTTTCAGATAATTGCTGTGTTTTCTCATTTCTTATCTAGTAAATGGATTTTTATATATACATAGTTTATCAAATGTATCACACAACTCTGTATTTTTCTATTTCAACAGTACCCAGTTGTTACAAATGGTGCGTTCCATTGCGGAGCAGCCTCATGGAAGTACATAACTGTCTTTAAAACTGTCATTTATTTACATGTTGTGGAAATGTTATAATAATTAAGTATATTATACCGCTACAACTAGATATAGTCTCATCTGACATTGTTGTTTAATGTCCTGAAACTCCAGTGGGCTGAGGCGCAGGTAAGAGACATGCAGGATGTGTTTGCTTTGCCGTTATTTGGGGAGTAATAAATATGCCAAGACTATTGGATGCTGGTCAGACCTGCTGTGCCTGTTGAGACTGCTGCTCCTAGAGGCATTTGAACTCCTCTACCAGCCCTGACACGCTCATTTCCAGCCTCACTCGGGTGTCAAACCATACTGAATGCGGGCTGTACACAAGGGAAATGAGCCTACACTGTAATTACCAGCAGCTACTACATGGGAAATATTCAATGTTTCTGGATCATCTGTCATACTTTGCAAAAACACAACAAAACTTAAAGTTTTAAAGTTTATTTATTATACAAAATGCTCAAAACTTATAAAAGATAAAGGCCTTTGATTGATGAACAACATGCAAATATTTTACAAAAAGGCCATACAAAAATGTTTGTAGACAATTTCTCAATTTGAAAGAGCCCTCTTCAGAACAAATTCTGGGATGATAATTTCCTTAACATGGAACGTTTGAAGAAATTCAAGAAATCTTATATAAAAGCTTAACAAAAAGTATTTCCAAGGAATTACAAACATTACACAAGATGGTGCTTTGTAGAGTTCTCATCTTGCACTTCTCTTGCCTGAATCTTTGTTAAATAAGAAGCACTTTATTAATCCCCGAATGGAAATTCAATAGGTGAACAGGTATGAAACTTTCAGGAAAAGCTCTTCACCCAAAAAGACAGTTTCATTGGCATTACAACAAACAAAAAATAACACATAAAACAGCTTGTAAACATGAAGAAGTACAAACAGCTGCAGACTTTAGTCTGTACATAATGGACTTTTGTCCTTGTAAAGAAAAAAAAAAGAGGCACAGTCTTCTTTTCCCAGAAGAGTTGTTTGTGGAAATTCTGCTTTCAGATGTGGCAAAGAATTGTTTAATTTTAACATATTCATCAATATCAAAAACACAAGCTTTGCATTTGTTCCTAACAGTCACGAGGTATCTTAAGAGTTCCTCTATTCTTTTTAAATAAAATCTTTTTTTTTTCTGAAAAGTCATAATTTGAAATAACAGAATTATAAACACTTCTTGTTTTGACATCTTCAGTATGGCTTAATGTTCTGAAATAAAGCAGTTTCATTGCCTCTTCCTCTAAACTTTTACCACAAGTAAAGTATTTTTTTCCACAGATTATGGCTTTAAGTATAAAAGTAAACAGGTAACATTTCAAATAAGCACAAGAGATGTCGGTGAAACATACTCAACAGCACCATTGTTTGAGATAGCTTAAGCACTTTGTACCATAAGGGAACATAGTAAAAAAAAGGCAACAGGCTCAAAATAGAACAACAGGCAAACATAATAAAGAATGTACATCACCACTTTGGTCCCACGAACCCAGCTGCTTTTGAATTATTTTATGTTAAACAAAAAAAGATGTGTTTATTGTTTTCTGTAGATGATGCTTTAAAAAAGTAAAAATAAAACAGGATGGCTTTGGAAAAAAACTAAGCTGCAACTTAAGCTTATTATTTCCCAACATATTCTGAACTTCAACCAAGCAACACTGATGTCTGATCAGTAAACTTCAGCTGGATGTGTCCCCAACAGAATGTGTCTTTAAGTGAGGCGGATCCCCAACACCTGCTCCAGTTCTTGTCGTCTCTGCTGCACCTGAGCCAAAACATTTTTTTTGAGAGTTTAAAGTTAAAAACAGTTCACTGGCACCTGTAATAAATATTTGCTAACCAGCATGTGTTTGGGCGACACATAAGTTTTGTAATATCCTACCTTTGAGTAAACGTATCTGCCCACTGCCTCTGGTACCCAAGGCGCCTGGTAGAACTCAGTCCTCCGCTCTTCCTCAGGGTTTCCTGTGACATCTGTCATCAACTGAGCCCAAAAAAAATGTAAACATAAACATCCAGAAACCACAATATCATAGCACAGAAAATGTCTCATGGCTAAATAGCAACAAAAAAAAAAAGTGAAAAATAATGACCTAATTTTTATTGAATTATGCTGTACTAACAAAGTTAGCAAGTACAACACAAACTAGATAAAGGGCTGTGAAAGTAACTTTGATAACCAAATAACTCTCCCGGACAAGACCTCAGAATAAATGCATTGCATGAAAAGTGAAGGGAGTCTCCACAGACTTTTGTTTTGAAACAGAGCTAATGCAGCCTTCAGCTCACATTTTTGTGTTACTCACAAAGATCTGTGCAGCTCACAGATAAATATCGATGTCTTAACTGTATAATCTGTTCGCATGTATACCAAAATAATCAAGCCATTTTGAGGCCGTTACGCGGCTAACACACTTCCTGTGTAAAGAACGGGGACAGGGTACAGTTTGCTGTGAAAAGCAAGCAAGATCAAGGTTAACTGTGCCAAACTGTACCAAATCAAACCATACTGTTTGATGGAAGTTCGCTAATAGATGGGTACATTTGACCGAAAGAGAACGTACCTTAAAGATCACATGATTAAGCAGTATATGTCAGCCTATTAGATCATAGAGGTAGAAGCAAACCTTCAGATCTCGGCTCTGAGACTTCAACCAGTCCTGGATGAAGTCCTGAGGATTATTACTGAAACTCAACATGAAGTCCCTCTCAGTCTTCAGCTGGTTGATGTACTCAATTGTCTCATGGATCTGTTAAGAACAAAGTCATCTTTAACCAACAAAGTGTTTTCTTTTGGTTTTTTTTTTATTATCTTAACCTTCATATCTAGGCCCTACCTTCATCTCCAGTGCAGCAATCTCCTGCTGGTTGGTTGTAGAGGACAAGAAGCTGTTCATTTGGCTCTTCAGCGGGTCATCTACCTCCACGTCGATGTCATAGCATGCTGTCTTTTTCTGGTCTGTGGGGTCCACACTAAACAGACAGGAAAATAGGTTGAACAAGTTGATGGGAGTGAAGCCGATACAGTATTGACAGCAAAATTCAGACTAGTAAGAACAATCAATGACAAAAGTCATTCAAGTTGCTAAAATGATTGTGTTTGCAAAAGTTTCCCAGAAATATAGGAAACAAGATCCTGAAGCTACTTGCAAATCCACACAGAATAAACACAGAAAGACAGCTGATGATCCACACTCTCCTACCTAATCACATGATTGATGATAATGGGGTCAGGGTGCTGAAGCAGGCCTGCCAGTTTCATAGGAATCTCAGAGAACCTCATGCGAGGACAGCCGAAGATCTGGGAAGTGTTTAATAGATAAAGAGAAAAGCATTAAAACATGAAGAAAAAGTTAGTATTTTGCTTCTTAGTGTAGCTTTAGCGCCTCAGACTACCTGTCTGAAGTAGCGGTTGCAGTTGATGTATTCCTTCTCATGACTGTCCTGCAGTTTATTGTTCTTGATGTAGAGCCACAGAGCTTGCATGATGCTGGCTCGTGTCTGTGTGTGCACACCCAGCAGGCGAGCCAGGCGTGGGTCCAGTTTGTACTGAGGGGGCTGGGGAGAGCAAAAGATGATTAATAAATGAATAAACAAAGATGAGGGCAAATTTAGAGTGAAGTGAGCAGGTGCTACCTGGTGGTCAAGCATGAGTAGGAGGGTGCATTTGACATTCACATCTCCGGGACGTTTGACCTGGAAGCCATCAGTCTCCTGAGTGGTGGGCATTCTGTGCCACTGAAAGGTAAGTAAACATCAGATTTAGACTTTGGTCCAGATACAAATAAAAATATATCTGAACTAAAATGTGTTTAAACAGCAGGCTGTATACTACCGCCATAGACTGTTTAAAATGTAGGACCACGTGACAGCTATGCAAAAGTGAGGTTAACCAGCTGCAGTATAAATCATAAAACTTGCCTCCTTCATGTTATCAGATGGAAAAGGAGTCAAATTTGAAACCAAAATACAGATCCAAGAAAGTTTTCATAAACATGGTGGCTGAGAAAATTAGTTTTAATGATTAAATTCAAGGTTCTGCTGGGAGTTTTTTTTGACAACTATGAAGTAAACGGAAATTCCTTTTGATGCTTTTTTATTTAGGGGGTAGTTGTCAGTCCAAGCAGCTGATGGAAACATCAACAGAGAGAAAAGGATATACTGCCATGTTCCACAGCTCTGTTGATAAAAGTGGCATCAGCAGCCCTGTGCATCAGCTTAACAGGGTAAAGGAGAAACAGTGGGAAGATCTCGGGATTATTCAATGTCAAAAGTCATTGAATTTCTCATAACTGTGAGCATCTGCTATCAACTGCTGGGGACTGTGCTGTCTCTTTGGGGTCTCTGCTGTGTTCTTGGTAAGTGGAAAGAATGGAGCATCAATACAATTTCACAAGCTGATCCCGAATGAAGCATTCAGCACCCGTTGGTGAGGGTATTTTGGCTGCAGCAGGTATTGAGGGTCAAGAGGTGTGTTACACATCTCTGTATACAGTCAGTAACCCTAACCCTTACTCCTGGCTTTCATCAGTATACAAAATACTGCTGGGGTGGTTTAACCCTTCCTGTGGGTTGAATTCAAACATTATGTTGGGTTATCTTGAGGATCTGGGGGCTCTTAATAATCCTCCTCTGCTCTGTCAAACAAGCTCAGACTGGTTCCAACACTTCTAATGATTCCAGCTGAACTGAACTTTCTGACCAGGACTGAGAAAATGTTCTTGAGTGGAAACACTATGGTCTCTGTAAGCCCTGAAATGTTCGACTGAGTGCCTGAAATGTTGTGTCATACCTCCACTAAGTGGTTATCGGGGCCGTAGAGCTCCTTATCGAGCTCGATCACCAGGCTCTTGAAGAAAGATGAGAACTTCTTCTTCTGCTTGCCAGGCTGGGAGAAAAAAAAGGGAAAACGAAGAATGAGAGAAGGCAGAGAAAGAGGAACTCTATGTATTTGTGTTCTTGTTTTGCTGTGTCAGTGTGTGTGGCTGCATTGTTAAGCTCTGACCACATTGGGGGTGTTGAAGCATGGAACTGTAGACAACTAGAAAAAGCTGTTTCACCCCCGCCCTGACTAAGTCTGTTTGCACAACATGACCCCTTTCACTCCTTCCTTCTTTTTTTGTAGCTCCATGAAAAAACTCCTACGCATGTCTCAACCAAGAGAGAAATTAGCAGACAAAGAAAAATCCGTCTTCATGTGGCCTCAGATGACACAATGAGCCAAGCTGGAAGTGATAGATGGAGGGAGGGGGTGGTATGTAACGGCCAGTGGTTTCAATTCCACGTTTCCAGGGAGAACATGAGCTTATGTGCCTGTGTGTGTGAGAAGAGCTGTAGGGTGGAGTGGGGAGAGCTGTAAACACACATCTGGTTGACTGGTCCGAGCCAAAGGCTGAGACTAGCCGGAGCTGAGAGATTGCAGTTTTCAGAGCACACAATAAGAAACACTAGAGTTCAGATTAAGACTGGACAAGGATGATGGGGATACAGAACAAAAGTGTTTTTCACTCACCTCCTCCAGGAGTTTTCCCTCCACTCTGAGCTCCCACGAGGACACCTTCTCAGCCTCCTCTCCCTCAGGCTTGCTGGGGGTGTACGTGTTAGAGATGTAAATCCTGAGCTTACGCTTTTGCTGAGTCAAAAGGGACAAAGGCAGAAAAGCGGGGAAAAGTGATTTTTTTTAAATCTGAAAAGTGCCCAAAATGGGTTCAAAACCAGATGTAGGAATTTAAGTAAAGGCTGATGCTCAAACAGAAGTTAAATATTAGAACCGGCTCTATCCGGTAAGCAGATTTTTCAGGACAGATGGGTGCTGATGGTTTTTTGAAACAACCTGGAAATCACAAAATATCAAATCTGGACTATTTTATGGTTTAAGTCTAACAAAATATTGTGTTTCATGTCACACTTTGTTTTTTTTTACACTAGATACAGACAGCATTGGTTTTAAAACAGACATTCCAGTAAAAAAATAAATAAATAAAGGTACAAAAATACCATTTCTGTGTGTGCAAAATGAGAAAAGAGGATGAATATGAAATAAATGCTCTAGACTGCTTGATGCATGATCAAGTGTTTAAGTTTCATGTCTTTCAAACAGTGAAGGCAGACACATTGCCATAACTACATGACCAACTTTTTATCATGTCACTCTTAAGAAGAGGTACCATAATAGGCTTCTTGATGGCCTCCTGGATCTCCATACGCTTTCGGGCGATAGTCTGATCCAGCTTCCTTTCAAAGGCGAGAAGATCCATGTAGGCCTGGGACTCTGGAACCAGGTCTCGGATCTATCAAGAGTGGATAAATGTTAAAAGAATAAACTTGATGGTACTCATATTACCAAGAATTGATCTGGAGGTGGGAAACATGTTTACCCTTTGTGGGAGAACTTTATCAGCCATCTTGCGCCTTTTTGGCCTGAATCACAAATAAACAAAAATAAATGAGATGATTCTGGAAAACCATTAAAAATCATGAGCTTCCCAAGTGCCGTTTAAAATGAAGAGGATAGCACAGCTAACATATTTGGTGGAACAAATACATTCAGAGCTGAAGATCACACTAAAATGAGTGTGCACTGACATAAAATGATAATCACAGAAACCTCATTTGCTCCTTTGATCATCAATTATTTGTGAAAACTTCACAGGGCATTTACAAAATGTTGGCTGGAACGATCTCTTCATTACCTCTCTATACGATCACCCCAGGCTCTCACTTATCTTCGCCACAGACTCCATAAAAGCTCTTCTGTTTCTTTAATTATGTTACACAGTTCCTCCTCATTATGACTTAATTTAATTCACGAGCTCTCTAATGAGAATTTAGGAAGTCACTTCTGGCCCTGTGGCTCACTAATCTTCCAATACTGAGAATTTGGTTGTGAGATAAAAGTTTAAGGACAAAAGATTCATTGTACCGGAGACTGCAAATGCTGCCTCACATCACAGCTCGCCACATTTACGAGCATGGCATCACTAAGAAGCTTGAAGTCAAAAATAACCGCTCGTGTTTGCTGCTTTTGAAAGCAAAGGCTGGTCATGAGATACTCCAACCCTCGTGTCTGTGTGATCTGAGCTGTGCTTCTAACACAGCAATAACTTCACAAACAGACTGAGGAGAGAGAAACACATCCAGAGGGAAAGATGAGTGATGTTTCTTTAATAAAAAAGTAAAACAAACTTGTACGAGGTTGACTAGTGGATTAAGTAGACTTCTGACTTCTAATATGAAGTTTAGAAAATTAGAGCCCCTTTTTTCTCCTGGCCAATACAACATCTGCTGATGTTGATGATAACACTATCCTCTATAAATCTGTGTCGGGAAATGGTGTCAAAAATGACGGAATGAAAATCATCAGTTTTGTTGCTAATGTTTTTTTTTTGTTTTGTTTTGGATTTCATGAAAAAGCATCAATTTGAATTTCAACCTGTTTCATGAGTGTCAAAAAACTCTTTATAGGAGCTTTAAATGTGTTGTGGGTGTTCTGTTGTTTTCAGTTTCTGATTATCACTTTAAGTTGTATTTTTTTTTTTTTTCAGATTTGAATTGGATTTTAGAGTGAATCCACAGATCAGTAAACAATAAGAAAAGCTGTCAGTTGTAGCTCTGTCCCCCAGTTGGGCCCCAGGCTGTCCTTGTCAATCACCACCCCCATCTTTTCTCACACAAACACTCTCACTTCGCCCCCGTTTACCCTCGTCGGAGGCCTCCCAGCCCTTCTTGCTGCTGCTGTTGGTGCTGATGAAGGAACCGCTTCCTTGAGGGGTCCATGCTCGGGGGCCCCATGCCTGGCCGCATGGACATGTTCCCACCACTATAAGAAGGACCAGGAAGCTGACCCCCTATCGACCCTAAGGGGCCCCCCACTCTGCCGGGTGGCATCCCTGAGCGCTAGAGAAAAGAGGAGAAGCTGAAGCTCTGATTTCAAGCTCTTAAGACTGAAAATAACACAACCATGCACTCTCGACCTGCGTCCCCTCTCATGAGTACATTCAGAAAGTTCATTTCAGAGTTTTTCCATTGCCTTCCTTCTGTACTGTTTTGAAAAGACAGGTAAAGTCTCTCAATGTGATGCTTATTTACTCCCTTTAGGTGGCTTTTTACAGTTTGCTTTGGGCAGAGGAAATCATTTTACAAAAAAAAATTAATATACTGAGAGGAAGTTTTTCATGTAAGTTTGAATTTTCCATCTCAGTCCAGGAGCTCTGTTGGTCTCCCCTCTAACAGCAGAACAAATTGTCTCTAACTAAGAAACACAAGACAACACTAGATGCATAATTTGAACTGAAGACAAGACAAAGCTGCAGATGGTGGTGATAAAAGTGTGATTATATATGTAGGCTTAGCTCTGACAGATGGTGGTTGATGATGCATGCTTTTGTTTTTGAGCGAACTAGGAGGGCGGTGTGGGCAGCCACGTGATCCTCTTTTACACATGTAAAACAGCACTTTTCTATAAAACTAATTCTGATTTACATTAATAAAAATGTTATTACTAAACGGCACATCACAAGCAAAAACCACCATCAAAACTGTAACTCATATTTCTAACAGTAAGTACACACTATTTTCAAATGCGGAAGTATTGTCCACACCTTGACATTTTCAGCATATCGACTTTTGACATTTCCCTCCCTTTGACATCAGACAGACAGCGGCTGTCTTTAAACTTGAATTTACACTCAAATTAATGGCTGACATTAAAAAAACAGCTGCTGTTACATTAAGATTGATACGTTTCTGATTATACCGTATCAAATAACGTTTCTGTTAACTTCTAATGTTTAACGACTGAATAAGAAGTTAAGCAGAAAACTTACCTGTGAGTACTGGGCAGCAGTGCTCATGCTGCGGGGGTATCCCGCTGGAGGTTGGGGCATGCCTGGCATCCTCATGCCCGCAGCATGCCCAACGTTCATATGGTGCATAGTCGGATTCATCGGAGAACCCGTGAAGCCTCCTCTTGATGCCATCCTCCAAATCCACAAGTGGTTCAAAGTTGTAAAGCTCCCCCCAAAAAATCTGTTCAAATGAATGTCTCGCAAACAACTTCACAGAAAGTCACTAATACTAGTCTGAAAGTGGCTCGTAGTCCAAACTCATCTCCTCCAAATGAGGTCGGGCTCTAGTTTGACAGCAAGCACACTGTCAACAAAAAGCTAGCTAATGTTAGCTCGTTTCAAGTTCCGGGGTTTGCGTCTGCCTTGCTACGCTTGTCTCTTGGACCCCGAGAACTGGCGGCTGGTGTTTGTCACCCTCTCCCCTTATTCTTTAATGTTAACATCGCAGTTTATTCACCGTGAAGCTGAGGGAAAACGTGATAACGCCCGTTCTAACGTCAAAATGAACGTCTGAAGCAATGACCAAGTATTCCTGTAACTGCCTGAACACACATACACACACACACACACACACACACAACGGAAAGTGATGGCTTCATGGTGCTCGGAATTTTTGACGTTACAAACTGTCAACTATCGGTTAACATCCTAAAATTAGATATACCGTCAAATTTAAGGTTTTTTTTAAGGACACGACAACTATTGAGTTTTCAGATAGGCTACAGGGGGATAGATAAGTAAAAAGCCTACCTTTTAAACTTTTGTCTACTGTGGATGGCTGTTTTTTATCTTTTCAACACAACTTTGGTGAATGACGCACCTGACAATAAGGAACCTATATTAAACAAACAAACAAACACAGAGTAGGTAATTTTACAAAAATAACAGCAAAAAAATTATAAGCTATTGCTATTTGGCACTGAATAGCCACACTGCAACCTTCTGTATTTTCCCTTTCAGATAAACACTACTTAAAAGTATGGGAATGCGCGAACCCATTTAGGAATTTCAAAATAGTAACCCAAAAGGCCCTGGTTGGAAACAAAAAACGGCCAAATATACTTAAAATGATCAAGAGTATGAGTACAGGACTTGTCAACAAACAACTCTCATTAATGCTACATGATCATCAGATTATGTGCTGATAAATTGTGTCCCTCCCTACAGCTATTAAATTCCATTTCAGAAAGAAAGTCTCATTCATCCCGGTTTTTAGTAAAGTGTGAACACACATTATTTTTGAACTTAGAAGTACGAGTTTTAAGGAAGCACCTAAAGGCACCATAACCGCTTCCCCTGGCAGTTAGCAGCTGTGGGAACTCAACATACAACAGATAACTTCTTCTGGGGTAAAATCTCCAACCCAGTAAACTCTGTTTATCTCTATTTCTTACTTTTTAAGAGTATGATCTACAGCTCCTTATCACAGAAAAAAACCTGTCAAATAGCAATGTTTCAATTTTAATGAAATGTATGTATAAACTAATCCAAAGTGAATCATCTTAATTTTTTTTTATTTGACAAACAGCCTCCCCTGTTGGCCACTTGGTCTTCCCTGTTAAACAAGCTTGAGTGTGGTTGCTGAGGTGTTTCTCATTCTCCCATCTTTAAATTTCCAGTACCTGTTAAAAGTCAGGACAAAACGTAATGACAGGTAACAAATCATTTATTATGCTAGACAGATGAAACAAACTGAGCCATGATAGCAGCAATTCAACTATTGGAATATTTACACTATCACTTCACACCAAGGATATATGTAACCCTTTACAATGTAAACACATGATACAAAGACATATTTGAATGCTAGAAAACAAGCTGATCTATTCACCAAAAAAAAAGAAATGAAATGAAACAAACCTGCTTTCTGCAGAAAATATCTGCACGTACAGTCAGGCGTTCATTTGCTGAACGTTTTTCTTATCAAGTTTCCACAGGTGAATGACAAAGAGCTGACTCTCTTCGACTTTGTGGAAGTGTAAGCCTGATGGTAAATGTGAAAATAAAAGACAAACCATTGGCAATGATTGTCTTTGACGTTATTTTTTCAAAGGTGAGGAATTATAAGTACACCTACTGGCTTATCATTTCAGTATTTAAAGAAATAATATTGTGTATGTGCACACTTTCACTCTTCACACAGCTGCCTCTGCTTGGCCACTGAATGAATTACACCTGAATCTACCTCTGTGCAGTGTCTTTATAAATGGTGATACTCATTAATCATTGGACTCCAGCAAAAAAAATCCTAAAAAAAAATAAACTATAAAGTGTTGTTACAATGATTCTCTGGAAAAAAATCTGTCAAGTATACAGTGGGAGGTCTAGACTGCTTATGCAGAGCAGCAAACGCCAAAAATGTCACCGTTAACATTGACGTCCATTGATTTCACAACATAAAGAACCATGAGAGAAGTGTTATTGGTACTTTCTTGTGTTTGTGTCTTTGTGTATGTGTGTGCACGCGGCCACAAATGGAACAAGAATGTGTGTTTTGTGGCTGAGTGCGTTATTGAGGGAATGCCTCATCTTTCATCAGCATGCGAGGGCTCTCCTGGTTGTCCATGCGACGTCTAGGACCCATCATGCCTGTGGGAATGCAAGAGGCTGGATGTCAACGAACATTTGCTGTGATTTAAGTTTTCACAACATTTTATTATTCATCTGGCAAAACTAAGGAGTGATAGAGGAGACAGATACTCTAAACAACACTAACAGGTATGAAATCCTCTTCATGTTAGTGTTCAAATAATGAAATAAAAGCTCTGCTCTGAGCAAAAGATGTATTTAAATATTTAAAAAATCTAAAGATAAACAACCAAAAAAGTGATTCCCCTTTTAGTTGACGTGTATAATTTTTGTCATGTGGGGTACATCAATGAGGCAATAACTTAGGAGGGGTCTAACATCTCAAAATAGCATGGCATCATGGGAGCTGTCTTTACTGATGACTGTAATCCACTATCTCTGACATCTACCCCATGGCAGCAGTTATAGGTAGTTACAGGTACCAAAAATGATTATAAATAAATAAAAATTCTTGTTTCTTGCTGTTGATTTTGCCTGCCTTTCCTGGGAAAACAGAGACGTCATTGTTTGTTTCAGCTTTAATCATAACCAGCAGGAAAGTCAATAAAGGAGTAGTTACAACACATATTAATAACAGCAATGTCTATGCTGGAAGTTTCTTTGTCTGCTGTATTTATCAGCAAATCCTTGTATAAACAAGCAGCAGCAAATCATTTGCCAATTGATTGATTTATTTAACTTTACTTAAAAATATGTTTTCTGAATATAAAACTAAATGCTGAAGTGCTCTGTGCTTTGATTTATGATTATTAATGAATCAACGTGTGGGATTACAAGTGTTAAGCTAAAACCAGCTTTATAGGTGTGTGTGTGTGTGTGTTTTTATTTTTTATTAAACCACAGACAAAGTAGAAATCCTGGATGAGCTGTTATGAAAATGTTTTTTTCACTTACTGTTCTTATGTTTGAACGATTTGGATCTTCTTGGTGAGTTTGGATTCTAAGACAAAAACAAGGGATGTTTTTTGTGAGCATATCTTAATAACGGCTTTTTACCATTACTAATTGGAGATATTGATCAGTATAAAGCTACAGATTAAAGGTAATGTTATAATCATCAGGGTATTACTAGAAAATATAAAGTACCTTATCAGATTTCCTTTTCTTGGCTGTAAAATAAAAGATCAAGATTAAGAATTGAAAACATTTTCGGCTTTATGTCATTTAGATATCTTGTTTCTATATGGTATTGGCAATTGATGCTTAATGCCTCTTAAAGTGTGATTTAAAAGTGTGAGCAGTTCATCACCTTTCTTTTCCGCCCCATAGGACCAGTCGTTATCATTGACATCATCATTATCCTCTTGGTCACTTTCTGACTTGTTGTTGGTGTTGTTTCCGGTGACTATTCTGTAACAAAGAAAAATATGAAGTATGACACACTCAGTGACTCAGCATTACTCACAGCGGATAACAGTGGGATTATAAAACAAATACATCCTGACTTGAAATTGTGGTCTATCACTATACTGTGCTACATCTCTAGAAAAGGCAAATTATTTCTCCAGTCTCTTGGATGAGAGATAGGGTATGTACAGGATTTCACTTTGATAAGTTTATCCAACAAAAAGAGACATTTAGTGTAAGCTCAATAGACTGTCAATAAACTACCAGTTTGCAGTTTTACTGTGGTACCTGCGATTGGCTATGCGGCTGCTGTTACGTCCCATCCCCAGACACTTCTCGAGGTGAGGGGCGAAGCGTGATGCAGCGATGCTTCGGCTGCAGTTTGGACATACACACTCCTTGTTTTTCCATTGGTTGTACACCTGGCCGAACACATCTAGTCCTGGCTGGTCCACAATCTCTGCAAATTCAAATCAAACAGAAAAAGTGATGGTGAACTCAGATTACATGCACCTCATGATGTATTCAGTCAACAGAATGTCTTTGTGCTCACCAAAGTCCCTCATGCTTTCTTGGTCCGTGTCATCCAGGAAAAAGTAGCCCTGCTTGACGGCCCGGTGGACCTCAAAGCAAAGACCCAGGCATGCATCTTCCACCAGGTCAGACAGGATGTCCTGAGCTAGGCCCTGGCAGCAGGGGTACAGGGAACATATACACACATTAAAACCACTGTTTGAACTCTGCAGATGTGATATGCATTCATCGAGCTATATAACCCATAATTTTACTCTTGCTTTGCTCTGCTGTGTACCTCCAGCTTGCCGTTGTCCAGGCTGGACATTGAAACCTCCTCCATTTTCATTTGCCAGAACTACCAGATGAGCCGACACTGCTGTGGTCATGCTGTAGCGCAGCAAGCATTGGCCAAAACAGGGCTGCAGCAGGGGGGACACAATTAGCAACACAGTGGCTTGAAGTAACAAATGTAAACCACAATAAAGACAACATTTGGGGGTTTTAATTTGATGCAGATACTTACAACTGCACGGTGAATGCTGCCAGGGAGATCTTTCCCACCTTTATAACCTGTGAATAACAGACAATTGAATTACTTGAAGGCTGGTGTTGCCAAAAATGACGTTAGCTCCATTTTCAGACACTATACTTATGGTACGAGCAAAAATGTCTCATGAAAGTAGCTTAGGCCAAAGCTTGGTGAGGAAAACAAAGAGCGGTGCTGTGAAAGAGCTGCCGAGGAGACTCAACATACCAAGAGGTATCAACAGTAGCGCGATCCTCCGCACTAAACCTTCAGGTCAACAGATGCTATAGCTAGCAGCTAGCTGTGTAACGAGCACAAAGCCCGTCTGAGTGCACAGAAACTGTGCAGCGTATTTGTTTGTAACTGAACGGTGTTTGTTGTTGAAGAAATTACATTTGACCACAGCCGAGGCTTGTCCCCGAACTCAACACCGCTGCGGCACTGCGGCTGTTCTCTCTATGTTCCCCGTTCAGACACTGACCGAAAAAAATTACATACCCTCATGACTGAATATTGACTTTATCTTTGATGAGAACCGCAATCACAGCCAAGCAGAAGAGCTAATTGTGTTTATTTACCTATTTCGGCAGGCATCCATCTTTACATCACAGAGATCAGACAGTAGCAATCGATCGCCGCACGAATTTCCACCGAGCGCTTCCTTTGCAGCAGCACTGCCGCTGTTTTTAGACTTACCCAGCCCGGCATGTGATTCAGGGTTGTCCCATGGGGTTGAACCAGCCTTTCGATTGGCCTGGTGGTTGTTGATTACAAACTGCAATTAACAGATGTTTTCAAAGATGAATAAGCGACTCGATAGTATGTATCAAATGTGAAAGTAACTGGGAAAACTTCACGTTAATATTTCCTCGAAGAAAAGAAGATTGCATTTTTGCACGAGGAGCAAAAAAAAAACATAATCTCCATAATTCTCAGGTTATCTCGAAAATAATAATAATAAAAAAGGCGTGTCACTGTGTAGACCTGTCCATGACAGGCCATCCTGCCATTACCCACGCTAAATTTAGTTAAATTAAAGATTACAGCTTAAATATAGCTTTTTTCCATGGTATAAAGGACTGTAACGATTGTATGGATGCACCCGCTTGCTTTTTTTCTGACACATTATATTTCACATAACAAAAGCACTAATTTTAGCCTTCAACTAGTCTTATATTTTAGCTCCCCTATTGTCTGCACTGTTTGTGTTATGTAAAAGCTACTCCAAACCATTCACCCCTACAGGATTCAAAATTATTTGCACTTAGGTTTAATTCAAATTGAAGAAACTAGGGGCCTCAGACTTTTTCAGATTCTCTGAAAAAAATCCCAAACTAGCGCTATATTAATAAGCAGTTATTACATACTTCAGGAATAAACACATTTATGATCACTCTTTTACAAAACACCTTTATTAAACAGATCACTCATTTTCTTGATAAATATCAAAAGACAAAAGGATAAAAGTTGAAAACTGCTGGTGCATAGTCTTTAATTAATGACCACATAGACTGTAACCTGAAGCTTGTGTGGTCCTCTAGGAGTCTTGGCTCAGATGCAATACAGTCTTGGTTGTGGCACTCCGCAAAAAAGTACAGAGAATAACATTGTTGATTGTTCGTGGCCCAAAACCTAGAATCCAGCCCTGGGGTTGATGTGTGCATTTTGTCTCGCTCTGTCAATCTTACCATCAGTTAATACATTTTGAACATGTCACCTTGTCCGTCTCCCTCCAGTTCCTCACCCTATGAACCAGAAAGTGGTATTTATGTAACAGGCCTGAATGAAGAGTCACAAATTAAGTGAGAAAAAAAGTACTTAGACATAGTAACCTCTGAAAAGTCCACTTCATCGCTGCTGCTTTCAATGTTTTCATCTTCTGAATCCTGAGACACAAATAACACAGACTGTGAAGGAGCTTTTTTAAATCCAAAATGCAACGAAAAGAATATATCTATATCAAAAAGTTACAAATTATCATCAACTGTTAATAATCTAAAGATAGGACTCAAGTAAACAACAGCTGTAGTCTTCAAAGTCAACAACTTGCCGAAAAACATAAAGTAACTTGTGTCATCCAGGGAAATGATTGCTGTGATGGTAAAGGGAGTGCCAGACTGCATTTGCTTTAGTTGAGTATCTGAACTTACTGATGTCCTGTGCTTGGGGTGACTTTCTGTGTCAGTGACCACAAGGTATTGTTTTTTCTGCAAAGATAAGTATGTTAAAAATCTTGAAAAAAAAAATGAAAAAAACATTACAAATAGGTCATTCAGTTTTTTGTGAGTCCTTACATTGGGGTAACATCTAAGAAAGCGTTTCTGCTTTGCTGGCGTCAATATCTGAAGAATCAGAAAGATGACAATTTTTTAGAGAACTACCCTTATCAAATAAAAATAATAAATCTGGACAAAAAAGGAAGCTTAAAATGACCTTAAACCACTCCTGCAGCTCCTGTGAATACTTTTTCATATTTTGTTTCATTTTTTCTTGGTAGATTTCCTTCTCCTCAGAGGGTAGGTCATGCCACATTTGGTCGACTTTCCTGATGTACTTCCTTGAGTTTGCTAATTTCTTCTCAACAAGTCCCATCTGATCTTGCAAGAAAGTCACATACCCAGTTCTGTGAGGAAAGACAGAAATAATCACAAATCTGTGAGGCAAATGGAGACTTGATGTGTTTGTTAAACGTGAGTAAGTCTCAAAAAGAAACTGTTTGCTCACCTAGATGGCATTGTGGGTTCTTGGAATCCCTTCTCTCGGGGCTTTTCTTTTCTTTTCCCCTGAACATGTATGACATGACAGTGATGAGATCAGTCTTGTGTTTTTTCTGCTGAAGACACAAAGAACTAACAATCTGACACACGTCAATCTGTCTATATAAAGCTTAGTGATATGAAGAAAAAGGGGAAGAACAATTGTTAGCTTTAAAACACTGTTCAATCCAAAATTTGCTACTTCTCACCATTTTTCTTTAAATCTTCTTTCTCTCTGTCTCATCCAAACTCTGAGGAGCATAAAAACTATCCAAAAAACCCAGCCATCTTTGACTTAATGCTGCAACTATCTTGTGAGTGACTTACCATTTGATACGTCTTCAATCTGACTGAGTACTCTTTCTTTAACTGAAAAGAAAAGTCAAAGATTTTCAAAGAAGTCTGTGTTTGAGCAGTTAATAAGAAAGTCATTAAAGAATCATCCAAATGAAACCGACCAAATGTGTATTTTTTTTTACCTCACTGCAGCGGTTGCTGTACTCTTGCCTCTGCTTTTCAGTTAAAGCTTGCCATTGTTTAGCACGCAGTTATTTGCAGTGTGTCCTGGAATGGGTCCTTCTTGCTTTGGGTAGAACAGAGCAAAACCATTGCTACGGAGAAAAGCACACACACCTTATAAGTGCTATTAGCTTTATTTACGCAAAGGTTTTACATAAAAAGTGATTAAATTTATGATAACGTGACCCTCTAACCGTTTTAGATATCTTCTATCCCCATCCTGGTCATTGGTAACCCCCAGGGATGCATACTGAGCCCTATTCTCTACGTCCCTCCCCATATGAATTCCTCATTTCTATGATTTTAACCACAGTTTATCTTTACGATATGAGCTTTTGCTCATGTCTTACAGATGTACTTAAAGACTGTATCCTGAAACATTAGCCGGTTAGCTCTACTATAAAACCCAGTAAAGTTTTGGACAATTTGACGGAGAACGGTTTATTTTGAGTGACACTTTAAGAAGTGGCTTACCGTAACTGAAGTTACTTTTACCAGTCGACTCCAAAACAACTCATGGCACTGTGTGAAAGAAGTCAAATTTCATGTTTTTAGCAGAGAGCATGTGGAGCATGTCTGTGTTGAGTAGGCGGATCGTCCCTGAGCAAGCAACCAATCAGAAACTGATACGGAAAAACCGTCACGGAAATCAGCCAATGACCTGCTGCTCCCTCTTCTTCTTGAGTCGTAAAGTATTATGTTTCTCAGTAATCTCAATAATTAAGTTTACATTAGATAACGCCGGGGAATATATAATATGTGAAAAAAATGCTTATAATGTGTATTAAAAACACTTGGTATTTTATTGGTATGTAGCATATTTCTTTGAAATTAACACCTTTTACTGACTGTACAGTCGATCAGAAACAATCATCTTATTCATAGAGAAAAATCTTTATATAGGAATACAACTCTCCTAATTGTCACCAATCCTGTCATTTAGAAATAACATAATAAATTTGTTTGCATTGTGTTAATGTGTTTGGGATCAAAGTATTGTGCAAACAGTGGGATAAATATAAAACAATAGCACAAGTATTTTAGAATTGGGAAATTGTATGGAAAAGTGAATACTTTGTTTTTAAGTATCCAAAAAAAAAAATAGAGTTCATAAAAAAGGTCTTTTGGAGGTAGGTTTTTAATTTATTGAAAGGTGACAAAAAGATGGCAACATATCACAAATTACATTTTACCACCACACCAAATATGCAATATTTACCTCTTATAATGTGCTTTTGCTCTCCAGTGTTACAAATTTGATTGTTATTGTTAAAGTATTTTAACTCAAATAAAGGAAACACAACAAGAGCTTAAGAGGCACTTGTTACATGGTTACTTTCAATGTTACATTCAACCTAAATAAAATTGACCTTTGACATCCTTATAATTAATAACCAACATTCAGTCGTTACAAATTTCTATTGTTTTTCATTTCATGTTGTTTAAATAATTTTTAAAAACTTTTGCATATTTTTTTTTATTAAAACACTTCAGTCTCATTAATAATTTTAGCTTTAGATGTGTGTGAGCCACAAGCTGAAGAAATAAAAAGATGAAAAGAAAATAATTAACCTGAGTGATTGTTGAATATTCCTTAGTAAAGTTCATCCAAAAAGATTTTATGAGAGCTTTACGATACTCATATCGATACCCTATGTATCTTTGCATCTTGTATGAAAAAATTGCTCAAAGCATGTTGGATGGTTTGAGCTACAAACAAAATAAATATCTTTTTGTTTAAATAAGATGTAGTTACAGTTGCCTTTAAGATGTCTACAGTGGCATCTGAGTTTCACAGTATACATCCTGCCCTGGCTCCTCCTCGAAGGTCACTTTTGCGTCGTCAGCATCCAACTATAAAGCAAAACATTCACAGAAACATTAATGCTCTAACACACATATTCAGCAAAACTTTATGGACTAATCTGCACAACTATGCTGTGATAAGGTTACTGCTTACACATTTCATTTCCAGTTCAGTGAAGAAACGACCAGTCATGACCATGCGCAACGGGATGGTGAGTATAAGAATAAAGGGGAGTGCAAGGGATACCGGACTGGACTTCACAATCCACAAAACTGCGAGGCACACGATCTGGATGGCTGTGAACAAGTGCATTCGTCCAGTGCTCACCTGTGGCAGAGATATAGAAGTTAATAGACATAACTGGAAATGTGGGTGTGTTTTTGGTGGCAGATGTGATGTATAGCTCTTACATTAGACATAATAGGATGATAGCTAATAAAAGTAACATGCAATAACAGCCAACGTGCGGGAAAAAATGACATAATATTCACGTAGTGGTCTCAGGTCACACTTACGGGTGGGGAGCACAGATGCTGTTATTTGTTCAAGAGTTCTGATAAATTTCTCTCATTGATGGCTAAGCTAATTAGAAACTGATCAGAAACATGAATCTGTTGAAACATGAATTTCTGTTTATGTGCTTCATTTTACTGCCGGCCAGTTTGTATTCAATTATAGTGCATTTAGTGGAGTTATGTTAGCTTTACTTTTTAAACTTCCTATTGAACTGGTATTAGGCCTCTCTGAATTTGGAGTCCTCCTCTTTTGAAGGAAATTTTCAAGTAAAATGTTAAGATATTATGTAAAATCATAGAAAAAGGTGTTGCATTGTTTTTCTAAAGTACTGGAGTTATCATTTGTGAGTGTGGGTCTTACCCTGGTGGCATAGGGTTCATCAGGGTGGTATTTTTTGGGGATGAGCAGAAGCAGCATTCGATCCCATAGCTGGATACCATTGAGTGATGTAACTCCCATGTAAAGAAAGATCCCAAACAAGGCAGCCATTGGGATCATCTTTAGGATCGGCTCCATCAGTATGGACAGACCTGGTCACAAAAAGATATTCAGATGAAGAGCGATCACTGTTTCAGAGGATAAAGTTGTGGAATTAACGTATTATGATCGGATGGTTTAATGGCACCTACCAACCAGCAGGGCCACCACGATGCCGCTGATCCTCTGCTCCATCACTTTCTCAATCACAGGTTTCGGTCCTTTGCTCATCACAGTGAGTGCATTGGCATGAGTGACAGATCGCACCGTGGCAGCACTGAGCCATGGCACACCAAATATCGCACTGAGACCTCCCATGCCCACTAAAACCAGCAAGTCATAGTGGAAGCCAGATCCTTTAATCATCTTCCTCTCAGGTTTACTTATAATCAGACTGTCAGAGTTTCCAAACAACAAAGAAAAAAAGCTTAGTTAAAAGGGGATCATTTTTATTTTTTAAGGTTGATAATTGAAATGAAATAACTCACGTTGTGATCTGAGACTCCAGAAATATCAGGATGAAGACCAGCATGGCTGGGACACAGCACGCAATCATCACCCACACAGGGAAGGCCTGGTGCTCTCCAAAGGGGTTGATGAGCCAGCCTCTTTTGGCTGGATTGGATACCATCAGACCTTTGGGCACCACCAGTTTCTGCAAAGATAGGAGTACATTTTTGTGCAGGAAAAAGACTGCTGTTGTTGCCATTTATCACTTCAAATGGACAAAACAGGTCTATTAATGTGAAGTAAAACCAGGAGGAATGACATTAACAAGGCAAAGCCATTTCTAATATATAAAACTGTCTTCTGTCTTGAGACTTTTCCTGAAAAATAGATTTGGCTTGTAGTCAGCACATACATTTTGTTTACGAGCTTTGAATGGTGGACCTACCTGAGTGTATGTATCCTCAATGTTGTAGTCTATAACCACCATAAGGAAAATAGAAATGGGCACACCAAAGTCACCAATCAAACGTCTGACCTAGCAGGAAATGATTGCAAAAACAAAAGCAAATCAAGAGCCAAGAGTATAAAATGTAAAAAAACCTAGTCCATTTATTATTGGCAGAGTCCATGTGCTGCTCAGCCAACTTACCTTTCCAGGAAGGAAAGTGCCATTCTTAAACTGGCGGAGAAAATAAGCGATGAAGAAGCAGCCCAACATGAGGCACATGGAGAGCAAGGCTGTGTTGGGATAAGGTGGCTTTATTGTGTTGATGATAATGGTTGTGTTTCCAGTAGCATTGTCATAAATGACTGTCTCCTCCACCTTTAGGTGCCATGGATTTTCCACAGTCGTATTCAAGTGATCATAGTTCAAGATCAGCGGATGAGCTCTGAAGATCTAAAGGTAAGTCAGCAGGGGGTAATTACACAGGATCTGGTGATATGTGGATGGAAGAAAAGTGAGGAATGGATGGAAATGCTTTTACCCTTCCCAGCTTGGCAAAGGTTTCATAGATGAAGATGAGAGAGATGAGGATGGAGAAAATTTCTTGGGTAAAGCGGGAGATGAAGCGCACCAGGAAGCTGCCCTCAAAGGCCACAATGATCACCACAATGATGACCAGCCACACTCCAACCCATACTCTGCCCACAATGTACTCAATATCCTGTGACTTGCAGAACTGAACACAAGAAACCATAGCTGAGATTATAAAAACTCTCCAGTTCAACTACTTGTGGTTATGGTTCGGTATTATTACTCACAGCAAAGAAGGCCTCCTCAAACACTAACAGAGGACCAGAGAAACCAATGACCAAAACAGGCTGGGCAGCAATAAAGCAGAAAATGATCCCCTGAATGCTGGTGGAGATGAGGAGCTCTGGTACACCCATCATGTTTTCCACTTTATCAGCTGAAGAGACAAAGAAGGCAGCGAATGGTAATCAGAGAATTCCCACCAAACAGCAGCACAAACATGTGGGGCTCGATGGAGATACCCCAGCTTTTGGAGCTAGCCTCACTAGCTTGTTTTTTGCAATTCAGCATTGGTCTTTGATTTACAGTTCAAGAGGTTGCCACTTGCTTTCAACCATAATTACACCCATATGATGTTAATAGTTTATGGCCTTATACAAACATATGTCATCACATACCCAGCAGTCCTCCAAAGGTGATGGCAGGAGACAGGGCAGCAAAGTAGATAAAAATGATTGCTGCAAGGACTTGTGCATTAAGGGCATCTGTGATGTCACTCTTGTAATACTGAAAACGCCTCTTTACGTCTTTAATCATTCCACCAAACGGTCGGCCTGTCCGAGACAGGGGGTCTTCAGGAAGAGGCCCTGAAGAGGTGGAAACTGAAGAAAAGTGTAAGTGTCAGTATCATGAAACAGAAGCCATTCATAGTCAGGTTTGCTGTTGTTTAAACCACAATTTTTCACCTTTTCGAGGTTTGGAGTCCAGTTGGACAGATGACTCAGGGGGCTGTAATCTGTCCTGAAGCAGTTTCTTCTGAAAGCTGATGATCGATGAAAGCATCGCTTCGTTCTGGATCTCTGTGGGTGGGATGACGATGCTGCAATCCATGAAGTCAACCACGGCGTCAGTCAGCTCTCTGGCACTCTTTGCCTGTAATGCTGCCTGGTTGAACACCTGAGAGGGATATAATGAAATGAATAATGAGCCACAGTGAGCTGGTCTGAGCCAAATTGACATAAGCTTTATGCAACAATAAACCTAGAGATCATCTAGTGTTTAACATGAGAGAATTTGATTAAACAGTGATTGAAACTGTGAAGACTAAAAATGACCCTCTTCTAACCAGTGTCTGATAACATGGATAACCTGCTACAGCTAACTCACTTTGTCTGCCATCAAAGCTGCCATGGCCCGGCCAGTCTCATGGTAGTCCATGTCAGTCTTGCTTGGACCAACCAAGACAAACACAAAGCGTACGGGCACTGGAGCCTCCAAAGCAGAGTCGAGTACAGTCGCCTCCTTCAGACGGACAAACACAACTGTGGGTCTGTCGAGAAAGTCTAAAGCTCCTGGTTTAAACACACAAGCAGAAAGACAAAATGTCAACACAAATGCTTTTTCACCAATAAACGTACATGTATAGTTGTACAGTATGTTCTCTGGATCTGTATAAAATCATGGTCAAGACTGACATACCTACTAGCACCATGGAGGCCTCAACACGATCAGATTCATCCCTCTAAAGAACACACACACATAATAAGAAGACCTGTCAGGCCAACATTCTTCAATTTGCATTAGTACCACACTTAAAAACTGCATTTTAAAATCTATTTCAAAATGCTAATTGCAGCTCGTATTAACCATCATAAATCTTAAAAGTTTCCATTTTCATTGTTTAGTGAGTGGGAATATGAACAACATTTGCTGTACTGCATAAGGTTAAGCAATCCAAAAGAACAGGTTGTGTCTGTCAGAGGGGGAAAAAAAACATAATTTACACTCCTAAAAAGACATCAAAAGCAGAATTCTCTGTACTTTATTTCCCTGAAAGACTGTCAAAGGGATTTTACTCCTGACACTTTCACTTTAAAAATCTGCGCCAGCATCTCACCTTTTTTTATTTATTCCAGATCATGTTACCCTCAGTAATACATTCACATTGCTTTAAACACATAAAAATCTTACCCTCTCCTTGATGGAAAACTTCTGCAGGTCCACCCCATCAGTCAGAGCTTGACTCTCAGGGTCTGATTGGCTGTAAGGAGAAAAAAAGTGATATTGCCTTTTATAAATATAAAACAAAAGTACATATGAAGATGGAAAGGGATAAAAAGCATTCACAAGTGACCTTTTGTCATGGCAAAAAGTTGTGGAGGAATTGTAGGAATGTGGACTTTATCTTTCTTTATCTTTCCTCCCTCACTTCCCATGACTCCTCTTTTCCTGCCTTTTATTTCATGCCCCTTCCTTAAACTCGACCTGTTCCTGCATTGGATCTGAACTCAGGACCTTTTCTTTCAAAGATGGCAGCCCAAAGTAGCACAGATTTTCAAAAGCTGGGATCAGAGTGTAACTCAAAAGTGTGGTCTAAATCCAGAACACCCTTACTTTGCAAGGGAAGGGCGCTGCTGGGATATAGGACTGGATGTCTGTGAGGTGGCAGATTTAATAACAGCATCTCCTTTCCAATCCAGGCATAGTAGAGGCAGATGGCTGCTCAACATAAGTCTGGTTCTACTTAAGGTTTTTGCCAGTCAAAAATATATATATTTTTTCTATTATTTCTGAATGTTACAAAAAAAGTTACAAAAATTAGGTTTTAATTTCAGTGAGGGCCCCTTCTTGACTGGGGTCCTGGGAAGTTAGTCCCACTTACCCCTCTACTTTGACCCTTATGTTAAGAATACCTGCGGTTTTGAAGCAGAGCATTCAGCACTCCTTCTCGGTCTCCAGGTCTGATTTCTTTCTTGTTCACCATTTCGTTGACCATCTTCTCGGAAATGCTAGCCAAAGTCTGCTCCTCACAGTCAAAAACAGCCACACCTATGTGCAACAAATGAGTGATGATTATATGTGGAGAGACAGTGTTTAAAGATGCAATAAGAGCTAAAAATGCTGAAACTTACTTGTTTTAAGGGGTTTAATTTAGGCACTCCCATGAGGAAACACGTGATCAGAGAACACAGAGAAACTAGCTCCTTATATATTATATCAACAGCACAAAGACAATAATGATAAAACAACATGAACACTATAAAAATTTGATAACATGTCTTTCACAGTAATGCTTTTAGTAGATCTGCCTAGATGCATTAATTGAATTGTTTCTTGGTCATCACAATATTTGTAACTGTTAGATATATCTAAATTATTGTGGATTGCAGGAGGACAAGCAAGCACCCTGTGGAAAGCTTATGTGAAGATGTACTCAGTCATTTTCACCCTAAAATTAGACACTAACATGTTTTTGTGAAACAGCAAATACTCATTGTGCATATGCTCTTCTCTGACCTGTGTTCATGGTGCGCCGCAGCTGGATGAGGCTCTTAAAGGTGAGGTAGGACACGTGTGAGGATGCCCACACACCAGATTGAGGGTCAAAGCTCTCCTCGTAGCCCCCCCATCGACCTGTTTCCTGCCAGAAGGCCTCCGGCTTATTGTCCTTCATCTCTTAAGCGTACCTTTGCAGGCACAGAGAGAAAATAGAGGTTAACACCGGCTGAAATGGACATGAATGCACAACAAAGGTTCAAATATTTTTTTGTCTGTTAATGATTTTTTTCTAATTATTATCTTATGTACATTTTCAAAATCCCTCAGTGGTTCTTCTTGTTTGAGGTCTCACTTAAATACTCCTAACCTCTGTAATTTTCTTACTGTCCCTACAGTATAGCCAGTTATTTTCATGGCCATACTGCTATTAGTTTAAGGTACAGTACCCCTTACAGGACATTGATGGTATGCACAATTATGGGCCCCTTTGTGGGACACTCATGATATGTGCAGAGGATTTCTGCATGTCGATGTGGGTGTTTCTTGTCAAACCAGCTGTTGTTTTCAGATTTCTCAAAGGTAAGTCACTTTTTTAAAATTGTGTTTAAATGACTTGATATCTTTAACCAAAGTGATGTTCAGGCAGGTATGTCAAGGTATGAGCTAGCATACCTTGACATTCTATGCTAGTTACTATTGCTGGGTTGTGTCAATCAGTAAAATGCTGGGAAGTGTCCTTTTATTGTGATGACCTGAGTCTCTCAAATTATGGTCATGTCTTGCGTTGGATTGTACGGAGATACTAGCATCAGTTAATATGAAATGCCAACACCTCTGGACTGGCTGTAGCAGTCAGTTAGTGGTTTTGTACTGAGCATAACATCAACACTTCTCTCATTTATTGAAACCACACTTACCAACACTTAGAGGGCAACTTTTCATGAAACTATCCCTGGATAATGTAAATGTCACATTTACAAGCTTTTTGAAGCTGCACTGAGCTATAGTCCTCGTAAAGCATCAAGGTGATGTAGTTTTTTCCACTTCATTATGATGTTTTTTATGCTAAATTTATGCAATATGTGCAATGTGTAGGATATGTTATGGTATCAGCAATCAGCATCTGGGACACATTAAACTTTGAAAGCACCTTTGTTGGAAAGAATCTAAATTTAAAAAAAAAACTTTTTGGATGGAATAAAAAGAACCATAATTAAAGCTACTTACAATTGCAATCAGATTATGCAATAACTGGCAATTGACAAACACAGACTTTGCAGAACTCATGGCAACTACTAAACCTGAGCTAAAAAAGGGATGGATCTGTTAGGAGAAATTGTCATGGGATTGCTTGATGGGTGTGGGCTATTGTTGAAACATGCCAGGCTCCCTTAAAGAGGACACACTCCCTAAGCAGTTAAAGAGTCTGCTCTTAAGTAATTAAAGCTCTGAAATGTGCTGGGAAAATACAAAAAGTTTCTCTGGTAAAAGAGAGGATTGGAAGCAATGTTGAGAATGATTTGATTCAGAAAGTCATACCTGTAACTAATATTTTTGCACTGTTACTTTTTTTTTCTCTTTGGGTGTTATCCCTTATCAGGGCTCAAAACACACAATAAAATAAACTAAATTATTAATTATTTTGTATTTTGCAGAGAGATTTCTCAGGGTGAAATGTGGATGGTTTTCACGTCTTCTGACCCCTGGGAGTGATATCCTCTCACCAGATAAGATCATGTTCATGCTTCACTACATGAAGGAAACAATGATGATATTTTGGGTGTTGTCTTCCACTAGAGCGGCTTTACTTTAAGCTCCTGTTGTTTCTATCTTGGAGATCAGGCTACGGCAGAAATCTGACGTCCAGGTGAGACTCGGTGTCTAAAGGGTAAACACGATGGTCGCCTCCTGCTCTGGGCCACTGCTAGTTTCTGGAGTGGACATGAGTGAGTGCTCATGCTGGACATGTTTGGACTGTCAATAAATGCTGTGTGCCTGGAGTGGATACTCAGTGTGTGTCTGTGTGTGTGTGAACCTTACCTGCACTCTGTCCTGGGGTTGATGATAGTGTCAGTGTTCCAGGCAGCTGGACCAGACACAGTGGACCCTGTTAGAAAGAGTCTATATCATTGTCTTCCCCAAAAGCAAATAACATCAACTGAGATAAAGAATTTTATTTATTTTCTAACAAATTTTAAGCTCAAGTCAAGATGTGATTGAGAGGTATCAGACGATCCGAAATCAAACTCAACTAACAAAAAGTGTATTCACATGTTTTAAGAGTTTACCACTAAGCGATGTTTCTTCAAAAATATGGACTCCAGTGTTATGTAAGATGTCTCCAGAGTGTCAATTTTTTGATCTGAGATTAGGGCAGAGCACTGAAGTTGTCGGTCACAACAGAATGATTTATTTCCAAAACACAGCTGAGGAGCAGGGTGGAAGATTCGGATTAGGCTGACTAGACAGTCTGTCTGCAGCCCATCCTTGTGTTTGCACAATCTGAGATGTAAAGTTAATAAATATACATTAAGCTAATTGCAGTGTGCCAAGACTGTGTGATACGCATATCTTTGCAGGTTTCTGTAGAGAGTCTGAAAATTACATTGAGATGACTCAATATTTTTGTCTTTGTTGGTCATTTTAGTTTTTCAAAGTATTTTTTGCACCTTCCTTTAAAAAAAAAAAAGAAACACATGTGTGACGTAAATAATAGATGCGTCTTGTTTGCATAAAAAAGTTATTTTACCGTGAGATACAATTTGCTTTCATTGATTTTGATATTTAAAAAAAAAAAATGAAAAGACATGCAAATGTTTGTCAGCAAATAAGTATTTTCTGTGCGTTACACCACATCATTTTTGCATCTCTCCAGACCAATCACTAACAAGTGAGGCTTTCTTTGGAGTAGCCTGAAGATGCAGCAGAAAAATGAATAATAATTATCTATTGCATATAAATGTTGTGCAATTTTAAAGATGTTACTGGCTTATGTTTCAACCTCCATACATCTTGTAACACAGTTGTAATTCTCTTTTGATATTTGCACATTTTAGGGACCTGAAATTTGCAGGCTTTTGTCAGTTTAAACCAATTTTTGTAGAAATGTCTTCACAAATCTCAAATGTCATCACCGCAAAATTGACCAAGGATAGTCCTTGCACAACTATTTTACATATTTTTATTTAAAAAAATGCAGTGTTAGTTGGCTCATTGTAAGAATACCACAGGAGCAGAAAAAGTGACACTTACCTCACCGTCAGCTGTAACAAGTGACTGACCCCAGGAGAGCAAAAAAGCGTGATTTTATAAACACGGACTCTTTAAAGCTGCCCCTGTGTGCGCGTGCATGTGTATGTGCATCATGCCTGATAATGGGTGGGACTACATGCACACTCGCACACACACACACACACACACACGCACGCAAGCACGCATGCACGCACACACACACACACACACATCACTCTGTAATTCTCTCTGAAACACATATCCACAAGACTGATGCGCTCTGGTCTCACCCATAATATTGATAGTAAATACAGTGGCGTGGTATGTGCAGAAAACCAGTCGCACTGTGTCATTATCCAGCCGGCATCTTATCACATTTAATGTCTGTGTTTGGAGCACAACAAAGGCTTGGATTACAGCACTGGGGCCTGCCCGCTCACCTTCAACGCTGCAGGAGGAGAGAGTGAAAGTTGGGCTTTCATCCTTTCAGCTTTAGATTAGTCAACATTTAGTTTTAGTATGGCACAGAGCTGGGAGGCATGAAGGCAGAGTTAAGATGACTTACCCTCTGGAGAAAGGTTCCCATCTTTTTTTAGTCTCTGACTCCTTGTATGAAAAAAAATGAACCACATCCTTTATTCTTTGTGTTTCATATAAGGGGACAAACAACAAACAAACTCCCAAAGTCATAAAAAAAAAGAAAGAAAAAAAAAAAAGAAATGAGACAATCCTGACTGGATGTCCAGTTTACATGGATTCTATGTTACCCATCATTCATTTTTAAGGTATGCAATTGTATGGATTGGTGTTGGAATAGTACAAAAGAAAGGGTTTATGCATGCACAAGTTAAGAAAAATCTTCAGTTCTTCTAAATAACTATTACAAAAGCTTGTGCAAGGAAATCACCCTTGCATGTTGGCACTGAGGTAAGACTTTTTTGTTAGCATTTGGGATCAGTAAAGAGCAAGGATAGTATTTTGAATATTTTGTTCAACTCATTTGGAAAACAGAAACAACGAAATGCAGAGAAGATCATTTTTTATCTAAAAAGTGGTGCAATAAAAAAATAACTGTCCTTCAAGTCATAATAAAAAAAGTGAGAAGTTATATTTCAAAAGTAAGGAAACTACGGCCAGTGTGCTTGTTTTACTGTTGGATGTATGTATGCATGTATGTATGTATGTATGACTGTACTTGATGATTACTACTCATGTATTGATTTTTATGCATTTTTTCATAGCTTTGAACGTTTGATGTTCAGCACATTTTTATTTGAATGTTTTTGTAGTTTATCATTTCAGTGAGAAAATTTATAAAATCTAGCAAGATGTTATCACCACAGAGAAAGTGCTGTACCCTTACGTCTTCTTCACTGACTCTAAATCTAATGTTGCAGACTTTGAGATGGATCACTGTGACCTCATTGCCATGTTTAGCAACATAGTTAACTCCACAAGGTGTAATAAAACTAATTATACCTTTTATACAACATTGAGACACTTAGTATTTCATCAGATGCAGCAGAGTAACTGTGTTTTTATTTGTTGTGTTTAGTACACACGTGCATGTATTTAAACTGTGTAAACAGTAAATAGAGGGTACCAGCAGACTTTCAGTTCTGATCCAGTCTACATGTCTACAGGCAGAATTTCACCACATCTGACCTCAGCAGAAACGGGGACCAGTGAGTGTTGAAAGAGCTCACCAGGTCTTGTGCTGTTTCCCCTAAGGTTTCCTTCACAAAACAATTCAGATCATCAGTTATGGCTGATATTTTTTATTGTAGTTTTCATAGATATAGTCATGATGAGAGGGGAGGTGTCAGGTCACACACTTAAGAAACTGCCTTTATCACACTGTTTCCCCTCAACAAAAAAAAAAAAAAAAACAATAAATGATACATTTAGCTGTCCTAAAAGAGCAAATTCGACATGATTTTGCCA